ATTTTTAATGGACCCCAAAGCATCTCCATGAGTAATTCCTGGGTGTAGAGCATCACCAGGTATGACCCAAAAAGAAAAATAAAAATCACATTTTTCCTCCTTTGGAGACAAAAGATTCTGGAGCATACAAAGACAGGTAGAGAATTTGCTTTCAGATTGAGTCTCCCTACTTGGTTCTCTGCTCCCTGAAAATAGAGCATTTCTACCTGGTATGTTTTGGTAGGCTGATGTGGGGGATGGGAGTGTTTTAGAACTCTCCCTCCAAGGAAAAACACCCGACACAGAAATACCATCCCCAGACCCTCAAAATAACCTATCAAGTTCGAATGTTCTGTTTTCAGAGTGGGTGAAGCCTGTGACCTACTCTGTGAGGATGAGTAGGGCACTAAGGTGACCATCCGCGTTTATGTGGTCATTCCCGTCCTTCAGAGCTGAAATGCAGCAGCAAGAGCGACCAGCCTGGAGTTACCTGGAACAGAGATGTGTCAGTGTCACCCTAAATCATGTGAGGTATTTGTGGAACATGCAACAGGCACCAGAGCAGATAATATCTGTCCCTGCATAGCAGAAAATGATCTTGTCCCTGCCTAGAACCCAGTAGGGAGTTTCTGGGTGGATTTTACAAGCACCAAGTTTCCAACCTTGAGTCTCACGCAACCCCCCAAGAACTGTCACCTACGCTTAACAAGTAAATTCCTAACTGCAGCATCTAGCCCTAATTGGGATTGGGCTGGGGCAAAGCAGAGTGGGAAAGGTGATATGTGACTGGACCATCCATCCTCTTAAGCCAAGACCCTCAATAAAATATGTGTAGATTTGGCAATAAAGTGAATGGCCATCGGCTGTCTCCTGGAGCGGTTTTTCTTCGTGCCCGTCATCCTTCGCCCAATGTCTGCCCGAACCTGGTTTGCAAAGTGTCTGAGCACGTTGGGGAAAAACTGTTCCCCAACACTTATTCTAACAGTACAGAGGGAATATTTTGTTGTGTTATTTTTTGGGGCTACACTAGCAATGCTCAGGGGTTATTCCTGGCTCTGCACTGAGGAATCACTCCTGGGAGTGCTCGGGGGACTATACGGGACTCTGAGAATCCAATCCGGGCTGGCCGCATGCAAGGCAAACTCCCTCCCCGCTATCCTATGGCTCTGGCCCCAGGTACTGAGGGCTTTATCCACACTAAACCAATAGTTCTTTCTACTGTAGACAAACTGGCAGGCTACTGAATGTAGCCCGCCCACACGGCAGAGTCTGGCAAACTCCCCATGGCGTACCCAATATGTCAAATACCAGTAACAATGATGGGTCTCATTCTCCTAATCTTGAAAGAGCCTTGAATATGGCACTTTAAAAAAATCTCAGGGTTAGGACGAAGGAGATGTTACTAGAGCCTGCTTGAGGCAATCGACGAACAACAGGATGGTCGTGATCGTGATAGAAACCAATAGTTCATCTTGATTTAGGTTGCCAGATTAAGCCAATCTTAATTAGGTTGGCAGTATAAGCCAAACACTTCGGCATTATTGAAGGGAGACAATGGCATCTCCTTCCTTGGAAGAGCAGCGTGAGGTGTGGAGGTGGGTCATCTAGGAGCTTCTCGGGCAGTTCAGAGGCTCTGGAATGACCACAGAAATCTCGTCTAGAGATACTGCTTTCTTGTGGGTAGTTAACAATCATTAAGAGAATTTTTTTTGTTGTTAATTTTTGGGCCATAGTTAGCGGTGCTCAGGGTTTACTCTTGGTTCTGCACTCAGGGATCACTCCTGATGGGGATTAGGGGACCATATGGGATGCTTGGAACTAACTGAACCAGGGTCAGCCAACCCACATGCTAGGTATTACCTCACCTGCTGTAGTATCACTCTGGTCCCAATAGAAATATATATATATATTTTTTTTTAATTTGGAAAGTATGGAATATAATCAGAATTAAGTTACTTCACACTCTAATATTTTCTTAATTCATGATCATCCATCAGTTAAGGTCTTAACAGTATTCTCACATAAAAGAGTCCTTCACAGAATGTAGGTTAGAAATGGCCTCATTGAGAATGTCAAATCTGCAGCATTTCAAAGAATAAACTACATGTGAAGAAAACATGTGTGAGAATATATAATACATATGAATTCTATATAACAGATATATATTACAATGGCACTGTAGCACTCTCCTCCCATTGTTCATTGATTTTCTCGAGTAGGCACCAATAATGTCTCACAACAAATTGTGAGACTTGTTACTGTTTTTTTTTTTTTTTTTGCTTTTTGGGTCACAACTGGCAATGCACAGGGGTTACTCCTGGCTCTGCGCTCAGGAATTACCCCTGGAGGTGCTCAGGGGACCATATGGGATGCTGGGAATCAAACCCGGGTTGGCCGCATGCAAGGCAAACGCCCTACCCACTGTGCTATTGCTCCAGCCCCAGACTTGTTACTGTTTTTAGCATATCGAATATGTCACAGAGAGCTTGCCAGGCTCTGCCATGCGGGTAGAATAGTTTGCTAGGCTGAGAGGTGCAGAGGAATCGAACCCAGGTCAGCTGCATGCAAGGCAAACAGCCTACCCACTGTGCTATCGCTCCAGCCCAAGTATGTGAGTAATCCTAGACAAAATGAGAACCAAAATTCCCTCCCCAAAAGGGGAAGCACAGTTTACTTTTGAATGAATAAAAATTCTAAATTTGGTTGAGGTATAGAGGGAGGTTGGAACACACCCAGTAATTCCAAGGAATGACGCCTGGAAGTGCTTGGGGAAGCATATGTGGTGACAGAATTTGGTTGGGATTTTTTTGAGTTTGTTCGGACGCCACACCCAGATGTGTTCAGACCTGCATTCAGGGATCACTCCTGGTGGATTCTGGGGACCACAAAAAGGTGCCAAAGTTCAAATGCAGATCAGCCACATGCAAGGCAAGTATCCTATCCATGGCGACAGGATTTAAACCAGAGTTCAGGGATGTAAGAAAAATGACTGAACATCTGTGCTATCTCACTTACTCTGGGGGTTTTATTTGACACATCATGGTTAGATGACTAAGAGGGCTGAATGTCTTGCATGTGGGAGACATGGTTCCCTCAGCTTCCTAACCCAGATGTGGCCCAGTGCCTCCCAAGACAGTAGTGTCAAACCACATCACTCAGTGGAACATTTAGCAATATAACCATCCCTAGTAAAAATGTTCTTCAGTTTTCAGTAGAGATTATTTGCAAACAACTGATTTTTTGGTGAGGGGAGTGCACACCCAGCTGTGTTTAGGATTTACTCCTGGCTGTGCACTCAGGGATCAATCCTGACATGACTCCAGGGACCCTCTAAGGTACCAAGGATTCAACCTGGGTCAACTGTGAGCAACACAAGCTGTTCTACCACTCTGGCCCCACTAGTAAAATTTTGAATTAATTTAGAATGGTGACATAAGATCACTTTATTTGATCAAACTTTGATTATTTGATCATAAGCAATATTGGTTATGAGTTATAGCAATATCAAAACATAAAATGTTTCAGAAACACTGTATGCCACGTGAAATCCTGACATTAGAGAACATAGTAGTATGAAATGTAAATGTAGTAAGACGTGAAAAATAAAATTACGTTGATTTCACACATTACATATATTTCTGGGTTCAGACTATTAGAATCCTGCCAGGTCTAGAGAGGTAATATAGAGCACAGACCTCTTTTTCAGCTTGAATCTTGGTACTGCACCATCAGGATTATGATCTCTCGAGTACCACCTGGTGCGCCCACCCCAAGAGAAAATCCTGCTGGAATATAAGCAACGTAAATTAAGCACTGTATGAACCCGTATGAGATTGGGTCAAAAATTATATTTTTTGGTGTAAGGGAAAATTCAGCCTGGTTATTTAAATAGGTTACTTGGAATATTGACATATAATTTAAAAATAAAGATCTTTTCAGCTAAGGTGCCCGTGGGCATAGCAATACCTGGCAAGGATAGCATGGTAGACTGATACTGTACTACTAGGGTTATACCCAGTGGTGATTAGGAACCATATGTGGTCATTTCAACTAGCCTTTGCTCTCCTTCAGGTCAGTTTCATGTGAAATATTAGCTCAGGCATACATACTGGGTGTCAGATAGTGGTATACTCTAGCTGCCATTCTTTTCTGGATGGGCCAGTCCTAACACTATTCAGGGCCATGTGATTTGGGAGTCAAACCCAGACTCTTGCATATGCAAAAATTTGCATGGGTTCCACTACTTTAATCGTATGCCAGGCCCTTGATACCACCCTTGTATCTCTGAGGTCATAAGTTGAGTGCATGTGAAAAGAGGAAAGATATTAAATTCAGTTATAAGTTTTATCAGCATCTTAAGAGTATATTGAATTTATGGACAGTGTCTTTCATAATAAACTATACAAAGGATGCATTGTAGTTGGCCTGTGGAAAACAAAAGTTGGGAGGATTTGTGAGAAACCTCAGGAATGTTTTACACAAACTGATAAACTTCCAGGTTCTCTTAAATGTAGTTTTTTGGGGGTCAGAGTTTAGCAGATAGGGCATTATATGTGGCTAACCCTAGTTCAATTGCCAGCATTCAATACTGTTACCTGAACCCCACCAGGATTGAGCTCTGAGCACAGACATAGGAGTAAGCCCTGAGTAGTGCCGGGTGTGCTGTAAACATTTAAAAAAATGCATTTATTGACTCAAGAGATAGTAAAGGGCTAAGGGACTTGCCATAAGCTTGCCATAGCCCAGGTTTGATCCCCGGCATCAGTCAGTCCCCTGAGCACTACCTGGAGTGATTCTGAGCAGAGATCCAGGAGTAAGCTTTGAGTACAACTTTGGATTGCTCAAAAAACAACAAAAAAGTATTTTTGAGGGCAATATATTATAATAATATATTATAATTTCGGGCTAACTGCAGTCATTCCAGAGCCTCTAGTATATATGCTATTAAAGCGATATATAATATATACACATATACACAAATATATAAAATGTATGTAGATAAAGAAGAAATGAGGCTCAAATTCCAAGTGGTTGATTTCTCGTTTATACGTTAAGAAAGAAGAAAAAGAAAACAAAGCCCGCTGCAGAATTTCTTCCCACATGTTTTAATGGCGGGCTGTTATCCCCTGCGTAAAGGCGTGACGCTGATGAGTGGGGGCTGGTCGCAGGCCAGGAAACCCAGGCAGCGCTGCAGGCCGCGGGCAGCCCCGAGGCCACTAGTAGTTGACGGTCTTGGCCGGCTTCACTTCCTCGATCTCAGAGGACAGCCAGCGGTATGTGCGATGACGCCGCAGCACCTCGATGGCCTTGAGCTCCAGGGGTGTCGGCTGGATGCCCAGATCCTCCAGGCCGGGCAAGTGTGGCAATGCCACGTCTGTGATGTGGACCTGGAACAGACAGACACGGAGAGGAGCAGTGAACACCAGCCCCGAGACGCCTGGGGGCTTCCTGGCACTTGGCCCAGTCCCACAACCCCACGCCTGGGGGCATTGATTTCCCCAGACCGAGAGTGACGCTTCTGAGCCCTGCAGCTCACTAAGAGGCCGCAGAAAATGGGAGGAAGGGGACACATGGCGAAGCGCCCAATCCCAGCTCAGAGGTTCCCAGCACGACCCGGAGCACAAAGCACAGGCCCTGGGAGGCTCAAGCAAGGCCTGAGGCAGAAAGAGAGCCAGAAGGAACAGGCTGGCATGAACCACTCTACAGGGCAGGAGTGGTTCACCGGAAGTTTGCAGGGAAGAAAGAGTTAAGAACCAGCCCAGGCCCCGGACTCCCTGCGGCCTCGAGCACAGACATTCTTAAGCCCTAGCTTCGGAAAAGAGCCAGCATCTGTCCCTCCCGCGCTCAGAGGGGCTCATTCAACAGTGCTCCAGCCTGGCTGAAGGAGCAGAAGCCTGGCTGAACCTGGCTTCTGCTCCTGAGAGACCTGCAGGGCACACGCAGCTTCCACGCAGGGTGGCAGGAGCCCAGCGCCTCTCAGTCGGGGACACAGGGCTCGCTCTCAAGGGGCCACTGGTTAAAATACATAAATGGGGGTGGGGGGGTTCAGGGCAACAACACAAGACTGGGGCCAACTGGTAGGGTGGGGGGGAGGGGAGGGGGGAGGGGTGGACGAGGCAGGTATAGGAAGGAAATAAGGTCAGATGGGGCCCAAGGCCGGGAAAAATGGTTGAGAAATCAGTGGTGAAGGTGTTCAAAGACACGGGATGATCCAAAAGTTTAAGAGGGACAATGGGGGGGGGGGGGGGAGCTGCAGCTCCACTTCTCTGGGCGCGAGTGGGGCCTGGGGCCCGGCTGGTACTTGGGTGGGAGAACCCGTGTGAGTTGAGTAGGACTGGAAGCTCCTCCCCACCCAAGACAACCTGGGCTTCTTTAGTTTTGGGGGTCACACCCAGAGATATTCAGGGGTGACTCCTGGCTCTGCACTCAGGGATGACTCCTGGCGGTGCTCGGGGGGACTCTGTGGGATGCCGGGGATAGAACCCGGGTCGGCTATGTGCAAGGCAAACGCCCTCCCCGCTGTGCTATCACTCCAGCCCCCATCTCTGTCTCTTTGACCAGGGTGCTGTGAGGCAGTGTGCAGACCACACCCTACTCAGTTCTCGGTGTCACCAGTTTCTCAGGCATGTGTGAGGAGGTTCGTGAACGGGAGAGACAATGGTATGTCATCAGCGGGAGAGACATGGCGAGCCGGAGCGACGGCTCTCCTGCCCAATCTTTCCGGAACGGTCAAGAGCCTTCTGGGAGCCGGTGTTGGCTTCCCGGACTCCGCCTAGCCATCATGCCTGTCCCTCAGGACTAATTTCTCATCTTCTGTTTAGCTTTTAGGGAGGAGTTAGCAGCTTCCTGTCAATAAGAGGTAAATAAGTCTTCAAAGGCAGAGTGTTGTTTGTTTTATCTCCTTCCTAGAAACACTTCTACTCACAACAGACAAATGATCAATGAGGAAGATTAACGGAGGGAGCGAGCGAGACTCTTGAGAGGCGCGAGAGCTCTGGAGCTGAAACACGCTGAAAACGGGCAAGGGAGGCGACAGGAGATGAGCTGAGAAACTAAGAAAGGATGGGGGCCGAAGAGGCAGTTCAGCGATGTGCCCGAACCCGGTTCAGTCCCCCACACCATAGATGGTCCCCCCCCCCCCCCGCCAGCCCTACCTGGAGTTGATTCCTGAGCCCTGCCAGGTGTGGTCCAAACTCCAAACCCCACCCCAATACCTCCTCAAAAGAGACCAAGAAGGAAAAAAATCTCACTCCTTGGATTAGAGTGGGAAAAGCAGAGTCCTCTACCTTTCCGCAGGCTTAAAAGAATATTTAATATTCTTTTAAATATTTTCCTTAGAAAACGGTGAATAAATTTTTATTGATCTTGTGGCATGGGAATAAAAGAGTTTCTTACTAAAAAAAAAAAGTAAAAAAATAAAATAAAAAAAGTTGAATAAAAAGGGCAGGAACAGGGAATGGGAAGCTCTGGCACATGGTCGGAGGGAAGCCCACACAAGACTTGCTGACCAGCACATGGCACCTGGGCCGAGCCACACGCCGCTGGGAGCAGGACAGGGCGGCTCCGGCCCGCTATCATTACACAGACCACAGGGTGTGTTCCTGTAACCACACTGCCAGCGTTCAAGGGTCACGTGTTACCGGGAGCCCCGTTTTTGACAAGGATGATCAGAGACCAATGTCACCCCGCAGAAAGTGTCCTGGTTTAGATCTCAAGGGAAAGGAAGGAAATTGAAGGAACGTTCCCAGACCCCGTGTGTGTGTGTGTGTGTGTGTGTGCGCGTGCGTGCGTGCGTGTGTGTGTGTGTGTGTGTGTGTGTGTGTGTGTGTGTGTGTACGGCCAGGAGAGAAGCAAACCCGCAATTCATTCCCAAGGCTGGGAGCTACAGAGACAGGTGTGTGTGTGTGTGTGTGTGTGTTTGTGTGTATGACTGAGCGGCCAGAAGAGAAGCCCACAATTCATTCCCAAGGCTGGGACCTACAGAGACAGGTCTGTGTGTGTGTGTGTGTGTGTGTGTGTGTGTGTGTGTGTGTGTGATATAGCAGTCAGTAGAGAAGCAAGCCTGCAATTCATTCCCAAGGCTGGGAGCTACAGAGATGAGGTGTGTCTGTGTGTGTGTGTGTGTGTGTGCGCGCGCGCGCGCGCATGCACCTAGCAGGGTTGCTCTGCAGTGCTTTCTACAGCACCTCTGCAGGCTGGGGGCGGAACCCCAACCAGTGGGTGTCAAGGGAAGGGCGTTTGCCTTGCACACGGCTAATCCAGCCCACCAGGGATGATCCCTGAGCACAGAGCTGAGAGGCGGCTGGGCTGTGGCCAGCAGTGGACATACAGCAAGTGGAGTGTGGGACCGGGCCGCAGGCATGGAGAGAGCGAGCCAAGACCGAGAGGGGCTGAGGAGGAAACCAGGAAGGAGGCCGGAAAGCGGGACCTTGTGGGAGGGGGCAATGGGAGGCTGGGGAGGAAGTACATGGCAGCCTGGGGCCTTGGAGAGGGGACCAAGGGGCCGCGACAGCTGAGGACAGAGTGTGCACTTGGGGGTTGGAAGGATGGAGAACAGAGGCACCCTTGGGGAGAAATGGGAAGAAAGCCGGAGAGAAGGGAGCTGACAGCTGATGCTGACTGTGCTACCGCTAACTCACACCTGGCTGTTTTTTTTTTTTTCCTTTCTGACCTTTTTGGGTCACAGCCAGTGAAGCTCAGGGGTTACTCCTGGGAGTGTTCGGACCCTAGGGGATGCCGGGGATGGAACCCAGGTCGGTGACGTGTAAGGCAAACGCCCTCCCCAGTGCTGTAGCATCGCTCCAGCCCTTGGATGTGGTTTACTAAACACTAACTGAACCGCTGGCGCCAGTGTCCATGGTGGAGTGTTGCCAATGACAGGGACTGACACCTGGGTGAGAGGCAGAGGGACGGGCAGGGCAGGGCAGCTGTGGAAAGGGACACGGGGAAGGGGATGCGGGGGGCGGGGAGGACTCGCCCTTCTAGAGCAGGGGGCTGACTAAGACTGGTTTATATGCTGCCAGCCTGGCCCAGCAGAACTGGGAAAGCTGATGCTTGCATGGGTCAAGGGAGCCTCGCATCCCACAGCAGGACGAGGCGCTGGGCTCTGGGGCACATGCCCCACGGCTGGCTGAGTGCCCAGAGGTGTCCTGGTTCTGGCCGGCAGCTGCCGGGGTCACCTCCACGCTCAGACTCACCCGGTCCACTTTATCCCGCGTCGTCCAGGGCTCAAACGGGCTCATTTCAAAGAGCTGCCCCACCAGTCTGGAAGAAGGAAGAAACATGGCTCGTGGTGAGTGTCTGTCCACCGAGACCCCCGGGCCCCTCCCCTAAACTCCCGTCAGACTGACTTCCCAGGGCAGGGCTGGGTGGGTGGTCCCGCGTATAAGACCCCTCCATTATACATACCAGGAACATGGGGAGAGCAAGACTTTCTCCAAAATAAAAACCCAGGCAGGGCCTGGTGGGGAGGGCAGTGGCCTTGTAGGTGGCTGACCTGGGTTCAACCCCTGCTACCCCATATGGCCCCCTGAGTCTGCCAGGAGTCAACCCTGAGCACCTGCCACGTGTGGTCCCAAAACAAAAGAATTCCAAACTCCCAATAATAAAGCTTAGTTATTTTCAATGGGAGAGTTTTATTTTATTTGGTCGTTGTTGTTGTTATGTGTGTGTTTTTGTTGGTGGGGGTTGGGAGGGTTGGGTCACAGGTTGTTGTTGTGTGTGTGTGTTTGTATGATGGTGGGGGTTGGGAGGGTTGGGCCACAGCAGTGCTCAGCGGCTCAACCAAACCCTGGGCTCAGTGCTCAAGAGTGACCCCTGGCAGTGCTCAGGACACCCTCTACAGTGCTCGGGAACCAAACCAGGGTCGTTCAAGCGCATGGCAGCCGTCTCAAGCCCTGTGCTTCTTTCCAGACCACAACTGGGGAGTCTGAAGATCTACAGACTCAGTTTCCACCCACCCCTACACGTCCCTCCCTTCCGAGACCTCTTGGGCTCCAGCCCCTGCTGGCATCAAGACACCAGGGGGGCTTCCCGGCTGGAGACCAGGAGGGGCGACCATGACCAGAATGCTTGTGTGAACTCAAACCAGAAGGCGCAAGGCTGACTTACTGATAGGCGAAATGCGGCAACGGGTAGGGGAGGAAGGGTCTGTGCGCCATCGCGAAGATGTACTGCACCAGGTCGAAGAGAAGGTACCGATTGGGCCTGCAAAACACAGAATTCAGATGCCGTCAAATACTTGTTCTGCATACATTTTCTTTCTTTCTTTTTCTTTGCTTTTTGGGTCACACCCAGCAACGCTCAGAGGTTACTCCTGGCTGGTGGTTGGGGGAACCATATAGGACACCAGGGATCGAACCCAGGCCGGCTGCGTGAAAGGCAAAGGCCCTACCCGCTGTACTATCGCTCTGGCCCCCTACGCTTTTTTAATTGAACCAAAGGGCTGTCTGGCTCAGTGAAAGAAAACAGGTGTGCATTGCAACCAATTCAGTATTCGCACAAAGGGGACGAAAGTCACACTAGCCCAACCAGAGGTCATTAGGTTGACAGACTTGATACACTGCCTCCTCATCCCCTGACAGAGAGACCTTTTCATGTTCCTAAAATATAAGATTACAGTCTACCCCATTCTGTCTTCTTTTCATTTAGTACTGAATCAGTTTTCTTTCTCTGTCATTCAGTATTGTTTGTTTTTTTTTTTTGGGGGGGGGGGGTCATACCCAGCGATGTCCAGGGGTTACTCCTGGCTCTGCACTCAGGAATTACTCCTGGCAGTGCTCAGGGGACCATATGGGATGCTGGGAATTGAAACCAGGTCAGCCACATGCAAGGCAAACGCCCTACCCACTGTACTATTGCTCCAGCCCTTGTCATTCAATATTCTGGTGTGGGTCAAAGGTTGAGGCACTCGCCTTTCAACCCGCTGACCCTGGTTTGAACCCCTCGCACCACATATGGCCCCCATCACACTGTCAGCCGTCACCCCTGAGCAGAGCCAGGAAGAGCTCTGGACGCTGGGTGTGGCCCACAAGACAAAAAAAAATTTTTTTTCTTTTTAAATAGTGATGCATGTTTAATGGTTACACCTATCGCACTGCAAGGAAACATAACTATCTTACCCATTGCCAGTGTGGGAAAGGCTAAACTAAAATGTTTCTTTTATGAATGTTTCAATAAATAATCTTGTAGTAGCAGATGTTTATTCTTACCTATAATTGTGTATTCATAATATATTCTACAGATACACTGTAGGTATCCTCAAGGTGTGTTTTGAGGATTCAAGGCTTTTACTGAATGTTTCCAAACTGCGCCCCACCAAAGGTTAGACCGATTTACAGAAAAATTTCAGCAGAGCCTCTTCAAACACTAATTTAATCATTAAAATGTGCAAGCTTTTGCCCATGGGGTATAAAGGTCCTTCCATGTTTTAATCGCCTTGCCTTGATACTACAGATTTATTTTTTCTCTGTATTATATATTTCCATCTACACTTTCTTTTTTCTTGAGTCTCTATTAGAAAGATGGCACTTTGAGTAGGTACTTGCCTTGTATGCAGCTGACCCTGGTTCAATCCCTGGCACCGCAAGGGCCCTCTCAGCACCACCAGGGGTCACTCTTGAGCACAGAGCCCCTGACCAGGTAAAGACTTCGTCCCAAGACTTCTTGAAATGAGGGGCTGGATCGGGTAGGGCATTTGCCTTGTACGCAGCCAACCCAGGTTCGATTCCCAGCATCCCATATGGTCCCCCGAGCACTGCCAGGAGCAATTCCTGAGTGCAGAGCCAGGAGGAACCCCTGTGCATGTGCATCGCTGGATGTGACCCAAAGAGTAAAAGGAAAAAAAAAAGACTTCTTTAAATGATAAAGTGGAAACATCTGTGACGGTTTGTATTTTATTTTTTATTTATTTATTTTTTGCTTTTTGGGTCACACCCGGCGATGCACAGGAGTTACTCCTGGCTCTGCACTCAGGAATTACTCCTGGCGGTGCTCAGGGGACCATATGGGATGCTGGGAATCGAACCCGGGTTGGCCGCGTGCAAGGCAAACGCCCTACCCACTGTGCTATGGCTCCAGCCCCTGTATTTTATTTTTTAATGTTTAAGACTTTTGTGACATAAAAAAAGTTTAAGCATCCAATCGTATCAAATTCATCAATGTGACTGAATTTTACCTTCATGGTTTGGTTTTATGGTAAAAAAAAAATCCCCCTACTGTCCTTCATGACATATATTTTTATATCTCATGTCTAATGCTGTGAAGTTACCTTTTAACCACAAAGGAAGTTTCTTCTGCATAGTATTCATGTACTAACATACAGGGAGGCCGTAATATCAATTACGAAATAACTACATTTTGAAACGTCCCTCATCACATATTTCAATGCATTTGAAACTGCTTCTGGACTTTCCATCCGACTCCAGTGATCTGAATCCTTTTATATCGGAGAAACCAACATTTTATCATTATTACCACTTATAATTCATTTCGATAGCTCTTCCCCATTTCCCTAATCCCTGCTGCCTCAGAGAGCCTATGAGAGCCGAGAACTAAATGAAGATAATTCAGTGAGAAACTCATCTTTTTAACATTCACACCAAAATTTAAAAAAAAAAAAAAAAGAAAGAAAAAGAAAAGAAAATATCACCTAGGAAGAATAGCAGACCTAGGCCTCGAATCGTCCTCTTCACAAAGCTGAGAGGATTTGTAAGGCTTCCTGCGGGAATATCTGCTTTATGCCAAAGAACAATTTGCCATCTCTCTGATGAGAAAGCAATACTGAGATCACGGGCAAGCTAATGAGAGATAATGAACTGCTCTTTTTTTTTTTTTTTTGGCTTTTTGGGCCACACCCAGCGATGCTCAGGGGTTTCTCCTGGCTCTGCACTCAGAATCACTCCTGGCAGTGCTCAGTGGACCATACGGGATGCCGGGGATTGAACCCAGGTCGGCCCTGTGCAAGGCAAATGCCCTCCCTGCTGTATTATCGCCGCAGTCCCCTCTTTGGTTGTTTTAAAGCACTTTTGTGCCTAACCACCAGGTCAAAGCTAAGCAGATTTAGATACTCCTGCTCCAGAATTACGTGAAAGCCAGCCTCTGTATCACGGCTTGGCACCGGAGGTATCATTTTGCAGACATCAAACCCTGACTTGACTCTGCGCTCCAGCTCCAGGGTACAGAAAAGCCCCTCCTGAGTGCCCCCACGGAGCTGCTTTCTCGGTGTCTGTATGCCCGGCAGCATCTCCGAACAACATTTAAAAATTTTCAAATGCGAGTGATTTACTGCCGGCTCACCCTACTGAGAAGTGTCAGTTTCTACGGAGTGCCACGGAGCACACGCATGCTTGCACCCTCGCCAGAAATTCCTGCATCTCCCCATGAGGAAACGACCCCCATGGCCCATCCCCCTCCCCCGGCCCTGCGCTCTGGGAAAGCACCATCTCCCAGGTGTAGGTCTGAGTGCTGTGCTCGCATTATGGATACTCCACTTCTCTCTGAAGCCTTCCAGCCTCTCGCTTTTACTTCCTGCCTTATCCTCACTCAGCGGGAAGATGCCAAGTGCTGTTTGGTGAAAAAGGCACTTTACACTGCGACCGTGCACTCGGACTGGACGGCCTGGCCGCCCCGTGGTCGCCCCATCCCAGGGCTCCTCCCCCATTTCCAAAGGGCTTGTTTCCTACCTTCTCCCCCTCTGACATGTACTAATATGCAACGTGAGCGATAGAATAGCAGGCAAAGAGTTTGCCTTGCACGCGGCCAACCAGGGTTCAACCCCCAGCATCCCATAGGGTCCCCAGAGCCCCGCCAGGAGTGATTCCTGAGTACAGAGCCAGGAGTAACCCCTGAGCACCGCCAGGTGTGACCCAAAGGCAAAAACAAAACACAAGCTAATCAAACGTGCAGATCTCAGGTACCTGTCCTTTCCTCATCTTCCGGTGTTCTTTATTTTTGTCTGTTCGGGGGGCTGGGGAGGGGGTCAACTCTGGTAATGCTCAGGGCTCACTTCTGGCTCTGCACTCGGGAATCATTTCCGGTGGGAAACCACATGGGGTGCTGGGGATCGAAGGCTAGGTCAGCTGAGTGCAAGGCGAGCACCTTACCTGCTGGACCATCTCTCTAGCACCCAAGCACAGAAGTTTTTCATTTTGATGACATCTCATTTTAACATTTTCCGGGGGGGGGGGGGCAGGGCCAGGGGAGGGGGGAGGCGTTGTTTCAGAGATAAGGATTTTATGCCTGATGTTAAGTGCTGCCTAAACCAAGGTCTAGATAAAGGTTTCCTTTGGGGGTGGGGGAGGTCAGGCAACACCTACTGGTGCTCAGGAATCACTTCTTGCAATCTCGGCAGCATAATTGGTGCTGGGTACAGGCTGGGGTCGGCGGTGGGCCCTCGTGTGCTCATCAGTGAGTGCATACCTGCCCGCCTTCCATCCTTCCATCTATCCTTCCAACCATCCTTTCATCCTTCTATCCATCCATCCTTACTTCCATCCTTCCAATCGTCCGTTCATCCTTCCATCCTGTCTGTTCTTCCTTCTGTCCGTTCTTCCTTCGTCTATCCTGCCTTCCGTCTTTCCGTATGTCCTTCCTTCCTCCTATGCTTCCTTCCCCCCCTTCCTCCCTTCCTGGACAAACCCAGTCTTGCACCCCCAGTTCCCAGGCCTGTGCCTTTGTGTGGGCCCAGTTTGTTGGTCGGGCTGGGGGCAGGCATCAGTGTAGGCTGCTTGGTGCCCTGCAGTCCCACCAGCAAACATTCCCGGGATGCTGCAAATTCTGACTTGGGAGCATTAGGAGATTCGGATAACAGTGACCTGCAGAAAGCTCTCAGAGCGACACTAGCCTCAGGGCAGTAGGGGCAAGTCTGTCAGATAAAGACATAGGTAAGAATGAATGAATAGAGGGAATACAGCGGGGGACTGACAGGATGGTCATTATAAATTGCACTTGTGGGGCTAGAAGCTTAGCACAGTGGTAGGGCATTTGCCTTGCATGCGGCCGACCCGGGTTCGATTCCCAGCACCCCATATGGTCCCCTGAGCACCGCCAGGAGTGATTCCTGAGTACAGAGCCAGGAGTAACCCCTGTGCAATGCCAGGTGTGACCCCCCAAAAAAGCAAAAAAATAAATAAATAAAAAATAAATTGCATTTGTTCCCGTTTGACCAAGCAGTACTATTTCACAGTTGAACCCTAGCCACATACCCAACGAAGGCATAGGTCTTCCCTCGGGCGTCTGGCTCCTTAATGGCATTAACAATGCCTTTGGAAACATCTACAACCTGGAAGAAATCGTAACACACCTTTCATTATTGAGTCAGGAAGAGGGAAGCAAAGGTAGGAGGGAGGAAAGGAAAAAAAAAGGGGAAGAACCAAAAAAGGGAAGGAAAGGAGGCTATACAAATCACGAGAAAAATCGCAACGTTAGAATAATAACACTCCTTGGTCCTCTCAGCACCTGCTGAAATAGCCATCTCCGCCCTGGAGGACGCGTGTCGGCATTTCCTTTGGTCAGAAGGCGTTTCCTGGAGATGGCTGGGAAGGTCTTTCTGCTTAATCCGCCATCTGTCCACCCTCATCCCTTCCCACCCCTCCCCTCCCGATTCCTCACTTCTTGGGCCGAAATCTCGGAACTGCTCCAGCGCTTAGGATGTCAAAAGTAATCCTTTCATACGGATTCACAGAACCAAGAGCTTTCAAATGGGGGGGGGGGGGGGGGGAAGGGGGGGAGGGGAGATGAGAATGGGGAGAAATTTGGCAAGTGACTAAAGAAAATTAGTTGCCACAATTTAAGGGCCGGGAGGAACGCTACTGCCATCTGGTGGCAAATCAGGGATAGTCTGATCGTCTACATCTGTCCCCCCCAGCCAGAATTACCTAAAACCCAGGTTCAATTTAACAAGAAACGGACCATTTTTCTCACTTGCACATACTCTTCCCACTACCTCCTTCCTCTCTAAGGGGTCACCTTAGATGTCATTTCCTCTGGGTGGAGTTCCCTGATCCTCTTTCTGGGAATGTAAAGGCAGACAGTCCTCTCCCTACTCACAGTGTATTTGACACTTGCCGACCTGCCTCTGTGTCTGCCTGGGTCGGCAACTGTACACGCAGCGGCATGAACTGAGCGCATGTGAGCACATTAAGAGTCCAACACAGGGGCTGGGGTGATAGCACAGCGGGTAGGGCATTTGTCTTGCACGTGGCTAACCCGGGTTCGATTCCCAGCATCCCATATGGTCCCCCAGGACTGCCTGAAGTAATTCCTGAGTGCAGAGCCAGGAGTAACCCCTGTGCATTGCTGGGTGTGAACCGAAAAAGAAAACAGGGGGAAAAAGAAAAGAGTTCAACACACAATTCTTCTTAAGTGGACGAGAAGGCAGCTATCTCTTAGATAAATTGAGACCACCAGTAGAAGCCAGTGATGAAGAACAACATGAGTGTTAGCAGATCTCACTCAAGTGACAGGGGAACATGGGTCATCTGAATCTGAGTCCAGCTAAGCCCTTTCGCCTAAGACACTTACGTAGACCGGCTGTTTCACTGTCTTCATGCCCAAGGAAACCAGGGGCACACCACCAAACCAGCGGATGTCTGGCAGAAGAAAAGAGAGCTGGGTTCAGGTAGAAGCCACTACTAAACCCCGCCCACATCAATCTCCAGTGGTCTAAGTTAGCACAGTCGTTTGGCAAGACAGGGAAAAAAAATGAAATGAACATAGCGGGTTGGGGCCAGAGAAACAACACAGTGGCTAGGGCGCTTGTCTTGCATGCGATCGACCTGGGTTCGATTCCCAGCATCCCCTATGGTCCCCCAAGCACCGCCAGAAGTAATTCCTGAGTGCCGAGATACGAGTAACCCCTGTACATCACCGGGTGTTACTCAAAAATAAATAAATAAATAAATACACGGATCCTAGGACTTTAGTTAAAAATAAATGTTTGGGCCGGTGAGATAGAACAGCTGGTAGGGTGCTTGCCTTGCACACAGCTGACCTGGGTTCAATCCCCAGCACCCCACATGGTCCCCCAAGCCTCCCAGGAGTGATTCCTGAGCACAGAGCCAAGAATAGCCCCTGAGCGCCACCAGATGTGCCCCCAAAATAAAACAAAACAATAATAATAATAATACGTCTCAATACCGCCACCTCACTTGGAACCACTGTAGCACATTAATGCAAGATGTCAATGATATTTTGCATTTAACGTGATAAGACAAAACAGCTGCAAGGAGAGAACAAGAGGTAAAGAAATAGACGGGAATGGTGTTTTCTGTCCATCTTTTTTCTGTAAACCTAAAACTGCTCTACTACAAAAAGCCTATTAATTAAAATGCGAAAGTTGCAGGAAAATAAGTCAATCATATTAAAAAAAACTGCAGCAAACATAAGATGCATAGTCTTAATACAGAATGAGTTTAAATAAATAAGAAAAACATCTCTCAGAAAAACAAAAATGGGGGGGTGGGTCAGAAAGACAGGACAGGGTTCAGGTGCTTGCCTTGCATGTGAGTTATTGGGTTTGATGCTCAGTACACCATATGGTACCCTGAGCCCTACCGGGAGCCCTACCTACCAGGAGCACAGAACCAAGAAAAGTGTCCGTGCACAGGCAGGTGTGGCCACAAAACCACAAAACCAAAACAAAACAGAAGAAAACCACACAAATCAAGTAAAATAAAGTAAGGGAGGGAAGAAAAAATAAAACCGAGTAAAAGAAAATCAAAGAACGATGACATACTTGCAAAATAATTGAGAAACCTATCCTCTCTTCCAAACATGTCCGAAGGCTTTATGATGGTGACTTCCGGAAACGCTTTCTTCACTTCCTTCTCTCCCACGGCCTAAACAAACAAACAAACAGGCAAGCAGTTTTGAGAGGAGCAAGGAGTGTTTGCGTTCTCTTCACACCCTGGACACATCCGGTATTTCAAAGGTGCTATTTTCCCACAGAGGGCAGGGCGTTTGCCTTGCACGAGGCCAACCCGGGTTCGATTCCCAGCATCCCATATGGTCCCCTGAGCACCGCCATGGGTAATTCCTGAGCACAGAGCCAGGAGTAACCCCTGTGCATTGCTGAATGTGACCCAAAAAGCAAAAAGTAAATAAAAAATAAAATAAAAATCAAAGGTGTTATTAGGTGCTATTTCCCTCCAGAGTAAGGGCGTGGTGCTATTCCCCCAAGTCAGGGACACGTGGGGGTGAGGGGCAGGGCCTGAGCGTCAGAACCATGGCCATAAGCGTTCCTGCCACCATATCACCTAACCTGCAATAAAAAAATAAACCAGTGACTCGCAATGACTGACTAAGCCTCCCTGCCTCTCCTGGGTCGGGCTGAGTTTTCTTCCCGCTCTTATTCTAGGCAATCTGACACAGGGCAAAGGAGAAAATGGAGAGCAGAACTTTCCAGGCCTTCATTTTTCCTTCTCACCAAAGTGCTCTGGTTCATGTCTACTGTCTGAGACCTGCAGGGAAGGGACAACAGGATGGAAATGGCCACAGCTGGGATGGTGACAGCAGGACAAAGTTCCCCGGGGCTGGGGCCGGGAGTCACTCATGTCCCTTCACCTCCGAGCCAGGCCTCTTGCCCAGCGAGGAACATCGGCACCCAGCTCAGTGTCCTTCTCTGGTCAACTCCCTGCCGACCGCAGGACCGGGCGGGGGACTTCACTGGGCCCAGCTGGACATGGACCTCTGGAGCGTCTCAACTCCGACGCCTCCTGTCCACTCCACCACACCACAGCCCGCACCCCACAGAGGGCCTTCTCCAATCCTCAGCAGAAATACTTGTCTTCGTGTCCATCTCCTAGAACATCCGGGTGGCCATATCTTTGTGTGTCTGCCCCTGAGTTTCCACAACCTCTCAGGAACTCCGGGAAACTGATTCCGCTTCCCTCACAACCAACACCCCAACCTCTCTCGCCACGGCCAATCAGTTAACCACTGTTTCTCACTCTCCCCCCCCCACCCTTTTTTTTGGCTTTTGGGTCACACCCAGCAATGGTCAGGGGCTCGGGGGTTACTCCTGGCTCTGCCTTCAGGAATTACTCCTGGTCGTTCTCGGGGGACCATAATGGGATGCCAGAGATCGAAGCAGGATCAAACCTGGGTCTGCCACATGCAAGGCAAATGCCCTACCTCCTGTACTATTGCCCCAGCTTGTCAACCACGCTCAAACCTGCCCGGTAAACCGCTCGTTCCTCAGTCCTTAATTCCACCCACTAGGCAAAAAAAAAAAAAAAAGAAAAATCCCAATCCTGGAAGAACCCAGTGAGACTGTCTCTGCACTCCTGCTGCCTTCAGAGCTAGGGGGGAAAACGCATTCTGTATAAGGTCATCAATCCACACGGAACCGGACACTTTCCTCCCCAAAACTGTGTTTTTGTCTCATGAGTTTACTTTTGCACGGGGCAAGGTCACACACATTGGCCCTTCTCTTCAAATTTCTCCCTCCTTTTTAGTTCTTGCCCGCAACTGCCTTCTTCACGGGCCTCCGCCAAGAGATATATCCAGTAGCAGAGACAAACCGCCTGGCATTCCCACCACTCGCCTACCAAGCTGGAACCTGGATGGAACTGCCACTTCCTCCTTCTCCTCCTCACTTCCTCCTCCTCAAAACTGGGGAACGGCCCCCCACCCTTTTATTTTTTATTTTTGCTTTTTCGGTCACACCCAGCGATACACAGGGGTTCCTCCTGGCTCTGAACTCGGGAATTACTCCAATTGGTGCGCGGGGGACCCTATGGGATGCTGGGAATCGAACCCAGGTCGGCCGCATGCAAGGTAGACGCCATCCCTGCTGTGCTATCGCTCCAGCCCCAGAACAGGCCCCTTCTGAGCTCAGTAGCACTGACTCCTGCTTGCTCGGGGACCTACCCCGGGCTCTCTCTCCCACGACTTCGGTGCCACTGTCCGTCCGAGCACCTTCTCTCCAGGAAAAACCAACTTCCAGCTCCCTGGGACCCCTCTACTCTTCTGGTCCTCCGATCTTTTTCCCGAAACGAGTGCAAGAGGTGCCGCCCGCCCTCACTGTCTCCAGGCTCCGCTCTGCTCACCTAGATTCGGACCGGATTTTAGGCAGAGTCCAACTCTCCTTGATAAGATCACAGATGACATCAGACCGAAGGTGATTCAACGGCCCTCACCCGTGTGGCTTCCCAAAGGCCAAGGAACTACTCGCCTGGCAGGTGCTCTGCCTCTGGTTTCCAGAACCTTCCGTTCCCTGGGTCTCCCACCTTCTCAGTGCCTTTGTTCCTTTTGTCTCCAGATCACTCCTCGCTGGTACTCCTCTGGGCCCTGTCTAGCTCTCTTGATTAACTCTTTCTCTCGAGGTCATCCTTCCCTTTCCCGATGATGCCATACTTCCTGTTTCCTGCCCTGATCTGAATGAAGTCCAGGACCAGCGCTGCCCCACACCTAAAACGCAACCTAAGCCCCCAAGTGGAGAGGCCTCTTCCACTCGTGTCAAGAGAATTTCAATGTTCACTGCACACTGGAACTCCTAGGGCGTGTCCACAAGAAGAAATGCTCAAGTCCTCTGCCCTGGGAGTGGATTTCGATTTGCTCTGCTGCATACTGGATGTGGAGATCCCTCAAAGCCCCCCGAGAGTGGCGGCTGGAGCGGTAGCAGAGTGGGTAGGGCGTTTGCCTTGCATGCAGCCAACATGGCCGACCCGAGTTCGATTCCTCTGCCCCTCTCGGAGAGCCCGGCAAGCTACCGAGAGTATCTCACCCGCACGGCAGAGCCTGGCAAGCTCCCCGTGACATATTCGATATGCCAAACACAGTAACAATTGTCACAATGGAGACACTACTGGGCCCGCTCGAGCAAATCGATGAACGGGAGGACAGTGCTACAGTGCTACTGCACGTTGGAACTCCCAGGGGATGTCCACAAGAAGAAATGTTTGAGTCCCCTGTCCCCTGCCCTGGGAGTGGATTTTGATTGCTCGGCTGCATATTAGACGTGGAGATCCCTTAAAGTTCCCTGAGAGTGGGGGCTGGAGCGATAGCGCAGAGGGGAGGGTGTTTGCCCTGCATGCGGCCGACCCGGGCTCGATTCCCAGCATTCCATAGGGTCCCCCAAGCACCGCCAGGGGTAATTCCTGAGTGCAGAGCCAGGAGTAACCTCTGTGCATCACTGGGTGTGACCCCAAAAAAAGCAAAAAAAAAAGTTCCCTGAGATTCAGCATAGCTGGCCCAGGGCCCAGCCCTTCCCTAGGGCTTCTCATCTCACTCAGCAGTGCCATCCCCAGTCCAGGGTCCAGGCAGGAGGGACTGCGCATCTCCGGCACCTCCCTCCTTCTCACCAGTGACTCCTCCCCCCCCCCACGGCCTCTAATCATTATGAATCCAGGAGATTCAACAATAAGATAGGTTGGAGCTACTTCACACTCTCGCTCTCTCTCTGACATAGTACCAAGCTGTGCAGCTGGGAAGGCTACTCTCAGAAACAAAGCTGAAGCCTAGAGGAGCCGTGGGCACCGTTGGAGCTCAGCTTTGCCAGGGCTGGAAACTTCCATTCCTTTGGGCATTAAAATTCCCTTTGTGGTATATCTGATGACCTTTCAGCATCTGTACTGCAAACCGTTAGGCCCAAAAAGAAAGACAGTGAGAAAGAGAGCGAGAGAGAGAAAGAGAGAGAGAGAGAGAGAATGAGATGAGTGTGTGTATGTGTGAGACAGAGAAAGAGCAAGTATGAGAGAGAGAGAGAGAGAGAGAGAGAGAGAGAGAGAGAGGAGAGAGAGAAGTTTCTGCCATAGAGGAGAGAGAGAGAGAGAATGTGTGTGTGTGTGTGTGTGTGTGTGTGTGTGTGTGTGTGTGTGTGAGACAGAGAGAGAACAAGTATGAGAGAAAGAAAGAAGTGTCTGCCATAGAGGAGAGAGAGAGAGAGAGAGAGAGAGAGAGAAGAGAGAGGGGAGAGAAAGAATGAGTGTGTGTATGTGTGAGACAGAGAGAGAGAGAGAGAGAGAGAATGAGATGAGTGTGTGTATGTGTGAGACAGAGAAAGAGCAAGTATGAGAGAGAGAGAGAGACAGAGAGAGAGAGGAGAGAGAGAGAAGTTTCTGCCATAGAGGGGAGAGAGAGAGAGAATGTGTGTGTGTGTGTGTGTGTGTGTATGTGTGAGACAGAGAGAGAACAAGTATGAGAGAAAGAGAGAAGTATCTGCCATAGAGGAGGGGGGGGGGGAAGAGAGAGGGGAGAGAAAGAATGAGTGTGTGTATGTGTGAGACAGAGAGAGAGAGCAAGTATGAGAGAGAGAGAGAGAGAGAGAGAGAGAGAGAGAGAGAGAGTGCCTGCCATAGAGGCAGGAGGGGATGGGGCGGGCGGGAAACTGGGGACATTGGTGGTGGGAAACGTACACTGGTAAAGGGACAGGGGTTCGAATATCATATAACTGAAATCCCATCATGAACAACTTCGCAGCTGTGTATCTCACTGACATTCAATTAAAAAAATAAACTTAACAAGTTCCCTTTTGTACTCAAGGCAGTCAACAATGAATATTCTCCTGCTCCTCATTCAGGGCTCCTGACCAATGGACGGACAGCCTGACCCCCGTGCTAAGCTCCAACAGCACAGCTGGCTACTGTGCAAGAACTGGTGAGTTCAGAATTCTTTTCCTCAACAACTAAAAATCAGACGCGTGCCAAGACCGTGCCATGCTTATTCGCTACTATATGCCCAGCACCCAATACAATATGGAACACACAGCACATCCTAAGTCAAGAACATGCTCGGCAAGAGAAGGGGGTTGAGGGGCTGGAGCGATAGCACAGCGGGGAGGGCGTTTGCCTTGCACGTGGCCGACCTGGGTTCGATTCCCAGCATCCCATATGGTCCCCTGAGCACCGCCAGGGGTAATTCCTGAGCGCAGAGCCAGGAGTGACCCCTGTGCATTGCCGGGTGTGACCCAAAAAACAAGACAAAAAAAAAAAAGAGAAGGGGGTTGAGTCCAAAAGCTGGAGCTCATGCCAAGGGACTCGGAGTTCCTTTCCATCCTACAAGGTCACGGTGGCAGAAGCAAAGGCGAAGGCTGCCGCTGTGCCGAGTGCTGGGTAAGAAGGTCATTTCAGGTCACAGGCAATTACAGGAAACTCCTGAGGAGTGTGATCGACCCCCAGCTATGACAGGGATGACAACGGGGCTTGTGGAAGAAAGGAAGCCCAGTCCGACATGAGTGGCGCTTTCACCTGGCGCATACTTATCCCCTGGTCCTCAGCCTCCACAGCACACCTGCAAGGGTGCCAGAGCACCCCAACTAGGCCAAGAGTCTGGGGAAGAAAGAAGTTCTTCCACTTCAGCGGATGACATGGGCCTGGCTCCTTGGGGCAAGAGTCATGTAGACAGCAGTCACTTCCCCTCTGGGAAAGTTAGTCTGCATTAAGTGTGATATAAGTATGTGATGTCCCATCTGTGAAAGTCAGTGGAGACAGTGGTGTCAGCTTGAGGAAGGTCAGTCTCGAACACGAGCTTGGGTCTGTCCAGCTGGGAAGTTCGACAGCTCAGCAAGCTATACACCGTTTACTACCCCCTTTGGGTAGGACGATGCTCTAGATCTATCTTCCATCTGGTTAACTGTCAATGGTCATTCGTGGTGGTGTGTGCAGGAACAGGTGAGGCAGGGGATGGAGCCTGGGGCTCCGGCTTACAAAGCACACTCTTCAGCCGTCTGAAAGATCTCCCTGCCCAACAAATATTTATTATGCTCCAAGAAATCGCTGAATTTGGGCAGGTAATACTAGAAAATACACGCTATACATCTTTCAAGGCCCTTGGCATAGTTACCTGCAAATAAGAAGTTACTCAACTAAGACACAACAAGCACGCGCGCGCACACACGCACACACACACACACACACACACACACACACACACACACACACCACTCTCACTCATTCACAGTTCACATACCTAATTCTGAATATAGGGCATTAGAAACCCCTTCAATCCCAGACATCACAGTGAAAAGCTCTCCTCACGGAACTCACATGTCAGAGGGGGCCACCAAAATCCAGCCTTATGAGCCACTCTCTAAGACCCCCTGTAATTACCTTATTTCTCAGATATTTTGAAGAGCTTTTAATATCCGCGTTGAGATGTGAAACGTGAATCAGTTTTTCAACTCCAACTTCCTTGCACGTTTGAGCAATTGTTTGGGGAATTCTCACATAAACGTCCTCAAAACCAAAGTTTCTGGAAGGGAGAAACAGAAAGAGGGATTAGCTCTGACCACCTGACTCCGGATGTTAAAACTATTCCCCAGCATGCTGGTTCTGCTCTGATGACTAGAATTCCTAACAGAGAGCTATTTAAGCAGCATGGTTTATCTAAAGACAAAATTCAATGTGCTGTTTTACAGAGACTTGTTCAGTGGTGACTGTACATAATTCGAGTTTGACTGCAAATTCGAAATCAGCATGCATCCATCCAAATTCTCTGTCCTCAAGGAATCCTGAGCTGTCATTATTTAGAGACGTTGGTATTTTGGTGGTGGGGTGGTACAGTAACACCGTGTGCCTAAAACATAAATATGAATATTATTCTAAACTGTTACTGTTATTGTCCTCCCATTGTTCATCGATTTGCTCAAGCGGGCCCAGTAATGTCTCCATTGTGACACTTGTTATTGTGTTTGGCATACTGAATACGTCACAATAACAAGTGTGGGTAGCTTGCCAGGCTCTGCCGTGCGGGCGAGATACTCTTGGTAGCTTGCCGGGCTCTCCGAGAGGGGCGGAGGAATCGAACCTGGGTCGGCCAGGTTAGCCGCGTGCGCGCAAGGCAAATGCCCTATCGGCTGTGCTATTGCTCCAGCCCCAATTCTAAACTATGTAACTTCAATTACCATAAAAAAGTAAAGTTTAAAAAAATCTTGACTTTTAAAAAATTGAGCCCAGTAGAGTTTAGCTCTCTTGATACTGAACACTCACTAAAATTAAACTCTTGGGCCAGAGAGACAGTACAGCGAATAGGGCGGTTGCCTTGCCCATGGCCGACCTGGGTTCAATCCCCGGCATCCCATATGGCCCCCCCAAGCACTGCCAGGAGTAATTCTTGAGTGCAGAACCAGGAGTAACCCCTGAGCATCACTGGTTGTGCCCCCCCCCAAAAAAAAATTAAATTAAACTCTTGGTATATGTGTGTGTGCGTGTATACGTATTCGATATGCAAACACAGTAACAAGTCTCACAATGTTACTGGGCCCACTCGAGCAAATCGATGAACAACGGGAGGACCATGACCGTGATATATATATATCTGGGCTGTAAAGATAGTACAGGATTTGAGGCACTTGCCTTGCATGTAGTTAATCCTAGTTCAATCCCCAGCACCGCGTAAGGATTCCTGAGCACTGGCCAGAGTGATCCCTGAGCAGAGAGCCAGAGTAAGCCCTGAGCACCATCGAATGAGGCCCTCAACCCTAAATAAATGAATAAATATTTGTTGGGCAAGGAGATGGGTCAAAGGGCCAAAGGCTGTGCTCCAGGCTCCACCCCCCAGGATCACCTGCTCCCTCAAACAGTGCCACGAATGACCACGGACAATTAACCAGGTGGTAGACAAATCTAGAGCATCATCCACGGAAGGAAGAGAAAGATGAAAGCAGTACGTAGCCTGCCGAGCAGCCAAACTGTTCTCTCCAGCTGGAGAGATTCAAGCCCGTGTTCTAGACTGGTGTTCCCTCGAGGAGACACCACGATCCTCACTGCCTTTCACAGCAGAGCATTAGACCCACACCACACTTGATGCTGACCAACTTCTCCGAAGGGGGCAGGGGTGACTGTTACCTAGACGGTTCTGGAATCAGTGCTTCTGGACAGACTGACGACGTTACAGCCAAGGGATAGTTCCATACACTGGCACGTGACATGAGCCCAGGCTGCCAACTGAGCTTGAAGACAGCTTATGCAAAGAGATCGGAGGAATAAACCTCTCGGAAGACAGCACAGAACAATACGCCATAGGGAGGCCTCCTGACCCCACGCCAGGCTGTTTCATTTGGGGCAACCCGGAGCGGGACGGGTGAGTTCGCCCCACCCCCACCCCCAAAAATGCCAGCCCTGGCGGCCGAAAACTTCCAGAACTCAATGGCCATGCTCACGGCCGCTCTCCACACACTACGACAAGCCTCCCCCACGAGTCAATCTATTCCTGGTCATCTCATACTTTACACCACTGATGTACCAAGAGTAGCCCACCACATTTGATGGGGTTTACATAGAAGGAAATCAATCTTAGGGGGAAATACGTTTATGCAGATATAGATATAAGCACACAAGACTCAACCTTTAACAACATGTTACTAATCTCTGATAGCGGGCCTTAATGGGTCCTGGGTGAAATACAACAACCTTCACACACTTTCCTCTAAGAAAAGGAAATTTGGGGATCGTTTTTAGCAGATTATTCAGAACAAGCAATACAAAATAAATCACTTCAGTTCTTCATTGGGGGCAGGGTTTGGGTTTGGGATGGAAGCATCCAAAATACGGTGGTGGGAAGGTGGGAAGATGGTGGGTGTTCTAATGTTTTTTTTTTCTTTGCGTTCTTAGGTCACACCCGGTGATGCACAGGGGTTACTCGTGGCTCTGTACTCAGGAATTACTCCTGGTGGTGCTCAGGGAACCATATGGGATGCCGGGGATCGAACCCAGGTTGGCAGTGTGCAAGGCAAAAGCCCTACCTGCTGTACTATCGCTCCAGCCTCAGGTGTTCTAATATTAAATGTAATCAACTAGAATGCCCTGCCACAGAGGCAGGGTGGGACAGGGGCGGGGGATGGGGGGTGGGAGGGATGCTGGGACCCGTGGTGGTGGAAGATGGGCACTGGTGGAGGGATGGGTACTTGATCACTGTATAACTGAAACCCAAGCACAAAAATTTATAAGTCTATAACTGTACCTCATGGTGTTTCACGAATAAAAAAAATTGTAATCAACTATTATGAACAACTTTATAAAAATTAAATAAAAAACAAAAGAAAAAAAACAACAATGAAGACCTGAGTGGAGGCTTACCTGGTCTCCCACTCTCGCCCCACCAGGTTGATGACCACATTGCTCTGCTCCACAGCTCTCCGGATAGAGTCTTTGTCTCTCCCGTTCCATTCCTAGGATGCGAACAGAAAGGCCACTGAACCCTGCCCCAGCTCCCTGCCTCCCTGGCCCTGGCTGGGGGGGAGGAGGAGCCGGAGCAGGCTGGCATTTTATAAGAACCCGGGAACTACACCAGCAAAGCGGCTGGGGTCTCAACTCCCGGCGCACACTCTCTAACTCGGATCCAAGACAAAAAAAGACACTCGGTGCACAATATATTCAGGTCATCAAAAGACAGAACTGAACGGGGGCTGGAGCAACAGCACAGCGGGCAGGGCGTTTGCCTTGCACGCGGCCAACCTGGGTTCAATGCCCAGCATCCCATATGCCCCCCCACCCCCCCAGCACTGACAGGAGTAATTCTGCAGAGCCAGGAGGAACTCCTGTGCATTGCCGGGTGTGACCCAAAAAGCAAATAAATAAATAAATAAATAAATAAAATGAAAGATAGAACTAGACAGAGGGGTCATTCATTTCTGAGTAGGCGGTCGGCTTTTATCAGCCAAACAGAAGGTTCTGCGTTTAAACACAGGGAAACCTACTCTTACTATAGCCAGAAAAACCAAGTTCTAGAACATGCTTTTTTGTAATGCGGTCTCCCTCTCCCTTTCTCTTCCACTAGAAAGAGTTGTAATTTTGAATCTTCTATTACACTTAAAAGATTTTTAAAGGAGGCAGGTGAAATTCATTTCAATGATTCCTCCTGCCCAATTCAGCGTAACATTATGTCACTATGCGATAAAGGTAAAAGCTCTTAATGATGGATCGTATATCTCCTTCCCACTACAGCTTTGAGTTCTGGTGTGTAATTTCATACTTATTGTACATCTCTGTAGAGAACAGCCAAGTACTCAGAAGCCATATGCTGAGTACACAGCACAGCACAGATCAGCAGGAGGGGCTGGAAAACCATGACCCACTGACAAATCTAGCTCTGCAACCCAGTTTTATAAGCAGATTAACTGGAAAACAGCAACCGATTTGCACGTCTGTGACTATGTTCTAGTTATAAAGGCAGACTTGATTAAACAGGAAGACTCCTGACTGCAAAGCCTAAAACACTTACTAGCTAACGCCTTGCAGAAAAGGTGTGCCGACAGTTAGACCAGCGTTTCCTTTACTAGAATGCAGTGAATGGAGGATGGCTTTGTCCATCCTGGAATAAAGCTGCCTAAGTATAATGCCTCTCTCTCACCCCACGATGACTGGACTGCTTTCCACTTGCGGACTCCAACATTCAGTGTACAGACTCTTACCAAAAAGATAATCTGGCCCAGGTCACCCATAGGACGAAGATGCATGAGGTCGTATGTATCACACCGGTAGGGTATAATCACTTGGGACCCCATACGTCCTGAAAACAAAAGTCAATGAGGAGACATTATATGACAGCAGTTTGGAAAATGTTTAAATTCTCCAATATGTGAATTGATATAATGTTTTTGTTTTTTGTTCTTTTTTTAATTTTATTTATTTATTTATTTATTTTTGCTTTTTGGGTCACACCTGGCGGCACAGGGGTTACTCCTGGCTCTGCACTCAGGAGTTACTCCTGGTGGTGCTCAGGGGACCATATGGGATGCTGGGAATCGAACCCAGGTCGGCCGCGTGTAAGGCAAACGCCCTTCCCACTGTGCTATCTCTCCAGCCCCTGTTTTTTTTTTTAAAGCAATACCACACCCCCCTTTTTAAACCGACTTTTGTTTATTTTTTTGGCTTTTTGGGTCACACCTGGTGATGCTCAGGGGTTACTCCTGGCACACAGGAATCATGCCTGGTCGTGCTCGGGGGACCATATGGGATGCCAGGGATTGAATCCAGGTCAGCTGCGTGCAAGGCAAATGCCCTCCCCACTGTACTATCGCTCCGGTCCCAAAGTGACCTGAAAGCCACACTAGGTATTCCCAGATTCCTATCCCAGTGAATATCCTATAGAGGAAGTATGATTTGATCTCCAAATACACAAATCAAATGGATTCAAAGACCGTTGTAATGAGTAACACCATTAAGAAGGAACAGAGCTCATGGCCTTCCATGAGGCAGCCCTCAGAGGTGGCACCGCAGATGCCAAATTCACATGACTTGACTTACCCAGGTGGTTGACGACGTATCGGCCCAGGAATCCCGTCGCTCCAAACACAGTGGCCACGACCCCACTGACGGAGGATCGCCCGCCCTTTCCATGAGGCACCACTGCATGATGAAGCTGGCGCTGAGGGGGCCCGTGCAGCACCCGGGTGGCGAGGGCAGCAGCAGCCGAACCTTCAACAGAAGCCCAGAATTGGGAAAAACAGTCAACGACTAAACAAAGTCACTCTGAAGGCAAACAACTCTCCCTGGAGAACTTCTAACACAATTCTTCTGTCCATGCTCCCTTCATTTACGTGCCATGAACTATTTCAAAAAAGAATGTGCAGGATAGAAGGAACCACAAAATACAAGAATGTAGAGTCTGCAACCTATAGAATAGACTTTGCCAAGAAAGTGAAATCAAGTCAAAAATAGAATACATTTCTATGTAGAAAGACACCGAGAGGGGCTGGAGCGATATCACAGTGGGGAGGGTGTTTGCCTTGCAAGCAGCCAACCTGGGTTCGATTCCCAGCATCCTAAATGTTTAATCCTACTCCGATCACCACCAGGAGTAATTCCTGAGTGCATTAGCCAGGAGTAACCGCTGAGCATCGCTGGGGTGACCCAAAAAGCAAAAAAAAAAAAAAAAAAAAAAAAGAAAAAGACACCAAGAGATGGCCAAGGAAGGAAACTGTCCAAAAATCATGAGGGATGGTTGCAGAGAAAGTGCTTTTGAAGAGGAATTAGAAGGTATTTCCATGTGAAACTTTATTTATTTGTTTATTGCTTTTTGGGTTACACCCAGCGATGCTCAGGGTTTACTCCTGGTTCTACACTCAGGAATTACTCCTAGCAGTGCTGGGGGGCCATATGGGATGCTGGGAATCAAACCAGGGTTGGCCGTGTGAACGGCAAACGCCCTACCCGCTGTGCTATCGCTCCAGCCCCTCCATGTAAAACTCTTGATACGCACAACAATGCAAAGTAGGAATGAATAAGCCTAGTATGGGGAACAGCAAAGGACTTTCCTGGAACAGACTCTGAAACTGGCAACAAATGAAAAATGATGACAATATGGATTGGAGGAGGAGGAGGACTGTTAGCAGAAAACATTTATTTTTTAAAAAAGAGTACACGTCTGACAACATGAAACTGCTAAAAAAAAAAAAGATGAGATGTGCGAGAGAAGAGGAGAGATGCTCGGAAAATACTTGCTGACTTTTGGAAACGTTAATAGCAAATGATGTGCCAGCCCTTCCATTTCAGTCTTTCTTTACAAAGTTTCGGGTTTTAGTACAAGAAGAGATTTGGAAGCTCTGCATCAACGCTTACCACATCTCCAGAGTATGCTCACAGAGAGATCAGCATTAGCGTGAACTATGAGGTTGGGAAAATCACTACAGAAAACAGCCCTATCTGACTGGAGACTTTCTGATAGAAGGTTCGACAAAATGAAAGCTCAAATGTCTGCTTCCCGGTAACTTGGAACTCTATCCTTCTGTAATGAAGAACAAATGGAATCCCTCTTTGCATTTAAGTGTGCCAATTATTGTTATGCTTTGTAACATGGGAATTAGTGGACTCCAAAATATTTACTCCTAGACATCCATATTTACTTGACTTAAGCCTCAGTTGCCCTTAGTTCCTGGCACTCCAAAATCAGGGTCCCAATGAAACTGTAAGCCACTCTGTCATCGAAAGGAAACAAACGCCATAAGTATAATAAGTTAGGAGCACTTTGGGTCATGGAACAAACTCTATCATGACCCAAAAAGAAGTAACTGAATAAGGACCCTTCTGGGGTTAGGAAAAACTAACCTGGCTTGAAGACTATGGTCCGGGATATATAGCAAGATGTCCCGAGGAAGAGTCAACCTTTAAGCTTAATATATCTCTTCCTGTGTTCATAAAAATAACTAGAAATATTATAAGAAGTAAATTCACTATGATTGTTTAAATGAATTACTGAGGACAAGAGAAAGCAATACACCCTGGATGGAATCCCACCCTTGAGTGGATCTCCTAGTAATCTGGAGTGTTTTAACACTCAGATGCGATTTTGTCCTTGAGTTAATCTCCTGAAGGAGTGGCTTTACCTCAGTTTGTTGTAATGACAATGTTCAACCCCACCTTTGTGCATCCCTACCCTTCATGAATTCTACATAACTGTGCTATAAGGGGAAAGAAGAGACTTTGGAGACTATGGGACTTTGAGGACGAGAAGATGACGATGACTAGAAGTAGAGGACTATGAGACTACGAGACTAGGAAGAAGATAATGAAGGAGAGGACTTTGAGGTTATGAGGAGACTACGACGATGGAACTATGATGACTGAGACTACGACCAAAACCATGACCAGGATTGACTGCGCCTTAAAGGGGAAGAGATCAGACTATGCTGGGGAGGAGAAACTAAAAAAAAAACAAAACACCAACTGTCTACTGATCAGCCTGGGGCCCAGTTCCTGTTTCTCTGTACTCAAGTCCTTCATCTCCCAGTCCTTTGTCCGTACATATGTGTACATATGTCGCTGCAGTGGGCCGGCCAGGGAAACGATTCTTGGCCACCGAATGCTTTAGTCCCGCGCGTGCCCACACTTTTTCCTTGTAAACTCACAAGTTATGTCCCACTAAGCTATTTCTTTGGTGAGTTAAACCACTCAATTCTCTCAACTATTTCCGATAGAGCAGAAATTTAACTCCCCCTGTGGTATACTTCAACTTTTAATTGAGTCCCTTCAAAAGTATTAGAGTCTTGGGGCTGGAGAGATAACACAGCGGGGAGGGCGTTTGCCTTGCACGTGGCCAACCCCAGGTTCGATTCCCAGCATCCCATATGGTCCCCTGAGCACCGCCAGGAGTAACTCCTGAGTGCAGAGCCAGGAGTAACCCCTGTGCATCGCCAGGTGCGACCCAAAAAGCAAAAAAAAAAAAAAAAAGTATTAGAGCCTTAGCTAGCCTTCCTGTAACAAGTGAAAGTAACACAAAAGGTTTAAAAGTACTAAGAACTAACTTCAGTTCTAATCCACAAACTCTGGGATTTAGTCCACAGTATAAACATGGGGAAAATGGAAATAAACAAAAAGGAACTAGTTTTTTTTTAATATTAAGAAGGAAAGGAGGCAAGGATAGAAGGCAGGCAGGCAGATGGGTCTTTACTTGTTTTATGGGAACTCAGGGGCACCTTCCTGTGGCACTCTGCGTGTAGTTGATGACCCACATATGACAGGTTCCAGCAGATAAGCGAGGAGTGTAGCCGAGTATGGGATTTGAGACTCAGTTTTCTGTGTCATTTCAAACAAGGGTGAAATAACCTCATGACGGCACTTCTCAGAATATCTCCCTGTCGCCAGCCAGACATGGATGGAACAGGAACCGTTGCAGAGCCACGAACCCAGAAGGTGCTAGAGAACTTATTGTATGACCGTCCTTTGTTTTAGCCTCTCCACTTTCTCCCGTTCACTATAAATGCAATCAGAAAGGTGACCGTCTTTATCCATTATATTCCTCCATTCGAAAACTTACATTGATTTCCGACTGTATTTAAACTAGCAGTCTCCAAGCATACTTGCTTGCAAGAATTAGTTTTACTCTGACGGTTATTAAGTGCAAATAAACTCTATGTAGTGCAACAAACTCCAAATAGTAGGTCAGATATTATCAAATATATTTTGATGTACACGTTTTATTTTGTTGGGGTGGCGCACCAACATTGCTGGGGGGCTACTCCTGACTCTGTGCTCAGGGCTCACTCCCTGAGGTGCTCAGGGGATCATGCAGTAGTACCCAGAATCAAACCTGGCCCTCCTGTGTGCATAACATGCACTCAGTCCATGAACTATTTCTCAAAGGTACATGTTTTAAGGGCTGAAGTGATAGCACAGCAGTAGGGCATTTGTAGGCCTTGCACGTGGCCGACCCGGGTTCGATTCCTCCGTCCCTCTCGGAGAGCCTGGCAAGCTACCTACTGAGAGTATTTTGCCCGCACGGCAAAACCTGGCAAACTACCCGTGACATATTCGATATGCCAAACACAGTAACGACAAGTCTCACAATGGAGACGTTACTGGACTCGTTCGAGCAAACTGATGAACAACAGTGCTAGAGTGCTACATGTTTTAAGACAGAATGGTTTCTAGCATACAATTTGAAGTACCGAAGTATTAGCTAACATTATGACAGAAAAAATATTTTGAAGTTCTGATACTGCATTTTTTAGCCCACCAGTTCTTCTCAAAACCCCACTTTGTAGAAAACAAATTAAAACTTAGCTTGGCTTTCAGAGGGCTTCATCTGTCATAATCAACCCTTCCCTAGATTTACAGATGTAGAGGTATTCAATTTTGCCTCCATATTACTCCAAGCCTCCTTTCTTACCTCTTTCCCTGCCAGTAGCAGGAAAACGTCCAATCTTTCTGACTCTCCAGATCCTAATAACCCTCAAAAGACTAATGGAAGGGCTAGAAAATGTTCACTGACCCAACAACACTTAAAAAAGCTGTCTAAATTTCACTACACTAAATTGTCTTTACATCTACCGGTGTTCTATGTTCTGATTATACTTCACTTTAGAATGTAACCTGTGCGGAGTTCATGCAAAACTATTCTTTATCTGAGATAATGAAACGGCATAGGTCAGAGCACAAGTTATGATGTTCATTTAAAAATAAAGTTTATGGGGCCGGAGCGATAGCATAGCAGGTAGGGCGTTTGCCTTGCACGCGGCCGACCTGGGTTCAATCCCCGGCATCCCATATGGTCCCCCAAGCACCGCCAGGAGTAATTCCTGAGTACAGAGTCAGGAATAACCCCTGAGCATTGCTGGGTGTGACCCAAAAAGCATAAATAAATAAATAAATAAAAATAAAGTTTAAGGGCTGGAAAGACAGAACAGCAGGTAACACATTTGCTTTGCATATGGCCGCCCTGGGTTCAACCCCTGGCATCCCAGAAGCACCCCCCCCCGCCCCCAACACCACCAGAAGTAATTTCCTGCAGAGTCAGGAGTAAGCCCTGAGCACAGATGAGTCTGGCCCAAAAAAAAGCACAAAATAAAGTGTAAACACTATGAAAATATCTGAAAATTTGAGCAAATTATAATGTCCAAAAGTAGAGAGAGTAGTGGGGAAATTGCCATAGAGGCAGGGTGAGGATGGGTGGGGGCAGGAGGAAGGATACTGGAGACAATGGTGGTGGAAAATGTGCACTGGTGGAGGGACAGGTGTTCGGTTATTGTATGGCTGTTGTATGGCTGAAACTCAAACATGAAAGCTTTGTAACTGTATCTCGCAGTGATTCAATAAAATTTTTTAAAAAAATGGGTCAGAGCGATAGCACAGCGGGTAGGGCGTTTGCCTTGCACGCGGCCGACCTGGGTTCGATCCCCGGCATCCCATATGGTTCCCCCAAGCACCGCCAGGAGTAATTCCTGTGCAGAGCGAGGAATAACCCCTGAGCATCGCTGGGTGTGACCCAAAAAGCAAAAATAAATAAATAAATAAATAAATATAAAAAATAAAAAGAAGATAGCTAAGACTCAGAATAGCAGGTGTTCACTAACATGTATCATTCATACTCAGTTAATAGTCTAACAAGAATCAGATTATGTCTCACAACGTAATCATGTCTATAAAACCGTCTACTAGAAATGATATGCACCAATCTTCCTAGGTTAAGTACATTAGATTGAGGCAGAAGAAAAGAGGATTCTTGACTCTGGCTTTGCCTCATGCTGATCCGATATTGATGTGAAGCTTTTCAAAAATAAGCTGCAAGGTTTGCAAAAGAGGCAATGGGTGACAATCATGTTTGGTCTATAGTCTACTTTCAGCATGCTTCTCCTATCCTGGGAGGATCCTCCCAACACCCTTTATTTGGTGCTCCCTTCTCTATCTGAGCTCCCTTTTCCCCTAGCATGTGTGGTTGGCCTCCAAGCCATGGAGCAAAATCCCTGGTACTAATATCGGCCATTCTTGGGTGTTAGTCTCCTATTTTGTTACTTTATGTTCCCCAGATGAATGCAATCTTTCCCTACCACAGAGGCAGGGTGGGATGGGGGGTGGGAGGGATACTGGGATCCGTGGTGGTGGGAAATGGGCACTGGTGGAGGGATGGGTATTTGATCACTGTATAATTGAAACCCAAGCACAAAAATTTGTAAGTCTACAACTGTACCTCATGGTGTCTCACTAATAAAAAATTAAAAAAAAAAAAAAAACAGTTCTTAGAAGATCAAAGCAAAAAAAAAAAAGCTGCAAGGAACAGCTCAAAGAATCTTCTCGGGGCTGGAGCAATAGCACAGCAGGTAGGGTGTTAGCCTTGCATGCGGCCAACCGGGGTTCGATTCCCAGCATCACATAGGGTCCCCCGAGCACCGCCAGGAGTGATTCCTGAGTGCATGAACCAGGAGTAACTCCTGTGCATCGCCGGGTGTGACCCAAAAAGCAAAAAAAAAAAAAAGAAAAGAAAAAAGAAATCTTCTCTCCTCTTCTTCTTCTTCCTCTCCCCTCCCCCCCCCCCACCTTCCACTCCCTCCCCCCCTCCAGAAAACTGTATGTAACTAATCAAAGACATCCTGGTAAACAACACCTTGAGCAGGTGAACAATGTAACTATGAAGGGACGCAGGATGAAATGATGACGTTTAACTAACTCTATTTCCTCACTTTTCCAGCTTCTCTGTGGAAGGGCAGATTGGATCAGAAATGGGAAGAAGAGCAATACTTCAAAACCAACCCTTGGAGAATCTTGAACATTCTTTGCAACAAACCCAGCCCCGGCTTCCTCCTCCCCCAGGTCCCTGCGCCTGGAAGACGCACTTCTTCTCCCCCGCCACCTTTTTTTTCTTTTTTGGGTCACACCCGGCTATGCACAGGGGCTTCTCCTGGCTCATGCACTCAGGAATCACTCCTGGCGGTGCTCGGGGGACCCTAAGGGATGCTGGGGATCGAACCCGGGTCGGCGGCCGTGTGCAAGGCGAACGCCCTCCCCGCTGTGCTACCGCTCCGGCCCCCAGGAAGGTGCACTTCTACGTGCTATTGCACGCTGCTCTCCCAAATGATGAGACCCCCAAACCGGCGTCGTGGCACCCCCGTTTTCACGGTGCCAGGAAGAAGCTGAAGCCGCGGCGGATCGAAGGGTTAGAACAAGGTCACAGTCTCCCCGCGAGCCTTCGCTCTGCACGCCCCCTCCTCCGGCGCCCCCATTTCTCGGAACATCAAAGCCCGACACCCTCCTCGGCACCGGCCCCCTCGACCTTTGGCCCTTCCCCCCGCCCCCAACGCTGTCCCCATCGCCCCGGGGGCGCAGACCCCCCCGTCTCCAAGCGCAGGATGAACGCGCCTGCCGGGAGCGGGGAAACTCCGCGAGCAGCTCCGGGGAGCGCAGGGAGCTGGCGGGGCGAACGCAGCCCGGCGCCCATCCCTAGACCCCACACCCCTGTCTCGGAATCGCCACCGGGCTGTGTCGTTCCCGGGGACACTTACGTGACATTGGCAGGGTACGGACAAGCCCGGGCTGCACGGCGGCCGCCATCTTGCCCCACAATCCCCCGCGGCAGGCCGGCCGGCCGGCGACGGCTCCCGGGCTGGGTCAAAAAGTGTTCGTCCGCGCCGCCCTGCGCAGGCGCAGACCTTCTTAGGAAGGCTGGGGAGAGTCTGGTTGTTTGCGCCACTAAACGTTAGAGACTAGAGCTGCAAGGTCCAGGAGGAAGGGATGGGAGTAGCAGGAGTAAGGGAAGAAAGGGAATTCAAAAAAGAAAAGAATCCGAGCGTCCAACCTTTAACGTGTTACTACTAATCTCTTCTAGAAGATCTTAATGGTTCCTGGGTGAAATACAACAATCTTCACACCCTTTCCTCTAAGAAATCTTCTTGGGATCATCTTTAGCATATTATTCATAACAAGCAATACAAAATCAATGATTTCAGTTCTGCTTTGGGGGCAGGGTTTGGGGTTCGGGATGGAAACATCCGAGACATGGTGTTGGGAAGGGGTAATGGTGCTGGGATTGATGTTCAAATATTAAATGCAATTAAATATTGAGAACAACTTTAGCACTGCACTGTCCACTGTCCTCTCCTTGTTCATCGATTTGCTCCAGCAGGCACCAGTAATGGCTCCATTGTGAGACTTGTTGTTACTGTTTTTGGCATATTGAATACATCTCGGGGAGCTTGCCAGGCTTTGTCCTGCGGGCGGGGTATTCTGGGTAGCTTGCTGGTCTCTCCGAGAGGGGCGGAAGAATCAAACTCCGGTTGGCCGTGTGCAAGGCAACCGCCCTACCCGCTGTGCTATCGCTCTAGACCACTGGGTATAGGCAAAAAAAGTTGTTCTCTATGTTCTCTTTACACAAATTAAAATAAATTAAACAAAAACAAAACAAAGGAATCCGAGCATTGACTGTTCAGATCTGGAGCTTCTCAGGTCTGGAATCGACCTTAAAGATAATCTCATAGAGCCAAAGAACTGGAAAAATATTGAATCAGTGACTGATGTGTATGGAACAGCAAAACCTGATCTGGAGAAGCTCAGCTCTCCCGACTCTCAGCCTAATTCTCTGGAAACGTCACATTGGACAGTTCTAGGGAGACTGAAGGAGAGAGGAAGTGGGATCTTTGCTCTAGGGAGGTGATTTTTTAGGGATAGAGTCGGGGGTGGGAGATGTCTCCAAAGGATGGAGCCCTAGCGTTGCATGTAGGAGTTTCAAGTTTGATCTCCCTGAACATTGCTGGAGCACTCAGCCAGGAGTAGTTCTGGGGCACTGCAGGGTGTGGGGAAGACAAATAGAAATCAGGATTTCTGCCAGAGAAAAAAAAGTGCCTTCTCCATGCCTGTGCTTTTGCTTTCTCCAAGCATGCTCATACAGATGCCTGGCCCAGATCAAGGCTGCAACACAGGTGACCCAAAGACACTGATACCCTCTCCAGCAGGAGTCATTCCAACTGTCAGCTCACACTGATTTAAGCCTGGCAGCTGAGTCCAGGGATTATTAATCTGCAGTGCGATTCATGAGTAGGCATCTAGAAGTTTCTGAAACTCCTAGAATGTTAGGTAAAAGTTAGCATATGTGCCATCTGCATTTTTTTTTTCAGGAAGAAATGCAAAATGACTTTCCGGAGCAATAATTTTTTCTTCAAAAACAAAAGTGAACCCTCTTGAGAATCTACATGACTCTAGCAAGAAGGTGGCATGGAGCCTAAGGAGGAAATTTCTGAAATATTAGACATTTGCTTCCCCCGTCCCCTCTTTCTTGGGTTCTGGGTTTGATCCCTAACGTTGTCATCTTTCTTCTCAAATCCAAACTAGGAAATCACAATTAGGACCTGTTTGAGAGGCCCACCTTGGCTAATTACCAAACAAGCTGATGTGGAGAAGAATATTTATAGATTAGGTCATTCTCTCAGTGAAGAAAACAGGAGTGTGAAGTTTCTGGGATGGGCATCAGAGGGGAGGGGTTGATTGTTCACACTTTGCCCCATTTGGATTGTTGACTGAAGTGTTTGCTACCAATTTCTGGACTGGCAAAGAGACCAGATCAATTTCTAATCAGAGACATATAACACAGCCACACTTGTCTTGAATCTCTTGGCTTCGTCCTGTGTTCCATTAGCACTTTGCTAAGAGTTAACCTGGAAGTCTATAGGAATATAGACATGCTTTCTTGGTTCTGATAAGTTGCCGGGTTCCCTTTATCATCAGTAACCTCCTGAACCCTGGGTCACATTGACCGTTATTGTGCATCTCCAAGTCTAACTGGCTTATATTAGTGCTAGTATCACACAAGATCACAAGATCACAAGCATCCTGTTGTTCGTTGATTTCCTCGAGCAGGCACCAGTAAAGTCTCCTTCGTCCTAGCCCTGAAATTTTAAAAGAGCCATTTCAATGCTCTTTCAGGATTAGGAGAATGAGACCCATCACTGTTACTGGTATTTGGCATATTGAGTACAACACGGGAAGTTTGCGAGACTCTGCCATGCAGGCAGGATACTTTTGGTATATATACTGTGCTAGTATCACAGTAGCAAGAAATTGTGACCAGAACACTGGCTTAAAACTCAGAATGTTAGACCACCTGTCCAGTCCCAGTCCTACCAGCGATTGGTTGTGACCTAGAAAAAGCTTCTACAGTAGCCAAAGAGAGATCAGACCTGCCCAGATACCACAAAGGGAGATTGTGAGGATGATATGACATATGGCCACTTCCCAGTAAGTGCTTTGTGCCTCTGTGGGCATGTCTGTTCAGATGCTACTTCTGGCAGTGCTGAGGGACCATGAAGGGTGATAGGGATTGAACCCAGGTCTGCGGCGTGCAAGGTAATTGCCTTGCTAGCTGTATTCTCTCTCTAGCCCCCCCAATTTCTTTACAGACAAAGACATGAGAACTAATATAGAAGAGAATCAGAAATAAATAACTTTGTGGAAGGAAATCTGTGCTACGACCATTAAACCCATTTGAACATGTTGAAGACTTGAACCTTGTAGTCCTAGTCAGAGATCTTTGTGTTCTTTTCTTCATGGAAGTTATGTATTATTAGTTCTGTATTTTAATTACTAGTTATGCCTAAGGAAAAATTGTCAAGTAATATACTACTGATAAGGTCCTCTTTGGGCTTAGAAATTCAGTCAAGAGCTTCTTTGTCTGATTTACCGCCAAAACAGTTCCTTCAGTCAAGGCGTTGCAGATTACACCAGTGACCATCTAAGATGAATTATAACACAGGGATGGTCTGTTAAGGAAATAATTAACTTTTTTTCACAAAAAGCTATATCATATAAGTAAGAGGAGTCAAGATTGGATCCCATAAAATTAAGTGATGTTTCATAAAATATGTAGTTCTGTCCTGTCCTCCCGTTGTTCATCAATTTTCTCGAGCGGACCCAGTAACGTCTCCATTGTGAGACTTTGTTGTTACTGTGTTTGGCATATCGAGTACGTCACGGGGAGCTTGCCAGGCTCTGCCGTGAAAATATATAGCAGTAGACACACAATTATTTTGCATTCTCTGCACCCATTGAATTGGTGAACACTTATTACTTATTTTGAGTAGAATCCACGGACAACACTTCCCCATGGCTTACCTAGATAAGACACTTCAAAATAGAAGTTAACAGGGAGAGGGCAGGCACGATTTTCCCAGAATAAGCAGTGGAGTCCTGGAAGTATTCTTGGCCCCTCCCATTTGCCCTTTGACCACTGGAACCTCACCATGGTTGCTATGGAGATGGTGATGTCAGCAGTTGTGATTCTGATGTCACTCCCTGATCCCAACAAGGGACTAGATGCATGGAAGGCCAGAAGAGGAAACAAGATCTTGAGCTGAGCAAGAACATCCCAGCATCGTCATTGAATTTTAAGTATATTCTGGAGTCTTCTGTGGTTCACTGTTCCAGTGCTACAGAGGTAGGACTTCCCTCTGAGCCGGCCAAACAGCCCATTTTCTGATCCTCTTTGGTTTAAAGGGAGAATTCAGTGAAAAAGTAATAGGCACTTTTTAATATTCAACCCGGTATCACTCTTTTGCCCCATTTTAATTTAACATCAGATGCCTCTAGAAATAAAGCTGTCTATCCATCAACAGCATAACCACCAAACTCATCACTTTTACTGTTAGAGTTTTAATACTGTGAATTTGGTCAATTCTCCTCGGTCATCCAGTTCCACTGGGCCCCATAAGGAGGCATGTCTTCCTGCTTTCCTGATTTTATGAACCCGAGAGCTTAACTACTTGCTGATTTATCCTCTGTATTGTGTAGATATTCCAAAACTTCTCTTCTTTCCAGTGTTCTGATAGATCTGCCTCGTAGACCTGAGGCTTGATCCTTGTCTACTTTCAGACTTGGTTTGAAGCCTTGACTGGACCACAGAACTGTGAAAACGCAGAACATTTTTTTTAAAATTTTTATTAGTGAGACATCATGGGGTATAGTTGTAGACTTACAAATTTTTGTGTTTGGGTTTCAATTACACAATGATCAAATACTCATCCCTCCACCAGTGCCCATTTCCCACCACCACGGATCCCAGTATCCCTCCCACCCCCCATCCCCCCATCCCACCCTGCCTCTGTGGCAGGGCATTCCCTTTTGTTCTCTCTCTCTCTTATTGGGTGTTGTGGTTTGCAAAAGAGGCAATGAGTGACAATCAAGAACATTTATAGTTATGTAAAGAAATTATCTGGACTAATAGGACACTAAAGAAGCTATTGCTAAAGAATGTGTACATAGAGGAGATTCAGAGGAATGTGTAGCAGTGAAAGGTATAATTGAGACACACATATGCACACTCATCTACACACAAATATACACATGCACACATACCATGGATAATCCTTAGTTAAACAATTGAAAATTATTTCAGAAACAAGAAAATTTACTGAGTCTTTGCAGCAGATGAGGAAAGAGACAAAGAAATTCTTTTTAAAACTATAAAATCTAATTAAGAAGCAAAGGATTTTGTTCAGTCATAGAGCTCGTATTTCACATGTTTTGGGCCCTGGGTTTGATTCTTGGCACCATACACACACACACACACACACACACACGTCATTAGAAGAGTTTCAAAATTTGATTAACCTAGAAAATATCTGAACGCATTTTATCTGATACGATAAGACACAATTATATCATATAAAATGTATGCCATATGAGATATTAAAAATGCAGAAATACATTTTTCTGAGTTTAGGAGCTTTGTGTCAACAGACCTTCTTGCTTACAAAGGACACTGGGAGACAATGTCTTGATAAGGAGCCGTGGTCTGTAATAGAGTAACCCTCACCAAATCCTTGTCATTTCTGCTCTACCTAGCTGACATTCATTATTTGCTCTCCTCCATTATTACTGGAGTGATAAACACATTGGCATTTTAAAAGGTCATTTTTGGTCAGTCCTTTTATTGGTCTCGGGTCGGCTGTGTCGGCCGCATGCAAGGCAAAAGCCCTACAGCTGTGCTATCACTCCAGCCCCTCTCGGAGAGCCTGGCAAGCTACTGAGAGTATCTCACCTGCACGGCAAAGCCTGGCAAGCTCCCCGTGATGTGTTTGATATGCCAAACACACTAACAAGTGTCACAAGGGAGACGTTACTGGGCCCGCTGGAGCAAATCGATGAACAATGGGAGAACAGTGAAAGTGACAGTAACTTCTATTGGTCATAGGATCCCTGTTCCATTGATGTAGAAAAGAATCACAGCTTCTAGGACATTAACATGCAGAGTTTTAATATTTAAAGGTGGTATTAACTAATTTTATGTAACCCTTTCCAAATCTCAATTCCTCATCTGTTAAATGAAAGTGTTAGAATGCATGGCTTTTATAGTTTAATATTGTCTATCATTTGTTTTCTTTTCTCATCAAATTTGATAACACGTAGCATCTTATTAATTTTCCTCTCTAAGTCCAAGATTTTATTTACCAGTTTTGAATTTAAAATACTTATGAATGATTATCTCATTATTATTACATTATATTATTATTTGCTGGCCTCATTAAATTTCTGGTTTTCCTTTCCACTTTTCCATATTGGGAAAATTTCCATATTGGGCTGGAGCGATAGCACAGTGGTAGGGCATTTGCCTTGCACGCAGCCAACATGGCCGACCCAAGTTCGATTCCTCCGCCCCTCTCAGAGAGCCCGGCAAGCTACTGAGAGTATCTCGCCCGCACGGCAGAGCCTGGCAAGTTCCCCGTGACCTATTCGATATGCCAAACACAGTAACAACAAAGTCTCCAATGGAGACGTTACTGGGCCCGCTCGAGCAAATCGATGATCAACTGGAGGGCCCCTCCTGCCCCTCTTTTCCATATTGGAAATGTTTATAGGTTTACAAGTTTGAATATCCTTATCACTGAAATACATTTAAGGATCTACTTATATATATTATCTATGTTCTTTAGGGAAGTTAAAGTTTAGAACAAGCTGCATGGAGGCAGATAAACATTCAGGAGCACAAAAGATAAAATAATAACATCAAAACTTATAAATGGAAACACTTGCTGGATACATATGACTAACAAATCCACTGTCAAAGTACAATATCACCTTTGGGCACTTATTGGGATAGAGTCTGTTCATATAAACTTGGATAAATATTTGCACTTTGAATAATCTCCAGAGCTAACTTAACTGCAAAGGAATCAAGTGTTTGAAAGCCTTATGTACAGCTTTCTATCAGCAATTGAAGTAGGCCTTTCTTTCATATTCTGATTCTCCACTTTAAGAAAGAAAAACGAGTTACTTGTAACTAGATGTAGGTCGTATTCATAAATTCATTCATTCAGCAGACCAACAAGATAATAGTTACTATGAAGAGATACCAAGATGATTTTATCAAGCAATACACTTGCCTTCATGAAGCCATGTAATAAAGAAGGTGAAATTTATGTAAGCAAAATACTAGACAGAAAGTGTGAAGTTAGGTTTAAAATGTTTCCTCAACGTTAATGGTTTGAAATGGTCAGCCAATAACATTAATCAATTTAGGTATTTTTGAACAGAAGATTAACCTTTTTTTTTCATTCTGGGAACTGTTAGACTGCTCCAAGAATAATATATAAAATTTAACTCTGTTATTTTGTTCTCATAAATTGTGTACTTCATGAAAAAAGATGACTTGATTTAAAATCATTATTTGGTAATAAAAGCTGTGTGGTTCTTAAGTAAACTCAGCCATTGTTTGTGTTTTTCTTTTGCAGATTCTATATAGTTCATGGCAGGAGGGGTGGGTAAAGTTAGAAATAGAGAAGACAACAACAAATTAATCGAGTTTTTCCCATATTTCATCACCTTTCCGCAGCAAAAGTAAGTGATGGTTTTAATTCCTTTTTTATACTTAAATGTTAATAAGTATAAAAGCTTTGGAATTATGATTTCTGATTTAAATGTATAAGTAGAGTCTACTTACTTTGACACTTTCTATTATAAATAAATCATTCACACTTAATCACTTAACTTCCCGTTAGTCGTCGATTTGCTCGAGCGGGCGCCAGTAACGTCTCCATTTGTCCCTGTCGCGTGCTAGTGTAGCCCAATGGCATCTGTTCGGTCCGGGAACATGAAGGGCCTCAAACCGATCGTTCATGATCTTGACGAAGAAGTCTGACCATCTGGAAGGTGGGCGGCCACGCGGTCTTTTGACATCCCGTGGAATCCAGTTGGTAACAGCTCTAGTCCAGCGGTCATCTTTAAATCTCATTACGTGACCAGCCCATCTGATTTTCGACACCTTGGCAAATGAGCAAATGAAAATAATAAATCATTAAGCTAAACTATACACTGGAGACTGACTGAGATTTAAGTTTGTGATTATACACTGTGCAACTATACACTGGAGACTGACTGAGATTTAAGTTTGTGATGCTCACTTGAGCTGAAAAACAGTGCAGGAAAACCTGCCTCCAAGTCTTCTCATGCTTTTTTATTTTTTTATTTATTTTTGCTTTTTTTTTTATTAGTGAAACACCATGAGGTATAGTTATAGACTTACAAATTTTTTGTGCTTGGGTTTCAATTATACAATGATCAAGTACCCATCCCTCCACCAGTGCCCATCCTCCACCACCACGGGTCCCAGCATCCCTCCCACCCCCCATCCCCCCATCCCACCCTGCCTCTGTGGCAGGGCATTCCCCCTTGTTCTCTCTCTCTTCTTTTGGGTCCTGCATTTTGCAAGAGAGGCATTGAGTGGCAATCATGTTTGGTCTATAGTCTACTTTCAGCATGCTTCTCCCACCCTGGGAGGATCCTCCCAATACCCTTTATATGGTGCTCTCTTCTTTATCTGAGCTTCCTTTTCCCCTAGCACGTGTGGCTGGCCTCCAAGTCATGGAGCAAAATTCCTGGTACTAATCTCAGCCACTATTGGGTGTTAGTCTCCCATTTTGTTGCTTTATGTTCCCTAGATGAATGCAATCTTTCTGTGTCCATCCCGCTCTTTCTGACTCATTTCGCTTGGGTCATACCCAGTGATGCACAGGGGTTGCTCCTGGCTCTGCACTCAGGAATTACCCCTTGCGGTACTCAGGGGACCCTATGGGATGCTGGAAATCAAACCTGGGTCGGCTGCATGCAAGGCAAACGCCCTGCCCGCTGTGCTATTGCTCCAGCCCCAAGTCTTCTCGTGCTTTGACAAGTCATAGTACCACACTTTCCTTTCATCATGATAATGATTCAATCATAAGAATAGTTATATACATCACTGCTAAGAGACCCTACGTGGCTTCGATTTCATAGACCTAAATAACTTGCTAGAGTTTTGGATTTTTCTGTTTGGTTTGTTGGTTTGTTTTGGGGGGCACACCTCGCTGTGCTCTGGGCTATCTCCTGGCTCTGCAACCACAAACCACTTTTGCTCAGTGCTGGGGACTGAACTGGGTCAGCCACAGGCAAAGCAAGCTCCTTAACCCCTACACTATCTCTCTCGCCCCTTGTTAGAGTTTTTTAAAAATTAAGATACCCAAGGAGATTAGGGAGAGGAGCAGTAGCACAGCGGTAAGGCGTTTGCCGTGCACGCAGCCAACATGGCAAACCCGAGTTCAATTCCTCCGCCCCTCTCAGAGAGCCCGGCAAGCTACCGAGAGTATCTCGCCGGCACGGCAGAGCCTGGCAAGCTCCCTGTGACGTATTCGATATGCCAAACACAGTAACAACAAAGTCTTCAATGGAGACGTTACTGGGCCTGCTCGAGCAAATCCACGAACAACGGGAGGGCCTAAGGAGGTTAGGAAATCTCAGTGACAGCTTGTAAGGATAGTTATTTTTCTGGATTATCCGAGACCTTTATCAGAGAGTCTCTTTAGATAAGTGCTGTCCCAAAAGGGTCTAGAAAAGCTCCTTAGAAAGGTCTCTGTTGGAAGCATCCCGCCTATTTTGCATAGCACGGTGAGTTTCCATATTACACTTACTTCCATGCACTCCTTTCATGCCTGATGACCCTTTCTCATTCTTTTTCTACTTCCAGATGTCGAAGAAGAGGGTTGATTGGTTACAAAGTCCAAATGGAGTATGCAAAGTTGATGTCTATTCACCCGAAGATAACCAACCCCAAGACTGGAAAATGGTGAGGGTCCACTTTACAAATACTGGGACTTGAGCAGTGTTATTATGAGTGCTCTTATTCCGTGCAGCACCTCCTTCTGCCTCTTATTTTTGAACGGATTTCTTGAGGAAGCATGAGCTCCTTTAGAACAATTCCCATCTATAAATTTTGGTATTATAAATTCTGTAGGTGACCCGTAGAAATGTGCTATAATTAATGAATACCTATTTTTATAGAAGTAATTTTCTGTTTAATGTTTCTGTTTTTGTTTTGGGGTGGGGATTGGGCCACACCAGATGTTGTTCGGAAGTCACTCATCACTTGACACTCAGGAATTACTCCCAATGGTGCTTGAGGACCATATGGGATGGAAGGGGATCGATCCTGGGTTGGCCACCTTACTTGGCAAGCACCTTACTTGCTGTACTATCTCCCCAGTATCTTTTCTGTTTAGTTTTAAAACAGAAATGTGTCCTAAGTTCATAATAATATTTTATAAAGTTTTACATAGAGCTATTTTAAAATATTCTCATCGTGTTTTAGGTAACATGGTTATAGTTAGTAGCACTGTCACTGTCCTCCCGTTGCTCATCGATTTGCTCGAGCAGTCCCAGTATTTTCTCCATTGTGAGACTTGTTGTTACTGTGTTTGGCATATTGAATACGTCATGGATAGCTTGCCAGGCTTTGCTGTGCAGGCGAGATACTCTGGGTAGCAAGCTGGGCTCTCCAAGAAGGGCGGAGGAATCGAACCCGGATCGGCCAGGCCGGCTGCATGCAAGGCAAATGCCCTACTACTGTGCTATTGCTCCAGTCCATAGTTAGTAGTAACTGATTATTAATTGTAAACAGTAGCACAATAGTATTAGTGGTTTTTTTTTTTCATTCTTGTTTATTTTGGTCTGAGGCCATGCCCAGCAATGCTCAGGACTTATTCCTGGCTTTGAGCTTATGATTATGACTGGCAATGCTCAGGGGACCATTTGGGATACTGGAGATCAAACCCAGTTGGCTTCATTCAAGGCAAGCCCACCACCAGCTGTACTCTCTCTACAGTCCCAGTATTAGTGTTTTGAGTTCTGACACACAGGGTTATTCATCACTACTAAAGTATCCACAATCCTCCATCACTGTAATTTTTAAAATTTAATTATTCAAATAGAGGGTATCATGCTGAGCAAAATAAGCCAGGAGGAAAGCAAGGACCAAACTATCTCCCTCATCTATGAAATGTTGAGAGAGAATAATATTTTGTAAAATATACGATGCCTCAAATTTTTTTTTAATTTTTAATTTTTAATTTTTATTAGTGAGACACCATGAGGTATAGTTGTAGACTTACAAACTTTTTGTGCTTGGGTTTCAATTATACAATGATCAAATACCCATCCCTCCACCAGTGCCCATTTCCCACCACCATGGATCCCAGTATCCCTCCCACCCCCCTCTCCCCCACCCCCATCCCACCCTGCCTCTGTGGCAGGGCATTCCCTTTTGTTCTCTCTCTCCTTTTGGGTATTGTGGTTTGCAAAAGAGGCATTGAGTGGCAATCATGTTTGGTCTATAGTTTACTTTTCAGCATGCTTCTCCCATCCTGGGAGGATCCTCCCAACACCCATGATGCCTCAAAATTTTAAATTTTTAATCTCTCATTCAAGTATTATTGTTCTTCTGCCTTCCTCATTCAACACTCATTAATCTTACTTGGTATCAGGCATTGTAAGCTGCAGTTCAGTCAGAAGATGGATGCCACTCTCAATACGTAAAATTACCAACAATATTTAACAGGTGCCATGTTAGCCATTTTTAAACATGAAAGGAATTCTATTTACATATTAAAATTAATGTTACTTTTGAAAGTAGTTCAGTGAAAGATAGTGAACTCCAAGAGATGCAGACATGTAGATAGTGCGGAAAGCAACTAGTACCCTGCGGCTGAGAGAGCAAATGAAGAGGAAGATACATAAAAACTTCCATGCCTCAGTCCACGCTGTGCCACATTTCTGTGCAGGGGGTGGTTACCACAGGATCAATCCTGAACACCACGCTAGGAATATACCCCCAAGCACTGTTGAGTAGGACTCCCAAAGCCCAAATATAAAACTGTAAGATTTCATGTAAGTCATTCACACAGAACTAGTGAGGTTTGAGGGGGAATTTATAAAACAATCTGTAGATCAGAAATCTGAATGTGAAAGTGAAAATGGAGGTAAAACAGATGTTTTCCACCTTATGTAGCACTACTGTCCTGTTGTTCATTGATTTCCTCGAGCGGGCACCAGTAATGTCTCCATTATGAGACTTGTTGTTTACTGTATTTGGCATATTGAATATGCCATGGGTAGCTTGCCAGGCTCTGCTGTGTGGGCAGGATACTCTCGGTAGCTTGCCGGCCTCTCTGAGAGGGATGGAGAAATTGAACCCGGGTCAGCCGTGTGCAAGGCAAACGCCTTACCCGCCGTGCTAGTGGGATCATTCCTGTCCAGAATTAGCACGCACATAATCAAGATTCATTGCATAGCAATGGTTTTTCTTTGGTTTATAGAGTTGTAAAACAAACTCCCTGAGAAATAGAATCATAGAGTACAAAAAGACATGAAATAATTCTGCAGAGCTTTCCACTAAGGCATAAAAATCTCCCTACGATAGTTATTACTTAACTTAGGAGAACCGTTCAAGAGGATTTTGAAGTTTGCAGAATGGGCTACAAACATCTGGTAAATTGCTTTCCTTGAGGCTACAGAGATAGGATTGGCTATGGCACTTCCATCGCATCTTGCCAAGTCCCATTCAATTCCCAAAACTGGAGTTGATGGCCCAAGCACAACCAGGAGTGGTCCCTGATCAAGCAGCCAGGAATAAGCCCTGAGCTCTGCTGGTGTCCCCCTGCCCAATAATAAAAAAAAACTTTAAAATAATAAATAAATATGCTTTTCTCTTTTTTTCCAATTTATCAAAACATAGCACTGTTCTTTGGGAATGGAAGTCATCTCTTCTAGAGCCAGAAGTGGCTTTAAATACTAGACTTCGAGTGTCTGGAAGGATAGAACAGCGGGGAAGATACAGGTTTGGTCCCTCAAACCTTAGGGGCGTTCTATATGGTCCCCCAAGCACCACCAGGAGTAGTTCCTGAGTGCATAGTCAGGAGTCAATCCTGGGCATGGCCAGGTGTAACCCCCCCAAACCCAATCCACACCAATCAAATAGAAAAAGAGATAAAGAATAGAAAGAAAACTAGATTCCATCATGTAGTAGCTATGAGATCTTAAGCAATGTTCAAACTTCTCTAATCCTCAGTTTGTTCACTTGTAAAACTTAATGATATCTCGCTTACAGGGAATGTATGAGAATTAAATGCAATATTGTGTATTAAACAAATGGCACAGCACCTGACATACACATATATTAAACAAGCTGTAACTGGTGACATTTTGACCCTAGTAATTACAATACCCAATTATTCTACAATGATGGGTGATACTTGTGATCATTCCCAAAAGACATGTGTCCAATAATAATAGCAATCCTTTCAATTGGATAGTAAATATAACTTTCACGTAGTCTTATTTTAACCAGATCCAAATGATTGTGAGTTACAACATTTAAATACATAGAGAAACATTTACAAAATAAACATATGAAGATACATGGGCTTATTATAGTAAAAGTCCACCAAAAACTATTCACTTAAAATAAATTAGTTTCATATATTAACTTATGATTTATAAGTTAGATTGTTAATTTAAATGTCAAATATTTCATGGAATGCACTTAGCTTATTCAAGATGGGCTAATATAGCCTGGAAAAGTGATGAGTGTACACAACTTTCCTTGAATTGCTCAATTTTTTCTCTTTTTTTTTTTGTTATGAGAGAGGTCTCCCTTTTTTGTTATGAGAGACCTAAATAAAAGCAAGATAACCCAAAGAAAAATAACCATTAAAAATTAACATGGGGGCCGGAGCGATAGCACAGTAGATAGGGCATTTGCATTGCACGCAGCTGACCGGGGTTCAATTCCCAGCATCCCATATGGTCTGCTGAGCAACCGCCGGGAGTAATTCCCGAGTGCAGAGCCAGGAGTAACCCCTGTGCATCTCTGGGTGTGACCCAAACAGCAAACAAATAAATAAAAAATAACATGATAAAAATCTAATTTAGATCAAATAGATCTAATTTAGATCTGCTTTCTTATAGTCATATATAGTTTGTAGTTTTTTTTTTTTGTGTGTGTGGGGGGGTGCCCATACCAGGTCACTCTGAGGGGTTATTCCTGAAAGCTCAAGGGACCAAATGGGGTGTCAAAGATCTAACATGGCTCGACCGCAAGCAAAGCAATTGCCCTATCCACTGTACTATCACACCGGCCCCTAGCTCTTATAGTTATTAAGGATACATATAATTAGATTGATATAGCATAGAGGCTAAATAATTAGTTATATAACCTAAGATGGGCTGGAGCGATAGCACAGCGTTAAGGTGTTTGCCTTGCACGCAGCCAACATGGCCCACCTGAGTTCGGTTCCTCCGCCCCTCTCGGAGAGCCTGGCAAGCTACCGAGAGTATCTCGCTGGCATGGCAGAGCCTGGCAAGCTCCCCGTGATGTATTTGATATGCCAAACACAGTAACAACAAAAGTCTCCAATGGAGACGTTACTGGGCCCGCTCGAGCAAATCGATGAACAACGGGAGGACAGTGAACCTAAGATAAGTAACTAACCTGATGTCGATTCTTTGATTTCCTCCTTAGTGGATAAGAAGAGAGTTAACATTTAACTTAACTGCAAATTTAAATGACAAAATAATATTAAGACATGAAACAGTGCCTGATACTTAATCAGAATTCTTTAAGTATTGGTTGAGTATGTTGTGTGGATGCAGTTAATAAGGCCTGAGAGAGGTGCTCTTAAGGTTGTCCTGAATATTCCGTATCTTTACTTTGTTATACTCGGGTGAAACCTTGTCTGTTTTTAAGGAAGCTTCAACTGATCCGATCAGAGTGCTCAGCTGGCTCCGGAAAGACCTGGAAAAAAGCACAGCAGGATTTCAAGATGTTCGGTTCAAGCCCGGAGAATCATCAGTAGGCGGGGAAATGGCCCAACCAGCAGACCAACACACGGGTTTCATGATGGACTATTGCAACACCACTAATAAGTGCCACCCAGGGAGATTGCATTTTGAGGTGTGCCACAGGGAAATTCCACCTCAGGGCGTCTGTGCCCGAATTGGCAACAAGGGTGCAGTGGATGAAATTTCCTTCTATGCTAATCGCCTCACAAATCTAGTCATAGCCATGGCCCGCAAGGAAATCAATGAGAGGATAGATGGCACAGATAACAGATGTGTCCATCAGTCTCTGTACCTGGGGGATGATCCTCCATCCCCCAAGAGTCTGAGCACGGTGGCCTCGGAATTGGTGCAGAAAACTGTCTCTGAATGTTCCAGATCTATTATGAATGATAAGTCTTCTGACTCTGGTGACAGAGATACACCCCAGAGATCCCCTGGTGTGAGATTCAAGAGCACTTTGAACATAAAGGAGAGCCCCAAGGAAGGCAGGTGTTACTATGACAAACCTACTTCTAAGTCTTTCTTCTATAAGGAAGAATTTGAATCTCGTAATGCAGGGGATGCCCGAGAAGGAGGAAGGATATTCCTACCTGGGGAGAGAAGGATTCTGAGAGGACTAGAAAGGCCTGATGACTTTACAACTTCTGTTAGTCAAGGGATCATGACATATGCAAACAACGTGGTATCGGATATGATGACGTCTATCATGAAGACACTGAAGATCCAAGTGAAGGATACCACCATAGCCACCATCCTCCTCAAGAAGGTGCTGATCAAGCATGCCAAAGACGTCGTCTCCGATCTCATCGACTCCTTCATGAAGAACCTCCACAATGTCACGGGGGCCCTGATGACAGACACAGACTTTGTCTCTGCTGTGAAAAGGAGCTTCTTCTGTCAAGGAAGCCAGAAGGCCACAGATATCATGGATGCCATGATGACGAAGCTTTACACCATGGTATTTTGCAAGAAACAACCCGACACTCTTAGGAAAGACATGTCTGAGGTTTATTCCCTTTTCTCCATGAATCAAAGAGACCCTAAACTTCGAAACATCAACTTTAGCTCAATGAAATCCGAAGGTAAATTTCAGGAAAAAGTATCCACGTCTCCATGCAAACCGCCAGAAAAGAGTTGTATTGAAACACTGGGTGAACACTTAGTCAAAGAGGGACTGTCCTTATGGCATAAGCATCATCAAAAAGACAAAAAACCAGTGTTCCCGTGTGTAAACTTTGACCTTCCTGACAAACAGTTTAAGCCTACACCTGAAATGCCCCTTGGATTTCCACTGGATCCTTGTGATTTCTGCCCTACTATGCCCCCCCAGGGGCCTGTGCCTTGCCCAGAGACCAATTTTGTGTGTGATTCTGACTCCTGGGCCAAAGACCTGATTGTGTCTGCCTTACTTCTGATTCAGTACCACCTGGCCCAGGGGGGAAATATGGATGCCCAGAGCTTCCTTGAAGCTGCTAGTTGTTCCAACTTTCCCCACAGAAAGTCCCCTGAGCCCTGCTTGAAGTCTCCTGTGAAAGAAATGGAGCAAGAAGTGGCCGAGAAGAAGGATCTGATGAGTGTTTTCTTCAACTTTATCCGGAATCTACTTGGCGAGACGATTTTCAAGGGCGAGCGGAACACTGAAAAGATGGACGAATCACCAGTTATTGAAAACGAGTTCCGCCGGTGTGAAAGACCAATGACCCCTTGTCCCATCAACTCATGTGAGTCAGATGAGAATAGCGGTGGCGGTGGTTTGCTCTCTGGGTTAACCAAGATGGTGGCCAATAAGCTAGAAGGCCACATGAATGGGCAGATGGTAGAACATCTGATGGACTCCGTGATGAAGCTGTGTCTCATTATTGCCAAGTCCTGTGACTCGCCCTTGTCAGACCTGGGAGACGAGAAGTGTGGGGATGCCAACAGGACGACTTCGATCATCCCAGAGTGTCTACTCGAGTGTTTGCCCTCCAAGGGCACAGGGACTGCAGAGGCTCTCTTGCAGAATGCCTACCAAGCTATTCACAACGAACTGCGGTGTGTGTCTGGGTTGCCCCCTGAGGGCTGTGAGACACCCAAAGTGATCGTGAGCAATCACAGTGACACAGATACGGTTCAGAACAAAGAACTCCAGGCTGTGCTGCAGTGGGTCGCTGCTTCTGAGCTCAATGTCCCTATCTTGTACTTCGCTGGTGATGACGAAGGCATCCAGGAAAAGGTAAGGATGGTGGTGGTGGCGTCGGGGGGTGGAGGGGAAGGAGGGGGTGATTGGGGAAGGCTGAAGAAAGGCTAAGGACGAGTTTCAGGTTCTGTTTGCCTTCTGAAGGGGAAGGTTCTTCCCAGGAAGAGCGGAAGGAAACAATATGAATTTGAAGATTGTGTTTGTTGGCAGCGAGAATGGAAAGTTTTGCTCATTAAGCCATATCAAAGGGTCACAGAAAATAGATGTTTCCCTTTTTTACACATTTTGGTGTGAATACACAGATGAGGAAATTCCCATGAGAGATACTGGGGAAAAATTGAAGAGTGTTCAATTTTTTGAGCTGCAGCCTGAATTTTGAATAGTGCAGTTTGGCCGAAAGATGAGGAGGAGCTATGGGAAATCAGCCCAGGGATGTGTTAAAAGACTTTGAGTGAGAGTGGGGGAATCACTCCTTGAGGCAAGCAGCTGATGTATGAGTTTTTCAAACCTGCTCTTCCTCTCTTCACTGATAGTCTTGGGAGATGTTGGAATTTTGTAAGACTTCAAAAAACAGCCTTCTTCTGCCTCTCGCCCTAAGTTCTGAATCAGCTGGGAAGTCAGACTAAAGAATAAGGTAGACAGGCAATCAACAGATCACTGTTATTACAGGTCAAGGCAATGAACCCTGACTCCTTGCTCCTCCCAATTTAGGCCTTGACACTGCCCAACCAAGGAAGTTTTTAGTTTGGGAAAACCATAAACAAGAATGCAAATTGCAGCTACATGCCAGTGTGAGGGAATCGTAGCATCCCACATATGCACACGTGTACACACAGTTTACACACACACACACACACACACACAAAGACTTTAGAGCTTTGACCACTTTTTCTCAATTGGGAAAGTCTAACAACAGTAGTTACTTGGGCCAGAGCAATAGTACAGCAGGTCGGATGTTTGCCTTGCATGCTCCTGATCTGGGTTATATCCTCAGCATCCCATATGGTCCCCCAAGCACTGCCTGAAATAATACCTGAGTCCAGAGCCAGGAGTAAGCAATGAGCATCACCAGGTATAACCCAAAAAGTAAAAAAAAACAAACAAACCCTCAATAATGTTTGCCAATTAAATAGCAAGAGGTGGCACAAGAGAATTCATTCTCACAGAAAACAGAGGTTGGGACTGAAGTGATAGCACAGCAGGTAGGGCGTTTGCCTTAAATGTGGCCGACCCGGGTTCGGTTCCCAGCATCCCATATGGTCCCCCACACACCACCAGGAGTAATTCCTGAGTGCAAAGCCAGGAGGTGTCACCCAAAGAGCCAAAAAAAGAAAGACATTAAAAAAGAAAGCAGAGATTGTGGAGGGTGGAAACTTTGGATCACAGTGTTAGTAACCCTTATCCAACTGGGTTGTTGGGTTTATCTCTTGGGACAACATGACTTACGGTTATGATTGATACCAAGCTGAAACAAGAAATTGTGATTTTGTTACTTGAAGTCTGGTTCATAAGCAAGCAATATTGGCGTCACCTGGGAGCTGGTTAGACAGGCAGAATCTCAGGCTCCACTCCTTACCTATGCAATCAAAATCATTTTATCAGACAACATGTGTGCCCATCTTAGCTTGGAGCTAGAGGACAATCTGAAACTCTAGTACTAAAATAATTATTATTATTTTTTGCTTTTTGGGTCACACCCGGCGATGCTCAGGGGTTACTCCTGGCTCATGCACTCATAAATTGCTCCTGGCGGTGCTCAGGGGACCATATGGGGTGCTGGGAATCAAACCTGTGTCGGCCATGTTGGCTGCGTGCAAGGCAAACGCCCTACCCGCTGTGCTATCGCTCCAGCCCCTAAAATTATTTTTTAAAGGTTTTAGTCAACTTTTATTTTTTGTTTGTGGACCATATTTGGCACTGCTCAGGGGCTACTTTTGGCTCTCGGCTCTGTCATTCCCTGTGGTAGTGGGGTCATGGGGGATACCAGGTGGTGCCCAAGATTGAACCTGGACAACCCTTATGAAAAGCAGGTGTTCAGCTCTTTGAGCCATCTTCTACCCCCCGCCCCCAAGAATTCTTGGAAAGCTGTCTCTCTGCAGTTTTTCTCATCTGTAAGCTACAATGATTTTTGTACACAAAAAATTAGCAGAGTGGGGCTCACCTCCCAAACTTCGGCTAATGGATAAAAACCTCAGAAGGATAATAGCTTGATGGGAGGTAGGCCTTTGTTCTATAGCCATCTTCAAGTCAAACCTATCAGGCAATACACCCATACTCTACACCACTGATGTACCAAGAATGGCACACAGCATTTGGTTGGGTTTAACAAACATGTTAGTAATCTCTTAAACAAGAGCTTAAACATGGCTCCGGGATGAAATACAACAATCTTCACAACACTTTCTTCTAAGGAAACTTCACTGGACCATTTTTAGCAGAATTATTGAAAACAAGCAATACAAAATTAATTTGTTTTGGTTCTATTTCGGAGGGTAGAGTTTGAGATTTGAGGTGGAAATATTTGAAATATGGTAGTGAGAAGGTGCCATGGGGGTGGGATTGGTGTTTGAATGTTAAATATAATGAATCATTGTGAATAACTTTATAAAAAGAAAATTAAAAGTGAATAAATTCATATATCCGGTTACAGATCATGTTGAATTAAGATGTAATATACTTATCTCATATAAAGACAGTGGTCTTGCAACCATCCTTCTGCAAATATACACACATACGTATATGTGCACATACATCTTTGCTACAGCAAAGACAAAGACAATCCTATTTTTTTTTTGCTTTTTGGGTCACCCCGGTAATGCACAGGGGTTATTCCTGGCTCTGCACTCAGGAGTTACTCCTGGCGGTGCTCAGGGGACCATATGGGATGCTGGGAATCGAACCCGGGTCTGCTGCGTGCAAGGCAAACGGCCTACCCGCTATGCTATCTCTCCAGCCCCAGACAATCCTATTTTATCAAAACGAAAAACCAGAGAAAGAATGGACAGGGGGTGTTGTACAGTAGATAGGGCATTTGCCGTTGTATGCAGCTGACCCCCAGGGTTCACGCCCTGGCAGTGCCTCCAAACTTCATCCGATGGGCAGATAGACTTGTACTGAACATGTTTATTTTATTGAAGAAGCTTGCATACTAAATTTATTTGGTATGACCTTGGAAGGGAGATTTCATTGTGTGTAAATATTCTCTGTGTGTAAATATTGATGATGGTAACCGTGCAATACCCATGAGCTCAATCCCTTAAGCACCTTTTCATCTATTTTTGAACTCATTTTTGAATGTGCAATGAAAAGGAGTTTTATCTGCATCTACCTTGCCCTCCCTGAACAAAATCATTCTGACCCCTTGTGCTTCCAGAAATACAGGTATACATCCATGTGCGTACTTAATACGGAGACACTTTTATTTATTTATTTATTTTTGCTTTTTGAGTCACACCCGGCGATACTCAGGGGTTACTCCTGGCTCATGCACTCAGGAATTGCTCCTGGTGGTGCTGGGGGACCATATTGGGATGCTGGGAATCGAACCTGTGTCGGCCATGTTGGCTGCGTGCAAGGCAAACGCCCTACCCGCTATGCTATCGCTCCAGCCCCCCCGGAGACACTTTTAAAGTCACACATGATTGTCCTATGTATCACATAGGTCCATGTAGCCAATTGCTGTCCAGCTCCTGAGACTGACTTTTCCCCTCTCCTCCCTCCCTCCCCTCCCTCCCTCCCTCCCTCCCTCCCTTCCTTCCTTCCTTCCTTCCTTCCTTCCTTCTTTCCCTTCCCTTCCTTCCCTCTTTCTTTCCTTTCCCTCCCTCCCTCCCTCCCTCCCTCCCTTCTTTCCTTCCTTCCTTCCTTCCTTCCTTCCTTCCTTCTTTCCTTCCCTCCTTCCCTCTTTCCTTTCCCTCCCGTCCCTCCCTCCCTCTTCTTTCCTTCCTTCCTCCCTTCTTGCCTTTCTGGCTCCCTCCCTCCCTCCCTCCTTCCTTCCTTCCTTCCTTCCTTCCTTCCTTCCTTCCCTCTCCCCCTCCCTCCCTCCTGCCTTCCTTTTCTTTTTCTTCCTTCCCTCTTTCCTCTCCCTCTCTCCCTCCCTCCCTTCCCTCCCTCCCTTCCTTCCTTCCCTCCCCTCCTTCCTCCCTTCTTGCCTTTCTGCCTGCCTGCCTTCCTTCCTTCCTTCCTTCCTTCATTCCTTCCTTCCTCCCTCCCTTCCCTTCCCCTTCCCTTCCCCCTCCCCTCCCCTCCCCTCCCCTCCCTCCCTCCCTCTCCTTCCTTCCTTCCTTCCTTCCTCCCTCCCTTCTTGCCTTTCTGCCTTCCTTCCTCCCTCCCTCCTTTCCTTCCTTCCTTCCTTCCTCCCTCTTCCTTCCTTCCTTCCTTCCTTCCTTCCTTCCTCCCTTCCTCCCTTCCTCCCTTCTTGCCTTTCTGCCTGCCTGCCTCCCTCCCTCCCTCCCTCCCTCCCTTCCTCCCTCCCTCCCTTCCTTTCCTTCCTTCCTTCCTTCCTTCCTTCCTTCCTTCTTTCCTCCCTCCCTCCCTCCCTCCCTCCCTCCCTTCCTTCCTTCCTTCCTTCCTTCCCTCCTCCCTCCCTCCTTCTCTCCTTTCTTCCTTCCTTCCTTCCTTCCTTCCTTCCTTCCTTCCTTCCTTCCTTCCTTCCCTCCCTCTCCTTCCTCCTCCCTTCCTTCCTTCCTTCCTTCCTTCCTTCCTTCCTTCCTTCCTTCCTTCCTTCCTTCCTTCTCCCTTTCCCCCCTTCCCCCTTTCCCTTCCTTCCTTCTCTTCTGCCTTCCTGCCTTCCTGCAGCTGCTTCAGCTCTCGGCAGCGGCGGTGGAGAAGGGCCGCAGCGTGGGCGAGGTGCTCCAGTCGGTGCTGCGGTACGAGAAGGAGCGGCAGCTGGACGAGGCGGTGGGAAACGTGACTCGACTGCAGCTGCTGGACTGGCTGATGGCGAACCTGTGACCCTGAGTGCCCGCCCCAGCCCGCCTGCCCCCAGCCCTGCTCACTCCCACCCTGCCCCTCCCACCTACCTTCCCGCCACACCGCGTGTCATCTCATGCGATGTCACTGGATTTTGCAGAGTTTTCTGTCCATGCGAGCAAGGACATAAAATTAAACGATTACAATGAAAAGGGATCCTGGAGTTTGGTTTCTTTGGGGGAAACCCAGACGGGCACTCTCAGGCGGAGACACGCAGAGCAGCACAAAACGAGCCACCAGAGTATAAAATAACATAATATGAGACTGACACCCAAGGACAGTAGAGATACGGGCCACGAAGATTGCTCCATGGTTGGAAGCCTGTCCCATGAGCTGGGGGAGAAGGCAGCCAGGATGGAGAAGGGATCACTAAGTCAATGATGGTTGGAGGGATCACTTGGGATGGGAGATGTGTGCTGAAAGTAGATAAAGGACCAAACATGATGGCCTCTCCGAATCTGTATTGCAAACCATGATGCCCAAAAGTAAAGACAGAGTAAGAGGGAAATTGTCTGCCATAGAGGCAGGGGGTGGGAGGGATACTGGAGACATTAATGTGCACTTGTGGAGGCATGGGTGTTTGATCATTGTAGGCCTGAAACTCATGAAAGCTTTGTAACCATCTCACAGTGACTGAATAATAAAAAAAATAAATAGAAACAAAAGCAGCCCCCCCAAAAGCCACCATCTATTTGGACCATCTCAGCCTTTATGATCATGAAAATGAGAAAATATTTTCTCTTGTTTGGAGGTTACACCCAGCTGTGCTCAGGTGTTCAGGGATCACCCCTGGCAGTGCTCAGGGAACCATATGAAATGCTGGGGATCGAACCTGGGCAGTCACGTTGGAAGCAAACGTCTTCCCTGCTGATCATACTATCTCTCCAGTCCTGGGAAAAAATATTTTCTATCACCAATCTAAGTCAGCTCTCAAAGACTTGTCTGCTTATTCTTAGAGCTACAAAAACTCAACACCTGTACTTCACTGCTTAAAATTTTTTAGTTTTATTGCCAGTTTTTTTTGTGCCTTTCTGGTCAGAGGACCCTGAGCCAAATGTCCTATTGGGACTCTACTGACAATGTTCCTATAACTCCATATAGGAATTTTCTGGTTTTAGTTTTTAGTGACTAGGTAGTCACCAGTGCCAAGTGAAGAAAAGCTGATCAATTGCAAAGTCTTGCCAACCATACCACAAATTTTTTCAAAAGCATGCAAAACAAAACAGATGACTATGACTTCCTGACAAGGTACTTTCTCATGTGGCCTTCCCCATTGTTTCTTAGAATTGAAATCCCTGGGAAATGTGTTAGTTTTCGTCACCAGATTTGAGATTCGCCTGGCAAGCTACCGAGAGTATTGGATATGCCAGACACAGTAACAACAAAGTCTCCAATGGAGACGTTACTGGGCCCGCTCGAGCAAATCGATCAAATCGAAGTTAGAATTTACTTTGTCTATCTAAAAAATTCACTTACAGAAAAAAACCCATGTTCTGTAAAAGTAGATTTACTTTCTCAGTCGTGCAGCATTTTTTCATGAATCTGACTCTACAGTGATGGATCACACTCCTGGTGGACTGGAGGACCATATGGGGTGCCGGGGATCGAACCCAGGCCAGCCACATGCAAGGCAAGTGCTGTACCTTCTATGCTATCACTCAAGCCCCCAGCTTGCCTCCTTGTCAGGCTCGTTTTTACATTTGGTAGTTGCAAGTTTGGATCTCAAGTTCGCAGTATTGTTGGTTCTGTGGGTTAGGTATATCTCTACACTGACTTACCCAAGGCCTCTGCCCCCTGCCTTTACTTCCCTCCTCCTGTTCTTACTCTCCCACCCTCCCCTGCCTTGATTTCTTTCCTTCCCTGCTCTTCTCATTTCTATAATCTAGGGTCAAGGGCAATCTAGGTATTCTGCTTTGGTACCTTGTCTTGTTATTCTACGTACCATGTATAAGTGAGATCATTCAGTATTTGTCCTTCTGACGTAAAATGATATCTCTGGCTCCATCCTAGTTTCAGCAAATTGTATGATTTAATTATATGATTAAATTTATAGGATTCTGCAGCTGCGTAGTATACTCTCTGTGTGTGTGTGTGTGTGTGTGTGTGCGTGTGTACATTCCAGACCCTCATTATCCACTCACCTGCTGTTGCATTCTAAGTCGTGTATAAATGCTGCATCAAATAATGGCAATACTGTATCCTTTGGAATGGATTTTTCTGTGTCCTTGGGGATAAATTTCAAGAAGTGGAATTGTTAGGTTGGATGGCAGTTCTGCCTACTTTTCTAAGAAATCTCCGTACTGTGCCATGATCTAGGAAGCAGCTGCACTTCCAAAGTTCATGATTGAGTTTCAGCCACATAATTTTCCATCGCTGGAGCGATAGCACAGCGGTAGGGCGTTTACCTTGCATGCAGCCAACATGGCCAACCCGAGTTTGATTCCTCCACCCCTCTCGAAGAGCCCGGCAAGCTACCGAGCCTGGCAAGCTCCCCGTGACGTATTTGATATGCCAAACACAGTAACAACAAAGTCTCCAATGGAGACGTTACTGGGCCCGCTCGAGCAAATCGATGAACAATGGGAGGGTCTTTACCTTTTTTTTTTTTTTTAATTTTCCAACACCCTTTCCTTCACCTGCGTACATTTCCTGCCACCAAAGGCCCCAGTACCTCCCCTCCCCAGCCTGCCTCCATGGAGGACATTTTTCTATTTTCCCTTTTTTTTTTCCTTTTAGGCACTGTGGTTTCCAATACTGTTACTGAGAGGGTATCATGCATGTCACTTCACCGCCTTTCAGAACCCCGTTCTTGTCTAGAGTGATCATTTCCAACGATCATTATCCTAGAGGATCCCTTCTCTACTCTTTCTTCACACCCCTACCCACTTTGTGGCAAGCTTTCTACCATGGGTCATTTTTTTTTCTTTTTGGGTCGCACCCAGCAATGCACAGGGGTTACTCCTGGCTCTGCGCTCAGGAATTACCCCTGGCGGTGCTCAGGGGACCATATGGGATGCTGGGAATCGAACTTGGGTCTGCCACGTGCAAGGCAAACACCCTACCCGTTGTGCTATTGCTCCAGTCCCTACCATGGGTCATTCTTAATCTTCTTTTTTAGAAACTTGATCCTCTTCTAGTTTCCAGTCTTCCCATATTTCTACACTTAAATCTTAATCTTTTTTTAGAAACTTCATCTTCTTTTTTAGAGACTTAATCTTCTTTTTTAGAAACTTGATCCTCTTCTAGTTTCCAGTCTTCCTATATTTTTCTGGAGCTCTACACAACTCGATTAATCTCATATATTTATATTTTCTAGGATGACCTTAACCCTCTGCTCTTACAACCTTTTAAATCATCTTCCCTGGATGTGTTCACCCATGACCTTAGCTTCAGTGACCTGGTATCTCCATTCGTAGAATGCGTCTCCATTCATAAAATGTGTCAGTGCCACATACAAAATTAGGAATCATATCTACGGGGCTGGAACAATAGTACATCAGGTAGGGCATTTGCCTTGCACATGGTGACCTGGGTTCGATGAGCATCTCCAGAAGTAATTCCTGAGTGCATGAGCCAGGAGTAACCCCTGTGCATTGCTGGGTGTGACCCAAAAAGAAAAAAAAAGGAGTCATATCTACTTTCCAAGTTGCTGATGCTATAATCATTGGTGTTTTGTTTACCACCACATAGAAATCATATTATCCTATTACTCAGGCATAAAAAAAAGATGAGATCATGCGATTTGCTGCTTTTGCATGCATCTGGAGAGTATCATGCTGAAGTTAGAGGAAGGGCAAATGACACAAAATGATCTCTTTTGTGTGCAGGATATAAAGAAACAGAGAAAGGAAATCACCAATGTACAAAGAATTGAATTACATAAAAACTGGTCTTCAGTAGGAAGTAGGGGTAGGTTGGGCAAGGAAGAGAACACTATGACAACGGTGCAGCAAAGTGGTCACTTGGGAGGATGAGAGGATGCAGTATTGTGCATGAAATCCTGTCAGTAACAGCACTATACACCACATTGTCCAAATTAATTTTTTTAAAAAGTGTCTGTCATAGAGGCAGGTTGGTGGATGAGAGGGAAATGGGGGACCATGGTAAAGGGAAGTGAGCCCTGGTGTAGGTATTGGTGTTGGAAAATTGTATGTCTGAAATCCAACCATGAATAACTTTGTAATTCATGGTGACTAAATTAAAAAAAATCATGGAGTACTATGCAGCTGTTAGAAAAGATGAAGTCATGAAATTTACATACAAGTGGTACAACATGGAAAGTACCATGCTAAGCAAAATGAGTCAGAAAGAGAGGGAGAGACATAGAAAGATGGCATTCATCTGGGGAACATAAAGTAACAAAATAGGAGACTAACACCCAAGAATGGACGAGATTAGTACCAGGAATTTTGCTCCATGACTGAGAGGCCAGCCACACATGCTAGGGGAAAAGGGAGCTCAGATGGAGAAGGGAGCACCAAATAAAGGGTGTTGGGAGGATCCTCCCAGGAGGGGAGATGCATGCTGAAAACAGACTATAGACCAAACATGATTGCCACTCAATGCCTCTTTTGCAAACCACAACACCCCAAAGGAGAGAGAGAACAAAAGGGAATGCCCTGCTACAGAGGCAGGGTGGGATGGGGGAGCTGAGGGGTGGGAGGGATACAGGGATCCGTGGTGGTAGGAAATGGGCTCTGCTGGAGGGATGGGTATTTGATCATTGTACAATTGAAACCCAAGCACAAAAATTTGTAAGTCTACAACTGTACCTCATGGTATCTCACTAATAAAAATTAAAACATTTTTTTAAAAAATCATATACACCGTAGAGCAGGACTAGATTTGGGATGGGGGATGAATGACTCTATTCTGTTGGTTAGGCAATCTCCTTATACTTTGGGAAAACCCTCTACCCATGGCTACATGCAGAAGAACTTGCCACCCACATCATCAAAGGTGGGCAGGCTGATCAATCAGAGAATACCACCCAGTATCTCAGACACAGTGATGGGTTCAAGTTCAATTATTTCTGAGGCTTGCCTGCCGGTGAGGAAAAGCTATTTGTTGACTGAGTGCTAATGGTCATCTTAATTTCCTGGCATTCGAGCTAAATAGTCATGCAAAGATGTGAGGCTCAGAGGTGGGAGAGAGGGATTCTGAGTTTTAGGGACATATGTTTTTAGTTTTTGTTTTGTTTTGTTTATTTTGTTTAATTTACTAGATCTTGTTCTGTGTGAAACTAAACTTGCTGTGTGCATTCTCCCAAATGGCATAACCCAATATCCTTGGTGGTCAACATGAGTTTATATTTTACTTCGGTCATTTTCAATTGGCTGGAGTGATAGCACAGCGGTAGGGTGTTTGCCTTGCACATAGCCAATGTGGCCGACCAGAGTTCGATTCCTCCGCCCCTCTCGGAGAGCCTGGCAAGCTACCGAGAGTATCTCGCCCGCATGGCAGAGCCTGGCAAGCTACCCGTGATGTATTTGATATGCCAAACACAGTAACAACAAAGTCTCCAATGGAGACGTTACTGGGCCCGCTCGAGCAAATTGATGAACAACTGGAGGACCGTGACTGTGACCGTGACCATTTTCAATCAAGAATCCTGAATAACATAACCACGACTACTTGTTGGGTAAGAAAAAATGTTTAATTCATTGTTCTACTAGTGATGCTCTTACACCACCTATGTCACACACACACCTCCGGTATTTTATCTGATTTGTCGGGGGAGGGAGTGGCATAAGGAGAAAGTGTAGGTGCAAGGACCTATACTCCATTCCTCATATAAGAGGAATCATGCCAGTTGGCCATTTTGATTGAGTTGTTGCTTTCTTAAACAGAGCTTTTGCATTAAAAAACAACAATCTGGTGTATAGTTATATATAAGTGCTGTCTCCAGTACAAATCACTGTGGGTGTATAGGAATAGGGCACCCACCCTCATCAAAAGTCATACTATAGGTGGCAAGATATTCTTGATCTTGGGTGTTGAGTTTTTACTTGCTTCCTTGGAGGTCTTGGACTCATCAGACTTGGTGGCCTCTGTCTTCATGGATGTTTCAATGAGTTGAGGCAGCTGGACAACTTCAGTGGTGCATGGGAGAGAGCACTGTGGATCACTTGAATTTTGAATGTGCTTAGAGGCTCCATCTCTGATTTTGCCCAAAACTTTTGTTGTGATCACCTCTGCCAAAAGAATACCAGGACACAGGAAAAAGTGCTCAGATGTTAATTAGTCTTCATTGTCCTTGAGGTTACAAACTACTTTAAGGAAATCCTAGTTAGAATAAAAAAAAAGCAATTTCCTTCCATGTGTCAGGCTATACTCTGCACACATTACATGTTCTAGTTCATTTAATCCATTCAGCCACTATAGACATGGGCATTATTCATAGTCTCATAAATGAACAATAGCATACATTGAAATTTCAAGTAAATTTTCCAGGGTCATATCTGATAAAGAAATGTTAAGACCAAAATTCAATTGTATTTATAAAACACACACATATAAAAAACACTAGGTTATTCTGCATATGAAAATATTTGGAAAATGTCAAAATCTGAAAAAATTCCAGAGGTGACTATAGTTGATGCAGAGGCTATACAGTGGGGATGGGGGAAAGGAAGGGAAAAGGAATTAAAAATAGGAGGAAAGGGGCGGGAGCCATAGCACAGCAGGTAGGGCATTTGTCTTGCACGCAGCTGACCCAAGTTCGATTCCCAGCATCCCATATGGTCCCCTGAGCACCGCCAGGAGTAATTCCTGAGTGCAAAGCCAGGAGTAACCCCTGTGTATTGCTTTTTGGGTGTGATCCCCCCAAAAAGCAAAACAAATAATAAAAATCCAAATCAGCAGGTAGGGAGACACCACTGTCTCCATTTTCCCAACCATCCTGCATAGCATGCCTACTATACTTTATTTTATATTGTTACCCCTAACTGGATAATGGGATGATGGTTCTGGTTTTTTTTAAGGGGTTACTCCTGGCTCTGAATTCAGGTATTACTCCTGGCGGTGCTTGGGGAACAATTTGGGATGCTGGGAATCAACTGGGTAAGCTGCATGCAAGGCAAACGCTCTATCCGCTGTGCTATCGCTCCAATCCCTTTTCTCCTATATTTGATTCCTTTTTCCCTTCCCAGGTTGGCTGCGTTCAACATCCCAGCACCAACCCCACCACCTCTCTCACCTTCCTGCCAACCTGGGTTCGATTTGATTCCCAGCATCCCATATGGTCCCCCAAGCACTGCCAAGAGTAATTCCTGAGTGCAGAGCCAGGAGTAACCTCTGTGCAACTCTTGGCATGATCCAAAAAGCAAAAAAAAAAAAAATCGGAGGAAAAGGGTATTCCTAACAATGGGAGCACTGGGGAAAGTTGCAGAGAACTCAACTGGAACCAGTTTCCTATAAGACAAAAATATCCAAAAGAGAAAGTGATAGTGAGATTTCTGGTTTGGAAAAATCAATGTGTAAACCCTCCAGAGGTGTCTAGCTCACAGAGTATGGAAGCAGAGCTGGATAGTGGAGTATCTGTACCTTTTTTGCTAGGGTGACGATGCCCTGGAACCTTATCTTTCCTTGTCTCACAGGGGAGGTAGAGACTGGATTTCCTCAGGTTCTGGACCCTGTTCCGGGGTTTGATATTGCGTGATTCATGAATCCAAGCATGCTTGAGGGCCTGGTCAGGGGTCATGCGAAGAGAAGGCTCCCATCTAGACACCAACAAAACCCAGTAGGGGTTATTATTTTGTTTCCTTTGTTATATTAAATGAAACATTTTTTTTTCACAGCGGCCATAAACTGAGATACAGAATTTGCTTCTTTCTTAAAGATCCTATTGAAGCCATGGTTTAAAAAATCAAATATATCACCATAGAAAAGAAATTTTCATTTTTAACCACCTATAAACAACTACTAGAAACAATTAGAAAAAAGAAGTGACAAGCCAGGGAACACATGCACATTCAAGTCTTCCAAATTCTCTCCTAGAACTTCCCATACGAGAAATAAAGAAAACTGTAACCACTGGAATAAAATTCAGTTAACTAAGATTAAAAAAAATAAAGAGAGACACTTTGGGATCAGAGGGACAGTGCAGTGAGTATGGCACTTCCTTAGACATACTCAACCAGGGTTCCATCCCCAGCAATCCATCTGGTCCGCTAAGCTCACCATGAGTGATCCCTGAGCAGCGGAAGGAATATTCCCTGCATACTGCTGAGTGTGGTCCCAAGCGCCCTCCCCCCACCCAAAAAAAAGATTAATTTCAATTCCTAAACTATAGAATATGGGCCTCTAAACATATAACAAAGAACATTCTCGAACTCTTAAAATGATTCATTGATATGGATAAAATGTCGCCAACATTCAAATGCAGTGACACATTAGATTACACAGAATTAGTTATTCCAATTTTGGAAAACTTCAACTCCTTAACATGTTCACTTTTGTTAATCCAAAATTCACTTTCTGAGAATTTTTTTTGGCTGTTTGGGTCACACCTGGAGATGCACAGGGGTTCCTCCTGGCTCTGCACTCAGGAATTACCCCTGGCGGTGCTCAGGGGACCATATGGGATGCTGGGAATTGAACCCGGGTTGGCCGCGTGCAAGGCAAACGCCCTACCCGCTGTGCTATCACTTCAGCCCCCTCACTTTCTGAGAATTTTTACCCTGGAACTTTTTTCCTAGTAAGCCCACATCCTAATTCGATCCTTTAGTATTATACAGAATGAGACAACAAATTTCCGTTGGCATAACTTTTGACCCTCTGAGAGGGTTGGCACCTTCCAAGATAAGTAATTTCTGGTGTTATTTAATTAGTGTCTGACCTACTGGGTATAGCATGAAGCTGCATATATATGGTATGAACACTTTAGACTCATCAAGAAACCAGAATAACTGAAGCTCCCAGGATTTTTGTCCAATGAAGTGTGGTTGAGGCATATCTCTCTCCCGTCTAAAATTAGCTTATACCATGTAGATCTAGAATCTACACTCATCTATTACATCTGACTATAAAAATTTATAATGTCTGGGGCTGGAGAGATAGCACAGCGGGTAGGGTGTTTGCCTTGCACGTGGCCAACCTGGGTTCGATTCCCAGCATCCCATATGGTCCCCTGAGCACCGCCAGGAGTAACTCCTGAGTGCAGAGCCAGGAGTAACCCCTGTGCATCTCTGGGTGTGACCCAAAAAGCAAAAAAAAATTTTATAATGTCTAGCCTCAAAGGTTTGCTAATCAGCAAAATCTGAGCTGATGGGGTAATAGGCCTTTGTCACTTCACTGCCTCTGGCAAATTGTGAACTACCAACTCTTTGCAGAGAGGCAAGGAGGGTTGCTGGAGGAGGGAAGAGGGAAGAGGGAGACTTGGTTCTGCGCTGTGCTTTGGATGATTGGTATTTCTGGATGATTCATCTTGGTCTCAGTAGTGAGTTTCTGGCATTTGTTAACACACATTCTAGAACTTCATCCAAAGTTTGGAATGGGGTAGAGAGTAGATGGGTCCAGGATTCTTCTCAGCCTCACTTTTCAGTTGGGTCGTACAACACAACCATCTCAAGGTGGGAAAACTTTCAGCAGCACACAATGACTTATCCTCTAAGCTAGTATTTTAAATGCCAGAGTGTGCAAAACCCAGAAAAGTGTTCTGCTAAAATGGCATCATCCCGCTAGAACAGCGTTTCTCAACACTGGACTATAAGGCCCCGCGTGGGCTCTCAGGACAATTCAAGGGGGCTGCAAGTAAAAATTGTGTGAATGGGAGGGCCAATGCACAAGACTGGGGAGCAACTGGTAGGACAGAGGCCTCCAGGATGAAAACGAGGTTGGAAAAGAAGGTTAGGGTCAGAGAATTGGTGAGAAACACTTCTAGGAAAATGAAGACTATACTGATACAACCATCCACAAATAAACAAACCATAGGACTGATCTTCTTGAGCGGTATCTTAGGAATATCCCATTTTCATAGAAAAGGAAACTGGGTCACAGGGGGAAGCAAAGACTTTCCAAATATCACATGGCTCATCTGTCGCTCATGGGACACAGACTTGCAAAAGCTTTGTTCAAAGCCTGGCCTCAGCTAACATGGTCTAAACATCGTGACAATTTTGGGTGGCTGTTCCTTTTTTCCTGACTTGGAGGGAGTACAGAACCTAGTTTCTATGATTCAAAATCAGCACAAAAATCTGTTCATAATGATTCCTAGATTTCTCCTTTCCCCCAATTCCGTAATAAAACAAGAGTTAGGTTATAAATTCTAGGAGGTAAGGGCTGATCCCATCTTACGTGACAAAGCATGCAACAACATGTTGACATGTCTCGACAGGTACCCGGAAGCAATTGGCTTCAGTTTAGAGAAGCAGAAGGCACTGAGAACTTGCCCAATCACCCCACAGGTCAAAAAGTTTGAGGCCAAGAGTTTGAGTTTGGCAAATTTGACTCCACGCACTGGTATCACAGGGCAAGTCATTAAAGCTCCTTACACGGAGTCCCCCATTTTTGCAAACACATTTTGCAAAATGATTTGCAGCACAAAATGATTTGCCACACAAATCCTTTCCCTGTCCATCAGAAGGGAGCAGTTTGCTGACACAATGAAGGGAAAATGGTTTTATAGATTCTCAAACTCAACGGTTAGTGTTTCTTAGTGCTGTTGTTATAACTGTCTCCCAGCCCCATACTTTTTCACCAGCAAGTGCTTTTTTTTTAAAAAAAAGTGGGAATGTATATGTTTAATGAAGAAGACCACAGGCAAAGACACCCCAACAAACTCACACCAAACACCTTCTGAGGAAGTCCAGGAAGCTGGTGTCATAGGTCTTCAGCACCATTGTGAGGTCCTTGGAATCTGGGTATCTCTTTTTCCCCCTATTGTTGGTTATATTTTTAGGAAAACCTCTGGAATCTTTAGAGATACAACATTCTGTGTTTAGTTTCAGGTTAAATATTCACTGGTCACATCACAGCTCTTCACTCAACCACACCTCTTAGAGTGATTTTTGCAATTTTCTCACTCTTTCTCTATATCAGCCCCCACCCCACACCCTGTTCACTCACACACCCACAACATACCCAAGAGTTCCAACCAATTTGAAATAACCATATGCTCTGTCCAGTCTATAGAATCAACCTCTGGTTTTTCTTGTAGTTCAGTATCCTCCTCCAAACCTCCTTCCCAGCTCACCTCTACCCAAATCCATCCTGGTTTTAATGGTGCAAAGTTAAGGTAAAATCAAAGGGATGATAATAAATAAAATAAATAAAAATAAATCTAAAGTGACAAAGCCACTCAGCTCTGACAAAGAATGTCAAACCAAGCACAGATAATTGCCCCTGGATGATCTGTGCTCATTTCTCCTTTTCCAGATACTAATACAGTAAGACATGGAAGTACCCCTCAGATATAACAAGATAGTCATTTTGGGAGAATGATTTACTTTCAGGACACCTCTTTAAGCGACTCAAGCAAATAAATAGCATTACTTTTTTTTTAATCATTAAAATGATCATAATTGGTTGTTCAAGACACAGCTTTTAGATTGACTTTCTTCAATCATTTCCATGAATGTATGAGTTTCCATGCCTTAAAAGAAGCTCAGAATAGAAATTTAAGGGTTCCCTAAGGTTACTCTATGCAATGCCTGAAGGGTGAGACCACTCATTCAGATTCAGAATTCTTGTGTGCAAATTTAGAAAACATACTCATACCCGAAACTCTGCAGGCAGAGGGACAAATGTGTACACACACAATTTATATGTTGAGCTGAATTATTTTGATAAATTCAGTGGGTTGAAGTGAAGGACATTCCAGAAGAAGCAAAAGGAAGTACTTCTAATGCTTTTGGAATCAGAGACATACACACAAACTCTCCTTGATCAGAAAATCACAAGGAAATACTATGAAAAGTTTAAGTTGTGAGTCTCACTTCTGACCTACTGTATCTTAGGTTATGTGGGGACTTTGCTGAGCATCCACATGATTTTTATAATCAGACAAATTTTGGAAACCACTAAAGGATACAACTCCCAATTAAGACCTTCTTCTGCAGAAAGGGAAGACATTAAATCATTGTCTCCAAAACCACATCTGTATTGTGTAGCCCAATGCTGATGGTAACAACAGGGTATTCTGGGACATGGCAAAAAATGTGTCCTGGGAACCATTGTACCAAATACATTCTTCCATTTCCTTCTTTCTTATTCTCCAGACACACGCTACTGAGATCAGTACATTGACTTACATTGTGACTCTACCCACAATGACAAATTCCCAGCTCTTTTCTCCACAAGTCCTTCAAAATCCCAAATTGCATTAGAAGTGATGACTTTAAAAGTATCTTTTGACTTTAATAGTTTCTATGGAGCAAAATTTCATTGCTTCACACAAGAGTTAAACTCAGCAACAAATCATCCAGATCTTTATTGCTGTGGGAGAGGGAAGCGAGGGAAGGTGGGGTCTTAAGACAATCAGGTTTCATTGATTATGATCACTGATGACAATCATTGATCATAACTATAGCAATGGCCTGCTTGCCAGTTGTTAAACTTTCAGATGACAGATCATGGGTGTTCAAGGAGTCCTGGGGAAGGTGGGCCAAGGAAACTATGGCTGTGGTCAGGACTCAGAGCTGTGGACTTTCATAAAGTCATACAGAGGAAGAGATTTCATTTTTAACCTCCACAGGCTGAACCAGTATATAATGACTGAACACCAGTGTCGTTCATATCCTTTGATCCAGGAAGATTACCCCAGAAGGGGTGCTTTCTAGCTCTTTGATTGATGGGGATTGATCGGGTAAATGGTGGGGGGGAACTGTGATTCTGAAGTCACTTTCGTTTAATGAGGAAGACTAGAAAGGACTGGGATTCTATGCCTATGCGTGCAGATGGACGAGCCTGACTGTCACACACACAAAAAAAAAACAGGTCATTAATTGGGGCTGGAGCAATAGCACAGTAGGTAGGGTATTTGCCTTGCACACGGCCAACTCGGGTTCGATTCCCAGTGTCCCATATGGTCCCCCGAGCACGCCAGGAGTAATTCCTGAGTGCAGAGTCAGGAGTAACCCCTAGGCATCTCCAAGTGTGAACTCCCCCCCCCCCCCAAAAGCAGGCCATAAATGTCATTCTAAGACTGGAGCTACAACAGGTAGGGCATTTGTTTTGCATGCAGATGACTTCAGTTCTATCCCTGGCAACACATAGGGTCCCCAGAGGCTAGCCAGGAGTGATCTGAGCAGAGTCAGGAGGAAGCCTAAGCACCAACAGGTGTGGCCCCCAAACAAAACCAAAACAGAAATGTCATTCCATATGGCATCAATCCCTTGTCGAAGAATTCCCCTGATCTTCCCCCTGTATTTTTCTTCCACTTAGTGTTAGGCTACTCAAGCTCCTTTTATAGGGGAATCTCTGGTATGACCCTTTAAGGAGATTTTTTTAAATCTGGGACTCTCGTTTTTGGTTCTAGGTGCCCTGAAAAAACTTATTTCAGCCTTGCTTCCGCCTGACCATTTTATATAGAACCACCGAACAGAAAGGTAGAAAATCATAAAAATTCTAGAAACTTTGAAGAGGGGGCTGCATGGAGGTGTGGTGAACATCCACATTTAAATAGATGTTCAATATTTCAGTGGCAAGCTACCACGTCTTCATAGCAAAACTGTGCAGACTTCCCTGGATTTTGTACCAAAGTTGCAGTGAGTTTGGCATAGGCCTGAGGATTGGAATTGTGAGGAGAATTTCATCATCAGGAAGAAATAATGTTTCATTAATAATACAAAATACAGTAATGGAGTTTCCCCACTATTCGATTTGGGGGGGTAGGGGAAGGAATGCCCAGATGTGCTCAGGGTTTACACCTGGATCTGCATTCAGTGATCACTCCTGGTAGTGTGTGTTGGTAGTATGTGGCCCAGGGGACCACATAGGATGCCAGGGATCAAACCTGGGTCGGCAAAGCGAACACCCTACATACTGAACTATCACTCCAGATAGTCTTCAATATTATTTTTTATTTTTGGATCACAACTCGTGATGCACAGGGGTTACTCCTGGCTCTGCACTCAGGAATTACTCCTGGCAGTGCTCAGGGGACCGTATAGGATGCTGGGAATCAAACCTAGGTCAGCTGCGTGCAAGGCAAATGCCCTACCCTCTGTGCTATTGCTCCAGCCCCTTTCTCACTATTCTTAAAAAGAAAAATCTGGGATGGAGCAATAGCACAACGAGTAGGGTGTTTGCCTTGCACTTGGCTGGCCTGAGTTTGATTCCCAGCATCCCATATGGTCCCCCGAGCACCGCCAGGAGTCATTCCTGAGCACAGAGTCAGGAGGAACCCCTGAGCATTGCTGGGTGTGACCCAAAAAGCCAAAAAAATAAGAAAAATCTGCTCTTAGATTTCCTTGCACAGCGGTGTGTGTGTGTGTGTGTGTGTGTGTGTGTGTGTGTGTGTGTGTGTGTGTGTGTTGGGGCAGGGGGAGAGGCAGGGAGAATTTACAGGCCAGAATTTAATCATAATCTTTTTGGGTTTCTGTTTGTTTTTGTTTGGGAGCCACTCTGGGAAATGCTCAAGGTTTACTCCTGGCTCTGAACTCAGGAGTCACTCTGGAGGGGGACCATATGGGATACCAGGGATTGAACCTGGGTTGGCCTGATATAAGACAAAAGCTCCATCTGTATCACTCCAGCCCCATCATCTTGAGGGTTCAAGATCTGAGCAGGAATCAAATCATTCTCCTCCTGAACATTTTTATTGCCAAGATTACATTCCCAGAAGTGGTACCCAATTTCCTCTCCATCATGCCAACTGGTACCAGTCTGGGGAATCTTTCCCACTTTCTTAAATGAAACCTCTCGTTCCTCTTTGCCCTTCAGGATGACACCAGGGAAAGGATACCAACATGCTTTGGGGATTCACACCCTTTGGCAATTTATGAATCACAATGGAAAACAGAGACAGAGACACAGAGACACAGAGAGAGATGGAGAGAAAGAGAGAGTGAGTGAGAGAGAGAGAAAGAGAGAGAGACAGGGATGGAGACAGAGAGAGAAAGAAAGGAGGGAGGGAAAGAAGGAAGGAAGGAAGGAAGGAAGGAAGGAAGGAAGGAAGGAAGGAAGGAAGGAAGGAAGGGAGGGAGGGAGGGAGGAAGGGAGGGAGAGAGAGAGAGTTAGACCCGGCGAACTTACCAAAGAAGGTCTGTCTCCTGGAGGCCGTTTGAATGAAGTGGGTGGGTGGCAGGCCCAGCACCTTCAAGAAACACAGGGTAGGGATTCACTCACGTGATGTTTTGGAGAAGTATATTCAAAGCAACTTTTAATGAGCATCTAATGAAAAATCAAGCTGTAATATACAAGGTCCCCAAGCCCCCCACCCCCCTCACCTCCATGATGCAGGCCAGCTGCTCCACTTCATTCTCCCCTGGGAAGAGAGGGTAGCCCGTGTACAGCTCAGCCATGATGCAACCCAGGCTCCACATATCAATGGCCATGTTGTAGGGGTGGCCAAGAATCACTTCTGGGGATCGGTAGAACCGACTCTGGATATAGCTGTATACTGCAGGGAGTAAAAAAGAATAGTCACGAGTGGGAAAAACTTTCCACTCCAATCCCAAGAAGTGATTTCACCAGGGTACCTCCTGCCTGGAGCGATGAAAGATCATTTAAGCTTTCCACATCTCACTCTGCAGGATTTGCAGGAAGATATCAAAGCAAGCACCACATCCAGCCAAACCCCATTTAATCCTTGACACCCAGCACCTCTCTATGGTCCCCTGAGCACTTCCAGGAGTGATCCCTGAGCACAAAGCCAGGAGCAGACCCCAAACACTGGCAGCTATAGCTTTTTTTTTTCTAATGAATATTATATTTTAATTTCTTTTTAAAATTATTTTATTTATTTATTTGCTTTTTGGGTCACACCCGGCAATGCACAGAGGTTACTCCTGGCTCATGCACTCAGGAATTACTCCTGGCTCATGAGGCTCAGGGGACCATATGGGATGCTGGGAATCAAACCCAGGTTGGCTGCATGCAAGGCAAATGCCCTACCCGCTGTGCTATTACTCCAGTCCCTATATTTTAATTTCCGCTCGAGCAAATTGATGAACAATGGGAGGACAGTGACAGTGTGCAAATAGTTTTTATGTTCATATCTTTTGGGATTTTATTTGATATATTTATTTTTTTTTAATTTTTTATTAGTGAATAACCGTGAAGTTACAGTTACAGATTTACAAACTTTTGTGCTTGCGTTTCAGTCATAGAATGATCGAGTACCCATCCTTCCACCAGTGGCCATTCTCCACCACCAGTGGGCCCAGTATTCCTCCCATCCCTCCTACCCCGTCCCCTCTACCCCACCCCACTTCTATGGCAGAGCATTCCCTTTTGTTCTCTCTTTCCTTTTGGGTGTTGTGGTTGGCAATAGAGGTATTAAGTGGCCACTGTGTTCAGTCTATAGTCTACTTTCAGCATGCTTCTCCCATCCCAAGCGGTCCCTCCTAGTATCCTTTACTTGGTGGTCCCTTCTCTATCTCAGCTGTCTTTTCCCCCATCATTAGATTTGGTTTTTAAAACCTGACAAAGAAAATGACCAGGATTTAGAATCCACATTGTATAGCTAATTTCAAAACCTTTGGTTGCAAACTGATTCTCATGGTGGTGTTATCTTATCTTTCCTTGATTGATTAAATCTCTGTCAAACACCGTCTTCCCATTGTTCATCGATTTGCTTGAGCGGGCCCCGTAACGTCTCCATTTTTTTGAGACTTGCTGTTACTGTGTTTGGCATATTGAATACGTCAGGGGTAGCTTGTCAGGCTTTGCCATGTGGGCAAGATACTCTCAGTAGCTTGCCGGGCTCTCCGAGAGGGGAGAAGGAATCGAACCCAGTTCGGCCGGGCTGTCTGTGCGCAAGGCAAACGCCCTACTGCTGTGCTATTGCTCCAGCCAAAGTAGCCAAAAACCAAAAAAAATGGGGTAGGGGCAGGATAAATTGTTCAGGGATCAAGGATGCATTCCCTGCACATGATAGGCCCGAGTTTGACCCTCACATATGCATGACCCCCTGAGAACTTCCAGAGGTGGCCCTGGTGGCCCCCAATACTACTGAGCCCGGAATACAACACATCACTGGGCTGTATTCCAGTGATGTGTTGGAATAGAGATGGGTCGAACATTGATGGGAATGGTTCCCGGGTCCCCTCTACACTATTCTGGAGGGCCCTTCACCTCCCCACAAAGAAAGCACATGAAGAATAATATAAAGCTAAACTTTCAAACAGATTTTGGGTTTGATAACTTCCAAAAGTACTGCTACGGGGGCCGGAGCGATAGCACAGTGGGTAGGGCATTTGCCTTGCACGCGGTCGACCCAAGTTCGATTCCCAGCATCCCATATGATCCCCTGAGCACTGCCAGGGGTAATTCCTGAGTGCAGAGCCAGGAGTAACCTCTGTGCATTGCCAGGTCTGACCCAAAAAGCAATAAATAAATAAATAAATAAATAAAATAAAAGTACTGTTACGTGGAAAGGATGGTTGCACATCAATATTTAGGAAGTGCACAAAATATGCACTTTAGAATGTGCATCCGTATATCTAACTGTACATGCACCGTGTCCTATAATAGAAAGTCTAAGAAGCAAAGGTAAGGTAAAGGTAAAGGCCCTCCCGTTGTTAATTGATTTGCTTGAGTGGGCCCAATAACATCTCCATTGGAGGTTTTGTTGTTACTGTGTTTGGCATATCGAATACATCACTGGTAGCTTGCCAGGCTCTGCCGTGTGGGCGAGATACTCTCGGTAGCGTGCCGGGCTCTCCGAGAGGGGCGGAGGAATCGAACTCGGGTCGGCCATGTTGGCTGCGTGCAAGGCAAACGCCCTACCGCTGTGCTATCGCTCCACAGCGGTAGGGTGTTTGCCTTGCACGCAGCCAAGAAGCAAAGCCTGGTGAAATTGTAGCACATGAGGAGGTGCAAAAGATAGTATCATAGGGGTTGGATCGATAGCACAGCGGGTAGGACGTTTGCCTTGCACGCGGCCGACCCGGGTTCAATTCCCAGCATACCATATGGTCCCCTGAGCACCGCCAGGAGTGATTTCAGAGTGAAGAGCCAGAAGTAACCCCTGTGCATCGCCGGGTGTAACCCCCACCCCTAAAAACAAAAAGATAGTATCGTAGGAGTTTAGATTTTACAGGCAAGGAGACAAAAGTCAGAGAAATGGGGCATTATGATCATTACCAAATGATGCTAGAGAGTTATCTGGACAGGGACAGCAAGGATAATCCATAAGTATTTCTCTGCTAATCAAACTGATGATGGTAAAAATGCTATAATTATAAAATAATTCAATTACAAAGTTTTTTATACACTGCTAGGCTCTAAAATGGATTTGAGGCACCTTGAAATTAAAGTATATACACCTAGGGGAGTTCTTTATTAAAATTTTAAATGCTTATTAAAATTTTAAATGTTTTGTTAAGTATTTTCATTAGCCTAAGATTAAAATAAACTAATAAAGGAGTTTTTCAAACTAAATAAAAGAGCGTATTAATTAGTTTCATTTATCTAAGATGGTACAATAGTGTTGAAATACTGATGTATAAAGTTATTGCACCCCACCAGAGTACTAAATGGGCTGGAGCGATAGCACAGCAGTAGGGCGTTTGCCTTGCATGTGACCTACCCAGCTGACCCAGGTCCGATTCCTCCGCCCCTCTCAGAGAGCCTAGCAAGCTACCTAGAGGATCTTGCCCTCACAGCAAAGACTGGCAAGCTACCTGCGACATATTTGATATATCAAACACAGTAACAAATGTCACAATGGAGATGTTACTGGGCCTGCTCAAGCAAATCGATGAACAACAGGAGGACAGTGACAGTGATAGTTGGTTTGTTTTGGTTTGATTTGGTTTTGGTTTGAGGGCCATTCCTGGTGGTGCTGAGCGCCTACTATTAACTCTGTGCTCAGGAGTGACCCCTGGTGGTTCTCTGGGCACCATATGCAATTTTGGGGATTGAACTGATTTTGGCAGTGTGCAAAACACTCTCTGCCCCTAAATGCAGTTACTTTTTAAATGGACTTAATGGAAAAGCACCTGCCACAGAGGCAGGAGAGGCTGGGGGACAGGAGAAAAACTGGGGACATCAGTAGGGAAATGTACACTGGTGAAGAGACAGAACTTTGTATTACTGAAACCCAATTATGAACAGCTTTGTAACTGTGTACCTCACGGTGATTCCATTTTTAAAAAAAGTAAAATGGACTTAATGGGCCATAATAAAGCTTATCAAGTGCCAGATACAGTTCCAAGTATTTGTATGGATGAACTCTTGGCCACCAAGACTGGGACTCACTAGCAGCGTGCTCAGCCCCCACAGCTGAGAAGAAGCAATAGATGAATTCTTTGTGGGAGGCAGCTTGCTTGCTACCTGGAATTTCTTGTGGGATTGACTCACAAAAGACAGGAACACCTGTCTGCATCAAAGATTCTGAGAATAGCCTAGAACATCTATCAAACAGTACTTTTCTGAAGAAGAAAGTATCCTTCAACCCCCATGGCCACCACCATAGCACATCCCCAGAACTCTTTTTTAATTTTAAGTTATTTAATTTTAATTCCACTGGGTTTTAAAGCCACACTCAGCAATGCTCGGGGATCCATGCAATGCTGGGAAATTGAACCATGGCCTCCAGCATGCAAAGAATGCACTCAGGCATGAACTATCTGTTCTGTCTTATGAATTTTATTTTAAAAATTGTATAGCCATGGGACCAGATCAATAGAACAGCAAGTATGCTATTGCCTTGCAGATAGGCAACTTGGGTTCAATTCCCAGCATCCCATATGTCACTAGTCTTCCAGGAGTGATCCCTGAGCACCAAGCCAGAAGCAAGTCCTGAGCACAGCTGGGTGTGGCCCTAAAACAAAACAAAAAGTTGGACCACATCCAGAGGTACCCAGGGCTTACTCCTCGCTTGGTGCTCAGGAGTTGCTTCCAATAGTTCTCAAGGGGCATGTGGTACAAAGGGTCAGTTATGGAAATGCCACACACAAGTGCTCAATCCTTTGAGCTTCCTGGACCGCAATGCCTCTTTTTGCCTCTCCTTTCACTCCAAAGCTCTCTCTGTGTGTGTGTGTGTGTGTGTGTGTGTGTGTGTGTATAACCCTAATCATTGCAACCTCTGTGTTACACTTTTTCCTCTTTCTCTTTCTTACATTGGAAAACAAACCTGAGGCTAAAAAAGCTTAAGTTTTATCTTCCTGGAACCCAAACCTGTGGTTGACCCATAGCAGACATTTAATAAGGGTTTGCTCTATGGTAAGGCTTTTCAGATCTCAAAATTGAAACAAGCCAAAGGGGAAAAGGAAAAACTATTAAATAAGTTCAGGTGCATATTGTGCAAATGTAATTCGGAACCTCTTTCTAGAGCCAAACCTGAAAGATAGAGAATGTCGAGAGAATTCTGGGGCAGGGAGTGCCAACCTTTAGGACGGCAGTGTTTTCCAAGTGCACACTCCTGGGTTCTTCCCCAGAAACTCAGATTCAGTAAATCTGGCTTGAGAACTTGTATGTTTATTGTAGCACTATTTACAATAGCTAGAATCTGGAAAAAACTTGAGTGCCCGAGAACAGATGACTTGTTAAAGAAACTTTGGTATATCTATACAATGGAATACTATGCAGCTGTTAGAAAAAAATGAAGTCATGAAATTTGCATAGAAGTAGTTCAACGTGGAAAGTATCATGCTAAGTGAAATGAGTCAGAAAGAGAGGGATAGACATAGAAGGACTGCACTCATTTGTGGAATATGAAGTAACATAATAGGAGACTAATACCTAAGGAAAGTTAAAATAAGGGTCAGGAGGACTGCCCCATAGCTTGATGGATCTCATGCACTGGGAGAAAAGGTAGCTGGGATTGAGAGAGGACCACTAAATAAATGATGGTTGGAGGGATTGCTCGGGACAGTCTATGCATGTTGAAAGTAGACTATGGACCAAACATGGATGGCTGCTTGTTAGCTGTATTGCAAACCACAACATCCAAAAGGACAGAGAGAGTAAGAGGGAATTGTGTCTGCCAAAGAGGCAGGAGGTGGGAAGGGGTGGGGTCGGGGAGAGTAATACTGGGAACATTGGGCGTGGAGAATGGGCACTGGTGGAGGAATGAGTACTTAAACATTGTTTGACTGAAGCGCAATCATGAAAGTCTGTAAGTATTTCACGATGAGTCATTAAAATTAAAAAAAATTAAATCTGACTTGAGAGCTGATAGGTGCAGTTTCTTGGAGGCCTTTTTAAGTATACTGATGCACATCTGGTGAGTTTTGCCACCGAATGCTTGTCGGGGATTCCAGGTGCACGGGAGAAGGAGGAGCATGGCAAATTAATGACCTGCACAACGTTTGAGTTCTAACATCTCTGTTTATTGTGGTGGAAACTCAGACTCAGAGAGCAACCTGCCTTGCTCCAAATCCTAAGAGTAACTATTTTGACTGAGCCCACCTAGAGCCCAGTTACTAGAAGGGAGAGAGATCACAGTAGAAAGATTTAGTACCAAGAACTGGAATGGTGGGGGTGAGGGACCTACCTTTCTGGTTCTCATAGCAGCTAGATCCAAAGTCAATAACTTTAACTGAGACTTGGCCCTTCTGGTATAATACTATATTCTCCTAGGAAGAAAAGGAGGGATGTCAGTTTTGCTGCTCAAGTCACTAACCCACATCAAGGACTATTGTCCTTCACAACCCCGTCAAGTGCATCAATGTGAGCCATTGTTTAAGCTGACAGCAGGGGCCGGAGTGGTAGTACAGCGGGTAGGGCGTTTGCCTTGCATGAGGCCCACCTGGGTTCATCTCTGGTATCCCATATAGTCCCCCAAGCACCACCAGGAGTAATTCCTGAGTGCTGAGCCAGGAGTAACCCAAGCATCACTGGGTGTGATCCAAAAAGAAAAATAAAGTTGACAGCAACATTAAGGACAGTTGGTGAGCATCCAAATTCAATGGGTACGTTAAGAGTTGGCTAGGATATTTCACATAGCCAATCAGCAGGCACCCTTAAAGTACACAGTCCTGATGACAGTTTTTTATTCTATTTTTTTTTCACCTGTGTTGCCCTCTACATATAAAAATCCCTAAGCTGTTTAATTCTATCCTGTCCTGGGTGCAGTTTGCTGCCTAAATTATATTCTAAAAGACCTACGGTATTTTGCCCAAGTGACTGTCCTGACCTTGCATTTTTTGTTAGGGGATTGATTTCCCACAGTCAAGATGTGATGTCTTCCAAGTGGACATCTACCACTGTCATCTCCAAAGCCCACTGCTCTCTCTCTCTCTCTCTCTCTCTCTCTCTCTCTCTTGCCTGCCTGCCTGTTTGTGGGCTGCACCTCCTCTTTGAACCCACTATTGGGTATACAGCAGCATTATTTTTTGCATATGTTTTGTCCCTTTCTCCATTTAAATGACGTAACTCTTGACGGGTGTAAGTCTCATCACCTAGTTCTACACCTAACTTGCATCAGGCCTTTGAAATATTGCTGACTTAATTGGATATCTCCATGAAATAGCTCCTGAAAACATACACCTACAGAGAGAGAGAGAGAAAGAGAGAGAGAGAGAGAGAGAGAGAGAGGAATGCTTCTAAAGGACAGACTTTAAAAAAGAGCAATTATTTGAGATTCTTCTTTTTTTTTCCTTTTGGGTCACACCCAGCGATGCTCAGGGGTTACTCCTGGCTTTGCGTTCAGGAATTACTCCTAGTGGTACTTGGGGGACCATATGGGATGCCAGGGATTGAACTTGGGTTAGTCACTAGCAAGGCAAATGCCTTACCTGCTGTACTATTGCTCTGGCCCTGACTTGAGGTTCTTATGCTGACTTTAAGGGTAATATAAAGTCAGTCATTTAGTACTTGTTCACAGATAAAAACAGAATTTCTTCTAGGCCCAGAAAGAGAGAGAGAGAGAGAGAGAGAGAGAGAGAGAGAGAGAGAGAGAGAGAGAGAGATATGCCTTGCATTTGCCTTGCCTTCAAATACCCCTCAACCGTAACAGCATCTGGTCCTTTCAGCACCACCGGGGTTTATGCCTAAGCACAGAGCCAGTAGCAGCCTCTGAGCACTACCAGGCATTAAAAGAGGAAGCCTCAGTTTCCCCTTGCCAGTGAGAGAGGAAGCCATAACTCTCTCTCTCCAGGTGTTCCATCTCTCCCCTATCAACCTGACACATTCCATCCCCAAGTTTCTGTTCTCAGCATTCCCAGGGTTTCTCAGGAACATAAAATTCTGCCCTGGAGTCTAGGCTGACAGCGAAACTAAGAAAATGGGCAATAATGCCTGAAGACATTTTTTGTTTGTTTGTTTTTTATTTATATAATTTTTTGTTTGTTTTTTGGGTCACACCCGGCAATGCACAGGGGTTACTCCTGGCTTTGCACTGAAGAATTCTCCTGGTGGTGCTCAGGGAACCATATGGGATGCTGGGGATGGAACTTGGGTCAGCCCTGTGCAAGGCAAATGTCCTCTCTACTGTGCTAGCACTCTGGCCTGCCTGAAAAGACTTAAACCAGCTCAAAATCCCTGTGATTTTCTGGCATCTTTTGTAAACCCTTGTCAACCAATAAAGAATACAAGGAGCCCTTAACAGGGTGTGCATAAAACTTCCTTTTAATTTAGTACCATACTAAGTTCCTACCCACTTGGGGAGCTTCTTTTCTTTTCTCTTCTGCTTTTCAATAAACATTCCCACTTTCCAACTCTGAGCGTGAACAGTTTTTTTGCTTTTTGGATCACACCCAGCAATGCACAGGGGTTACTCCTGGATTTTCACTCAGGAATTACTCCCGGCAGTGCTCAGGGGACCATATGGGATGCTGGGAATCGAACGTGGGTCGGCTGCATGCAAGACAAACACCTTACCCTCCATACTATCGCTCTAGTCCTGAGTGTGAACATCTTTATTCTCAGTATTTTCATTCTTGAAAATATTGAAGAATCTGGGAATCACAAACAAACACAGAGACCCCCTTCTGCCTCAACTGCATCAATATGGCCCTTAACACCTCCCCTGACCCCCCAAAAGGCAGAGTTCTTACAGACTCCCTATATACTTGAGCTAGAGTGTATACTATCTAGAGGTGGGAGATTACAGTTCCCATTGTATTTTCAAGGATTTCAGTGGCTGATGGATAGATAATTATTAAATATCTTAACATTCTAGATAGATATCTGGTCTGGTCTGAAGCCTCTGACACCACAAGCTGAGAAAAGTACAAATGTGACTTATAACACTCACCTGAAAACAGTTTATGTTAACTGGAAGATTGTCATCAGTAGAAGTCTTAACAGAGAAAGATTCTTCTAGTGTATCTCTAGCCCAGAGTAAAGTTTCCTTAATAATATTGAGGGGCAGTGCCCTTCCCATTTGATGGGCAAAAATAGTTGAATTGGAAAGATGCATTTTACCATCAGAACTCACTAATGTGAACCTTAAGTTCAAAAGAAAAAGTCTTTTTTTTAAGTCATCACCTACTAAATACTCTTCTAGGTGTGTATACTACCGGTGTGTACCTATACCGAACAGCTATTATCTACTTGATCAATTTCTCAAGGGAATCTATGCCTTGAGATTTTGGATACCAAATGGCTTATGAATTTCCTTGATGATGATCAGCCCTGTAAGTCCAAGCACGTGGGGATGATGATACTTTAGAAATGAAAACAGAAGACTGGGAATGTGGATATGGAGGGCAAATCAATGAACCGCCATTCTTGGGAGGCCCCACCAGACATTCTTGAAAGAACACCATTAAGTTAGGATAGAGAAGGGACCATTATGACAATGATGGTGGGAGGGATCTCTCTGAATGGGAGATGTGTGCTGAAAGTGGATAACTCATTTGGTTATCCACTTTCAGCTCATTTGGTGGCCTCTCAGTTTTTGTATTGCAAATCATAATGCCCAAAAGTAAAGTGAAAGTAAGAAGAAAAGTGTTTGCCATAGAGGCAGGTGGAGGGTGGAGACAAGGTGGGGATGGTGGGATGGATTCTGCAGACACTGATGGTCAGAAACGTACACTAGTGGAGGGATAGGCGTTGCAATATTGAACGTTGAACTGAAACCCAATCATGAATAGTTTTGCAACAGTGCATCTCATTTTTTAAAAGAAAGAAAACCAAGAAAGAACACCTTTAACTTGACAAACAATGATCAGGGGACCCAGGAGTCACTGCCAGTAATATTCGAGCCATCTGGGCTAGATGGTTTGATAGTAGGGCTCAATATCAGGGCTAGCGCTGGAGGCTGGCAGGGCAACACCCGTCAATGCTCAAGGGTGGAGGGAGAGCACGTGAAACCTTGAGCACATAAATGCCCAACCCCTGACCCCTGAGCTATCTTTTTAACAGTCTTTCATTGACAGTCTTTCATTGCTAAATTATCGCAATTACTCAATGAGTTTGTGTGGGGTTGAGGTGGGGGTGGGGGGATGAGTTGGGCATGAGTTGATTCTCAGTCAACTGGGTTGATGCACTATTCAGTGCAATGGGGATGCAGTGCTACTTGGGTCCTGCAGTGCCAGGGATTACCCGGCCACCCCAACAGTGCTCAGGGGTCATCAGGGCCACACTTGACTATGTTTGGGAATCCATGTGTTGCTATGGGATTGGACCATTACCCCACTTAAGGGTCCCTAAATGCATAAGTTTTTGCTTTGTGGTACTAGTAATTTAACACAGGGCCTCAGGTATGCGAAGCACGTATTCTATGACTTCCCTAGCGGGAATTTACAGTTGTTTTATTTCTTTAGAGTAAGACAGTTTGGGGGATGAGCAGAAGTTAGGGGGAATTTACATGTCATTGAGAATCCAGTTGTTTTGGGAATTTAATCTTTTTTCTTTTATTAGTGAATCACTGTGAGGTATATTTACAGACTTGCAAACTTTTGTGCTTGCATTTCAGTTGGAATTTAATCTTGACCCCATGTCTTTAGACCTTTTTCTTTTCTTTTCCCATGCATCCTCTCTGAATTCCTCATATAACTTATCTAACAAGCATTAACTCATGGCCTGTCAGAACTATTGTCAAGTGCTATTAGTCTGGGGAATAAAATGGTGACAAAACTTGACCGGTGACCTTGGGAAATCATATCTGAGAGTGGGAGTCCAGATAAAGAAGCAATTATCATCCACAACAATCGATATTAAGTTGAGAACACGAGCAGGGCAATGTTAGAAGGGCACATCATTTGGGTATAAAAGAAGTGGCCACTGGGCAGGAGCTATAGTACAGGGGATAGGGCATCTGCCTTGCACGTGGCTGACCCAGGTTCAATCCCCGGCATCCCATATGGTCCCCCAAGCACCGCCAGGAGTAATTCCTGAGTGCAGAGTCAGGAGTAACCCTTGAGCATCGCTGGATGTGACCCCAAAAAGAAAAAGAAAAAAAAAGAAGTGGCCAGGAATTAGCTATGCCATGGCATCAATTTCAGAGGAGAATGGCTAATGGGAGAGTTAGCCAGGAGAAACGATCTGCATGGAGCATGTCTTCACAAACTCTATTCCTTCTAGAGGAAACCCCTCACATCCTCCTTATTAAAGTCTGCCTCAATGGCCCCCATGGCTCTCCTTACAACCCCAAAGGTTGAGTCCTAATCTTCATTGCGTCTCACCCAGTCTACACAACTTTAAAGCACAATTACTTGACTTCCAACCTGAACCACTGGTTGGGGTGGCAACAGCCCAGCCTCCACCGGAGACATTGTTTCTGAGGATGGAAACCAGCTCTTCGAACAGAACAGAAGTTGTACTTACAGGCTTGAGATCACAGTGAATAATTTTCTCTACATAAAGCATTTGCAAACACTTCAACACAGAGAGGGTGAAGCGTCGAACTATTGAGAGACTAAAACCTTGGAAGCTATTGTTCTTCATTAATTCATATAAGTTGATTCTGGGAAAGAGAGAGGGAGAGAAACAAAGGACTGATTATATCAGACCTAAAGCTGAGCTTGAGCATCAAATGAGCAAATTGGATTCGAAGTAGACAAAAGACCCTGAGCCAAGCGAGTTTGTTCATCTAAGCTCAACTTCCCCCTGGATTCAAGGTGGGTCCTAGTCAAGCTCTGAACTATCCCCCTCATTTCTTATGTGACAAGATCACATAATTACTTTCATACTCTTTTGCATGAGGATATGTTAAGAGATTGCGTCAAATTTCTGAAATTGTCATAGTTTCTTGGGACTTTACACAGTGATGTGCATCAACTTTTGTTCAATAAAATGGGGAGTGGGGGAAGGAAGCGTGGGTAGTATATTTTGCCTAAAAAGAACTCACCTTTGCATGTAGACAGTGGGCCTTATTCTATGACCATGATAAATGTTGGGGAGTGTCAACTTTCCTTCTCATTCAAATCCAACAGGTTATCAGAATGTCACTATCTATCAAACAAGTCTCATGGGTCACCCAAGCTACCCACTGAGCCAACCCAAACCTCCTAGGCCTCTGACACACACCACCACTGCACCCATCCCATATACCATTTCTGCTTGCTCACTCACTTTGCTAAGCGCATTCTGCACTTGTTTGATCTGAATTACACGGGAAGGCATGTTTGATCAGAATTGCATGGGAAGGTCTTTAGGAGAGATTGGTGTTCAAAAGCAGGGGATAGAGATAGATTTGTAAGTCCTTTGCTTTGCCTACAACCAATCCATGCAGAGCAAGAAGCAAGCCCTGAGCAACATCAGGCATGAGCCCAACCCCCCAAAAATGGTAATATGCCCTCTTTTGATGCCAACGTTTAACCTAGTGAAAGACTGTCTGTATAAATCAAGTTTTCATTTTGCATCCAAAATGCCAGCTCCTGTCCTCATTTTGTGAGACCCAAAAGCAGGCTCCTCAGAAGCCATGACAAGTTGCAGCTAACATTAAATCTCAGCTAGGCCTCAGTTTCTGTTTCCCCAAAGCAGGACTCGCAGTTTCTGGTAAACTCCCAGTTGAGTAATTCACCTAGATAAGAAACTGGGCAGTTGAATTTGGCCAGTCATGAGGGGTCACCGCAATCTTCTTGAAAAGAAGCCCAAATTGTTACTGCTACCTTCTGTCTAGTTGCTGACTACTTTTGTAATAGGGCAATGCTAAAAATAGACCAGTATATAAACCGCTTCTTGACTGAATCCTATATAAAACTGCTTGTGATTCGGAGTCGAGGGCCTTGTCAAGACTTCACTGTGTTGGATGAGACTTTGGACCCTAGCTCGGGCTAGCGCTGGCTCTGGCTAGTAATGAAGTTCATTTGCTTTTGCATTATCGTGTGTGGACTCGGTCTCTCCACAACTGGGGATCTGAAACTCGGGCACAACAATTTCCTTAAATCCAAAGCACTCTCCCAACTCTGCCCAGCCAGTGGCCTGCTCCCTTGGGTTCTCAACCTCTGCTCTTAAAGGTTAGAAGGCCACGGAATGGAGGATAAGGTGGGGAATCAAAGTCCTTTTCTACATAGCTCAGGTCAGTGACAGAGGACAAAAGTCTGGCTTGGGTTATATCATTCCACTTTGCACCCAGCCCCTGGGCATGTGTGCATCTGGGACTGCTGGTGGGTGGGGGGCATAATTGGTGAGTGGCGGGCATGCTGGTGGATGGTGGGAGGAAGTGAGTGGGACAGCCCAGGCCCCAGCTACCTCACTTCCGGCTTTCTAGGCAACCCAGTGTCCTTCATGTTAAATCTAGTTCATTCAGAAAAAAAAATCCAGTATTCTTAAAATTTCTCCTCTCTCGGGGCTAAGCAATAGTATAGCAGGGAAGGCATTTGTCTTGCCCACGGCCTACCCGGGTTCGATCCCCAGCATCCCATATGATCCCCCGAGCACCGCCAAGAGTAATTCCTGAGTGCAGAGCCAGGAACCCCTGAGCAATAGCTGGGTGTGACCAAAAAAGAAAAATAAAATTCTCCTCTTTCCCTTAAGCATTGTTTGGAATGAAGATGAATTAAAATGTAAAGAGGCTGACCCTAAGAGTTCAAAGGTGATGCAGAGATGGTTGCGGAAGTAGAAGAAGTCCTTCATGTGTACCACGTGGTAGCTGTTGTCTTTGTCCTTCTTTCTGAGAGCCTCCAGGATCTTCAGCTCTACCAAGGCCTGGTGGTGAAACCTGAAATGGTTGGGGAGTGACAGGGATGTCACTTCCTGCGACAGCAATTAGCCCTCATCCTCAGGCCCTCCCATGACTTCTACCAGTCGGTCTGGGGGGGCGTTTCAGAAAGCATGAAAGACTCCACCCGCTTGCCCCATCCTGGAAGCAGAAAGGTAGAGAAAAGGAGGAAAACTAAGAGAGGGTGAGAGAGATGCGGAGTCAGAAAAGAGTAGCATAAGGAAGGAACCAGAATCCTGAACTCCTCTCCATCCGCAATGCCACACCTCTTCTTGTTCCTGATGATTTTCAAGGCCACCAGCTCATTGTTTTTGTGATCCAGGCACTTGGCCACCTGCCCAAAGGACCCTTTTCCAATCATCTCCAGAACCTCATAGCGGTAGGCAATGTGGTCGTGTAGAACCTGCGGAAGCCACACCTGAGTGAGGAGGAGCAGAGCCTTGGACTCTGGGCCTCCCTGTCTCTGGGACTTCTGGAACCCACCCCCAGCTCAGGGCTGCCTCCTGAAGGGGTGTGTCATTCAAATACACTGTTGTCTGCTCTGCCCCACCTCTTCTTGCTACAATGGTAGAAAGACTGGGGCTAGAATCCAAGTTTTCTAAAGACAATCCAATTGTTTCATAGACCTCAGGCCTCCCATGTGGAGCTGGAGAGCGTCCCCCACCAGCTCCAGCCATGTCCGACAAAGAGCATAAAACCGTCTTTGGACAACTTGGGTTCTAGTCCCAATGTTGCTACCACCACAGGTTCTACACACATGGGAACCTGTGACAGTAAGTAAGTTAGGGACAGAGCAGGTAGGATGCTTGCCTTGCATGAGACAGACCCAGGTGATCCCCGGAAATTCATATGGTCCCCCAAGCACAACCAGGAGGAATTCCTGAGTGCAGAGCCAGGAGTAACCCCTGAGCATCGCTGGGTGTGGTCCCCAAAACAAAAACAAAAGGAAGAACGTAAGTGGATTGAACACAGTAACCCTGCAGGGCCCTTGAAGTTTGGGAACACCATGATACTTGAGTGTAGCTGAGTATCAGCTTCCATGTGGGAAAATTTCCGTGTCTGACTCCTCTATGAACCACACAAGGCTTTTTGTCTGCTCTGCCTGCGCCTGGCCAGATCTGGTTCTCCTCTGTACTTGCCCAAATTTAACTCTATTTTGGAGGTAGCAAAACAGAACTTCAAATTTTCTCACCTAAGAAGGGGCAGGGTTTCCAAAATCACTCATGTGCCTCCATGTGCTGGAAATGAGCAGGGAAGCTTTCAGTCAAGGCTACAGGAAACTTTCAATTAAAAAGATTATAGAGGGGGCTGGAGCAATAGGACTGCAGATAGGGCATTTGCCTTGCACACGGCTGACCCGGGTTCGATTCCCAGAATCCCAGATGGTTACCTGACCACCGCCAGGAGTAATTCCTGAGTGCAAAGCCAGGAGCAACCCCTGTGCATAGCCGGGTGTGATCCAAAAAGCAATATATATATACACACACATGTATATATATAGAGAGAGAGAGAAAGGGGGGGAGGTGAGGGGCTAGTGGTTCAGAGGCAATAGTATCTTCTTGCAAGTGTCAAAGGGGACAAGTCTTGGTGAGTTTAGCCCCCCAACATGTGTTACACAAGGATTTGGTATGCTATTTTTGGAGGCCTGGAAACACCATGATCATTAATTTATGCTTCAAAATTTGAGCATCCCCAAGCCCACCCAAAGAACCTCGTCAAATCACCAAATAGGAATCTTCTACTTCCAGATAGCCTGGGAAATCCTCACATGGAACGGAAATGCTTTTAAAGATTGTTTCTAAAAGGGCAAAGGGAAGGTTCCACAACCCTGGTAATGACATCCCCAGAAGTATTTTCCAACACTTGAACATGTCTTCTGAAAACCGTGAGTGTGGTTGTATCTGCACGATTGCTCACAGGATCACGTACCAGCTGTAACCCTGGTAGCTCTGCCATCTGTGACTCCCTGGAACCTGCTGGCATTTTAATGCCATATGGCAGTCACATATGTGTGTGTGACCACAACTAGAGGGTGTGGCCCTAGGGAGCACCGACACTGAAACGAGATATGAGCACTCCCAACCAGAAATGTGATTCCCCCTGTGAGCGTGTGTGTTACTAGGCTACAACACTAAAGACTGTGGGAAAACTGAGTCACTACAACAGTATCAACAGAGGGAAGGGATGGGGCTGCAACCCAGCTCTCTGCCACTGAATAACTGGGTTCCAGTGAATTAGCCTAAAGATAGGAGTGACAGAATTTCCTGGGCTGGGAATGTAGATGGAATAGAGGGAAAAGAATTGAGTGGATGATTGGAGGGAGGAAAAATTTAACTTGATTTACCACCATCATTTACAAGACCAGAACTACATAGGTAAAGAGCTAGGCCTGGGGATATATGCATGGTCTTATTATAGCAACTATTTCAGCCTGCCCTGATGATTATAAAATCAGAACAGCAAGAAGATTCACAGTCTATGGGAGATTCTTCATCAAATTCCTGTTTACACCACCCCTTTGAAATGCTGTGCCTATGCAGTGAGTCTTCTCTGGGATGAAGAGCTAGAGCTTTAATCAGATTCTCAAGGGAACCCCCCCCTAATTAACATGCTAAAGTAGAACGTGTGGACAGAGTCATCTAAATCCTTGCTTCTTGAGGTATGGCCTATTGAGGATATCATCCAGAAGCTTTTTTCAGATAGAATGTTCCCGGGTCTGTTGGGTGGGAATCCACTTTCCTTTTAGTGGGGTGCAGGCTGGGACCAGGCCCAGCAATGCCCATCCTGTCAGTGCAGGTCTGGGTTTGGCATACCAGGTGAAGGCATAGAGGTTCAGGGGCCACCAGAGAAAATCTGAAGGAGCTAAAGCCAGGGATGTGGGATAACGGCACATAGTGTTGGAGATTAAATCCATGCTAAGCAGTTGCTCTACCACGTGATCTAACTCCCCCACCCCAAAAATCCACATGGGGCATATGGGAATTGGGCCACACTCAGCAATGCTCAGGAGCCATTTCTGGCTCTATGTTCAGGAGTCACCCCTGGTGGTACTCAAGGGACCATATGTGATGTTGGGAATTCAAACCAGGGTCGACTGCACGTAAGGCAAGCAAGCACCTTAGCTCCTGTACTAATTCTTTGTCCCCAAGAAACCACATTTTAGACAAGATCTCCTGGAAATTTGTGTGCAGATAAGTTTTAAGTAAAAGAGCCCAGATGGACATAAAGTAACAAAATAGGAGATTAATACCCAAGAATAGCCGAGATCAGTACCAGGAGGATTACTGCATGGCCTAGAGGCCATGGAAATTCTAGAGGAAAGGGCAGCTCAGATAGAGAAGGGAGCACCAAATAGAGGGTGTTTGGAGGATCCTCTCAGGATGGGAGATGCATGTTGAAAGTAGACTATGGACCGAACATGATTGCCACTCAATGCCTCTTTTGCAGACCACAACACCCAAAAGGAGAGAGAAAACAAAAGGGAATTCCCTGCCACAGAGGCAGGGTGGGAAGGAGGACGTAGGGGGTGGGAGGGATACTGGGTCCATGGTGGTGGAAAATGGGCACTGGTGGAGGGATGGGTATTTGATCATTGTATAATTGAAACCCAAGCACAAAAATTTGTAAGTCTACAACTGTACCTCATGGTGTTTCACTAATAAAAATTTTTAAAAATAAAAATAAAAAAATAAAAGAGCCCAGATGTTATTAAGGAAATCTGCCTATGGTTGTCAGAGAGAGAGAGAGAAAGAGAGAGAGAGAGTTTATGTGGGAGGCCTGGACTCTATCCCTGGCACTGCATGGTGTCCCCAGTACAGAGCTGGGAGAAATGCCTGAAGACTACTCAGTGTGGCCCAAAGAAAAAAATAGCAAACAATGACAAAAAAATCTTTTAGCTTGTATGAAACTATCAAAGACTATTAGAGCTGAATTCTGGAGTGGTGGTCGGGTTGTCCAAGAACCCCTGAGTTTAGTGGACTAAGAGGCACATGAACTAAGAGGTGGATCCTCTCAAAAGTAGAAATTGCTCCCCAAAGCCAATGATCTACCTTCTTCTGCCTTCTATCTTCTCACCACCTAAAAGAGAGGTGACACAGTTCTGGAGGATCAGGAGGAGTAAGAGAAAAGGAGGATGCAGCCTCAGGAAGTGGGGGACTTGAATGCGAAGCACCAGGGAGGAAGTGAGTGGGTTTGTACAGTTTTGATTTATTATTATTATTATTATTATTATTATTATTATTGCCTGTAGTTGCACTGGAATCTACTATAAAATAGAACACCGGGGGCTGAATCAATAATATAGTGGGTAGCATGTTTCCCTTGCACACAGCTGACGTGGGTTTGATTCCCAGCATCCCATATGGTCCCCCAAGCACTGGTCACGGTCACGGTCCTCCCGTTGTTCATCGATTTGCTCGAGCGGGCCCAGTAACATCTCCATCATGAGACTTTTGTTACTGTGTTTGGCATATCAAATACATCACGGGTAGCTTGCCAGGCTCTGCTGTGCGGGCGAGATACTCTTGGTAGCTTGCTGGGCTCTCCGAAAGGGGCGGAGGAATCGAACTCGGGTCGGCCATGTTGGCCGCTTGTAAGGCAAACGCCCTACCGCTGTGCTATCGTTCCAGGAGTAATTCCTGAGTGCAGATCCAGGAGTAACCCCTAAGCATCGCCGGGTGTGACCCAAAAAGCAAAACACACACACAAATAAAATAAAATAGAACCAGGGCTGGAGCAATAGCACAGCAGGTAGGGCATTTGCCTTACATGCGGCTGACCCAGGTTCGATTCCCAGCAACCCATCTGGTCCCCTGAGCACCGCCAGGAGTAATTCCTGAGTGCATGAACCAGGAGTAACTCCTGTGCATCGCCAGGTGTGACCCAAAAAGCAAAAAACAAAAAACGAAATAGAACCCCATCCGTGAGCAGGATGTTGTGAAGACAGATGAGGAAACTGCATCTACTGCCAGACTCTGACTGAGAGTTTCCTTTCTGAACTCATTTGGCTGACTACCTCCTTTTCAGGAAAAAAATTACTCAGCACTGCTCCCGCCCCCGCAAATATATCTTTTTTGAGTTGATCGTCGATTTGCTCGAGCGGGCCCAGTAACGTCTCCATTGGAGACTTTGTTGTTACTGTGTCTGGCATATCGAATACTCTCGGTAGCTTGCCGGGCTCTCCGAGAGGGGCGGAGGAATCGAACTCGGGTCGGCCATGTTGGCCGCGTGTAAGGCGAACGCCCTACCCGCTGTGCTCACTCAGTTACATCTGGGTTTACTACCACCACACATTGTTGTTCCAGCAGCGTCCCATCCCCAACCCCTGCCAGGGTACCACCCACTTTGGAAAATACCCTTCTGGCCTCTTCAAAACATTTCAGAGCTATGTGGGTAAGTATCAGGTAGGAATCCACCCCATCACACACCAGTGACCCCAAATTCTCTAGGACAAAGTCAGCATTCTTGGGGCTGGAGCAATAGCACAGCGGGTAGGGCATTTGCCTTTCATTCGGCCGACCCAGGTTTGATTCCCAGCATCCCATATGGTCCCCTGAGCACCTCCAGGGGTAATTACTGAGTGCGGAGCCTGGAGTAACCCCTGTGCATTGCCAAGTGTGACCCAAAAAGAAAAAAAGTCAGCATTCTCCATACAAAGTTTGGATACGAGTAGCATCTTGCCCTGCCTTTAATCATGGCATGTCTTTGATTTCAGTTTCTCACTGGATACCTTTAGAGTGCCTGGTGCATTAATATCAAAGGCTACATGGTACCCAATCTTTTTTGATTTTCCAGACTACCTTGAGGGCTTCCCTGCCCCTGAAATGCCACCCAACTGCACCGGAGTTTCTGGTGGTAGCCCCATTTCCCCACCCGCCCCCCTAACCTTCATGTAGGAGCCATGTTCATCATCAAAACTTGTCCTGCTGCATTTCTGAGGGGGCACGTGGAGTTTCTCAGCATCGAGCCCCAGGAACCACAGCTCGGTGTAGCCCAGAACTTCACTTTGCTCGTAAGTAGACAACTGGTTCTTAAAGAACTTGAGAGCTTCTGTGGGGAAAAGATTGCACTTGTCTGTTAGGTTGAGGGCACGTGGACACCAGTTTTCTCAGCATGCAGATGAGGCAACCCTTCTGGCTCAAGGCTAACCTTTCTCTCAACTAAGATGCTTTCTAGGGCCATGCGGCTTCAGTCTCGTGGGTGCAACGGCGACACAGATGTCCAGGTCTTGGTCAGATGCCAACAAGTCAGGGGGAAACACAAAGGTGGGGAAGGAGAGAGTTTGGTTCCTAAAGTCCTATGGGTTGTAGCAGTATGATCAAAAACTACAAGTAGTAAACTTAGGGCCACCCATAACAGGTTACTGAGGGAGCTGTTGGTCCAAGTTGACCTGATATTGGCTGCATTCTATAGAACACTTTAGAGTGTTTGTAAAGTACACAGTCTTCAGTGACCAAGCAGGTAATATGAATGTTCCTGTACAGCCCAGGAGACTCACCTCCAAAGGTGAAGTGATCCTGGGCATCCCTCCAACTACAAAGAGGACTTGGATTTGAGCTCTTCTCTAGTCTACACTGGCTGTCAGACATCAGGGTTCTGGCAAAAGTGGGATGGGATTTACACTTGACAAGAAACAATGTTCAGTGAACACTACTCTGAGAAGAGATACTGGAAATGGGGTCAGGAGAGAGGCACCCTATTCTCTCACGACCTTCAGAAGAAGGAACTGCAGTGATTTTGTGGGTGGCAGGTGAGAAGGCATCAGAAATAGGCTTCTGGGGGTCACGAATTCTATTTTTATGGATGTGAAAGGTTAAGGTATGAATTAACTTAAGGTCTTTTGTGTTTCAGAGGTTAGAACCAAAGCCCAAGGGAATTAGTGGGGGCAGGGGAAGTGGGAAGAGCAGCTGAACTCAGCTGGAATGATCGCCTCATGGATAGTTTCTAAGACAGTGAAGGCAAGAAAGGGACTGCCTCCTTTCAATCACCAGTGTGGGCACCATAGACAGTGGTCAAGGCATCCAGAGTCTCTTCCTTGAAACTCTTATGCATCTTTGAACCCAAGAGGAACCCAGCTCTTGGTCCAGCACCTATGATGAATGAGGTTTCAGGCTTGACTCTAAGCAATTAAAAAAAGACTTTACCTGGCAAGTTCTCCTGGCTGGTCTCTCAGGGATGCATGGGAGGTGGGCACTACCTCTCTACACCAGACTTGGTGCTCTACTTGGGCATTGAAGTCAACACTGAAGGTTCTAAAGAATCAGGACCAAGAATCCAGCTTCCCTGGTCAGTCTGGCTCTGAGATTGACCGGACCCAGGGGTTCTCAAGACTTTTTCTTCCACTCAAACTCAGTACCTTTCTACTCTTAATCCTACTTCCTTCCATTTCTTATCCTTCCTCCTTTTCAAGCTAAAAAAGGTTTGAGCTTCTAGGCCATTAGATAATTTCCCAGGAGGCCAATCCATGGGGAGACCAAGGATAGTATTAAGACCCATGAATCCAAATCAGAGAAAAAAAATCATCCAAGTTAGCACAACATCGTCAGGTATATTTTTAGGGTCTCTGGGATCAGGGATGAGAAATGGGACCTTCTTCTTCTTAGCCTCCGGTTTAGACCATCACAACAAGGGACAAAGAAATAATACAGGGATTAAGGCATTCGTCTTGTCCAGTTCAATTCCCGACAATGCATATGATCCCACTTTTAGGGGTCACTCCTGAATGTGGAACCAGGAGCAGTCCCTGAAAATAGCCGGCTGTGGCCCCCAAACCAACAACAATAAAACAACTAACCTATAAGAGACTACAGTGGCAAGTGATGAATTTTTCACTCTATTTTCCCTTTAGCTTGCTGTCTTAATGCAATTCCTCCAACAGCTGCAGTTCAGCCCAGATGTTGACACCCTGACTCCCACCCCCAGTCTCCTTGGCTTAAACCTTAAAGGTATACCTGAGGCAGTCAGGGGGACTTTTTGCTTCTTGGGTGGTTTCTCTTCTGATTTGGATTCGTGAGATTTAGTGCTGCTATGGAAAGTTGATTCCGAAGTCGTGTGTTCAGAGGACAATGAATGGCTGTGCATTTGATTATCCTGTTGAGTGAAAGAGATCTCCAATAAAAGGATATTTAGGCTTCACCCTGGTGCCCTAAACCATTTATCTGAACACATACATACACACACACACACAGTTCACCAGACTCCTCTCCTTTCCTTTGTATTAGGATATAGTAGATTACCCTTTTTTCTCTCAGGTGTTTTCCCTGAGAGACCCAATCCATAACAGTAATAAATTAACAATCCCATGGACATCACAGTGCATGAAAACAGGGATAGAATGTTGGTTTTTTATTGTTTCCCTTGTGAAGACCAATTATTTATCTACATAAAGTGACTTGCCCAGGCTGGTGATGTCGCTCCATTTGTCTTGCATATGTGAGGTACTGGGTTCAAGCCCTAACACCGAAAAAAAAAATAAAAATAAAAAAGTGAAAGAAAGAAAGAAAAAAAGAAAAGAAGTCACTGGTCTGAGGGCACAATTAACCATCTGTCTATCTAACCCCTTTATTACTTTCTCACATTCTCTCAATAGGTCCTTGCATCAGTAGGGACGCAGCAGGGAAACGGAGGGTTCATACGTTTCTATCATTTGGACACCGGATTCTTCATCTTTCCTTTCTTCTATGAATTCTCCTGGCAATGTAGCACCCACTTGATAGATGACAGAAATGAATGACTTTCTGAAGTCACATTGATTGTGAAAAGTGAAAGTATTAATGTCTTCAGCAGACATTAATCTCTCTCCATCATCAGGGCCCTTTCTCAACCTGATTCTGTACTAAAATCAAATCTTTCTCCCGTGTCCTTGGGGGCCATGTCCACTACCCTGTATTTACCTGATAGAGCAGTGGTGGTTTCAGCAATAATTTGTTGCTGATATGTGGAAAGTTAACCATATTCTTCTTCCCCTTGTTTTCCACAAAAGGGAGTGAAGGAATGTTGGAGTTTAAACTCTATAGAAGGAAAATTTGGGATAGGTTATAACGGTCTCCCAGGAAGCCTTTCTTTCAGCTTCCTCCCCACAGATAAAAGATCCTAATCAAAATCAGGTCTACTGTTAAAAGTTCTGGGATAAAAAAGCAGATGGTTTATGGACTGTGGACTTTATTCCTTGATTTTCTGTAGGCTTTGAACAGGCTGCCTGGATGATTTATCAAGTTTTGATGATGTCATCACTACCATGGGGACAACAATGGATCTACCCCATAAGGCTTTTGTGAGGTATATGAGTAGCTAGAGTATTCTATAAGTGTTCACTATTATAATCATCATTCCAGGAACAACTACCCTATCACATGGAAGTTCTCGCTCTGTACTGATTTTTCTGGATTACAGAGCGAATTACATAGATTTGACCTACACTGATTTGACCTAGACTCATGGAGGATGGATTAGGAGAGCAGTAACCTGACTCTCAATAAAGAGAAACATTTAAAATTGTGTAGAGGCACTTAACAATAGTGCAGCAGGTAGCGCATTTGTCTTGCATGTGACTGGTCCAGGTTCAATCCCTGGCATGCCATATGTTCCCCGAAGCACCGCCAGGAGCAATTCCTGAGTATAAAGAGCCAGGAGTAACCCCTGAGCATCACCGGATATGGCCCCCTAATCAAAATAAATAAATAAATAAATAAAATTAAGTTGTGTGAAGGTGGGACATGATGATATCAATGGAGCACATTCATCATGCCATGGCTGGTTGATCCAAAATGTCTGTTAAATGTTACACTGGCCATCCCTCCACCCGATGCTAGAGATCAGATACAATTGCCTACCTTCCGTAAAAACCGAGTCACTCTAAAGTTCTTGGTCTTGGGAGGTGGCTTCTGGGTTGGAACCAAAGGCTTATTGTCAACCTAGTTCAAATTGAAAGACAATTGAGAGTCCAAAGAGATAGTAAAGCACTGATCTCGTATGTGGTTTGATTCCCACATTTCATATGGCCCCAAGTACTGCCAGAGGTCGATCTGAGCACAAATCCTGCGTATAATGCATACTAGCCTATTAGGTTATTTTGAGCTGAAGCCCTGGTTCCTTTACCTCTGGCTACGTCGTGCCATTCAAGGAGGTCCAAATGACCATTCTAAATAATCCCAATCCTTACCTCTTTTAGACATGCTGAGGGTGCAGGGGAGCAGATATTAAGTATTAAGTCCAGTTTTTATTTTAGTGTATGGGTTTACCAAATTTTTAGACTTCTGGAAATCAGCTGTGTCTCAACTTTGGATGGATTACATTCAGTTTCCTTTGAGAGAGGATTTTTTTTTTTAGGTGTTAACTTTATTTATTTATTTTTTTTACTTATTTATTTATTGAATCACTGTGGGAAAGGTTACAAAGCTTTCAGGTTTATGTCTCAGTCATGCAAATATCAAACACATTTCCCTTTACCAAAACTTATTTTTTACCATGAAGAACCCCAATAAAACCCCACCCCCACCCCTCCCCGTCCCTGTGAGGCAGATGAATTCTAGTTAACACTCTATCTGCTTTGATTAGATTCATTGTTTCAATAAAAGATTCACCACTATTATTTAGAGTTTACCCCCCCCCAAATCAGACATGCTGAGAGAGGATTTTTTTTAATTAAAAATGTTACCACTCCTTGTAATATACCCTAATAGTCCCAAAACCGAATACAGAAAAGCCACCTGCACTCCTATGTTAGTTGCAGCACTATTTGCAATAGCCAAAATCTGGAAACAACCCAAGTGCCTGAGAACTGATGAGTGGATAAAGAAACTATGGTACATCTACACAATGGAATACTATGCAGCTGTTAGGAGAGATGAAGTCATGAAATTTGTTTATACCTGGATGGACACAGAGAGTATTATACTGAAAGAAATCAGTCAGAGGAAGATGGACACACATAGAATGGCTGCACTCATGTGAGGGATATAAAAATAAACATAGTATGTGAATAATACCCAAAGAGAGTAGAAACAAGGGCTAGAAGGACTGGTCCATGGTAGAAAGCTTGCCACAAATCCAGAGTGGGGATGCTGTTAGGATGGAGAAGAGACCATTATGACAATTATGGTTGGAAATGATCACTCTGAACAAAAACTTGGTGCTGAAATCTATCATTGATAATGTGTCATACATGGCATATGTCATTTACAAAATATGAGATGTATAACAATATGTTAGCAGTATTTTAGAAAGATCTCTCTAATAGCAATGAGCATAATATACTGTGTATAGGTAAAGACTCAAAACTCAGACTCTGGTGTTTAATTTCAGATCCATGATCCCTCATCATTTGCCCTTGACCAACTTACTAATCTTCCCTAATATTAATTGGAGGCAACAGCAATACCAACCCCAATACCAACAGCAATATGACTGTGTTGGGGATTAAATGGTTAACAGGTGTAAAAAACTTCACTCAATGCCCTGTATATGCTAAGGGTGATTTAGCATGTTGAATTTGGTGTGGCAGTTTGTGTTCATTATGTCACGTCCAAGTGTGAGCCACCAGGGGTTACATACAAGCATCAACCTGATAAAGCTGTTAAACGCATAAAGGCCAGACCCATTTCGTGGAAATAGGAACTGAGGCTGATAAGATTCTAACTGGTGCCAGAGACACCCCAAAGAAGGCTGAGTCCCTGCAGTGGAGGAGAAATTTCATCGGAAACAGAAGACTATGATAAGGACATGAAAGAAACCCACCAGAAGTTCAAAGTTGTTCCTCATGACAATGCTTGGGTTAAATTTCATGGCTATAGAATACTGAGAAGTAAGACAATCTGAAAACTATTCAAATAGAATTCTGTTTCAAAAGTCATTCTCCCCTCTGGAGAAGTCTGTATTCTCTGAGAAGCTTTTCTCTTTCTTTCCTTTCTCTTTTTTCTCTTAAGAGTGTCACTTCACTATCGTTCTCCTCCCCAAATTCTCTTCTGTGAGGGAAACTGATGTTCCTGGAAAACATGGGCAAAGGTTAGGATATATTTTCCCTTTCCTGCGAGGAATAATCCCTCATTCCTGCCCAGGGTTCCATGGATTTCCCAAGAATCTGGGTTACAGGGATCATTTCCCACACAGTGTAGATCAAGTGGGTCTCAGGTGCAGTTTAATGACTCACATATGGAGCTGGTGAAATGTAAAGTCTATTCCATGTAAGGTGCTCTCAGAAAACTTTTAACAGTCCTGAATCTCCCCTAGGAATGTGGCAGACAGCCCATGTGAGACTAGTACCTTTCTTTTTTTCACTTCGCATCAGTCATCTGCAACAAAATGATAATACTTAAAATGCTTAAATAAGTTAAATAGACTAAAAAGTAGGTGTATGATACCATACCATACACATGGGCCAGAGAGATAGTACAGTGGGTAAGGTGTTTGCCTTGCATATGGCCAACCCAAATCTGGTCCCAAGCACAACATATGGTCACCCAAGCTCTGTCAGGAGTGATCCCTAATTATAGAGCCACGAATAAGCCCTGAACATATCTGGGTGTGGCCCAACCCCCACAATCAAAGATGCCATATATATGATAAGATTTTTAATGAATAAATTATAGTTCAAAACTAAGAAAATAGGTAGAAATTAAAACTTAAAATTCAAGTAAATATATATGTGTATATATATAACTATATATAGTTATAGAGAGTGAGTTGGAAAAGATAGACTTAAAGACATTGTATAGCAAGCATTCCAGAGTGATAAAGAAATGAAAATATGTTAAGATATTGATGGCATGAAGAATCAGAGTCTATGTAACCAAAGTTTCTGAAGGAGAGAAGAAATATGCCAGACAGAAAAGCAAATGGCGTTGAGAAGTTTTCAAAACTGATGTAAGACAAAACTATAGAAGTTTAATTAAATATCTGCATCTTTATAATTTTGAAGTAGGAATTTATTAAATATACCATAAACTTATCTATAAAGTATTTTTGTTCATTTAAAGTGTGTAGAGCATACAGACAAGTCAAGATTATACCAAGCTTAAAAAACAAGATTAATACAAAACATTCAATTGGTGCAGTCAGAGATATAGCACAAGGGTGTAAGGTACTTTGAACGCAGCCATAGTATTTGACCTGGGTTTGAACTCCAACACCAATAGGTGTGGCCCAAACACTCCACCTCCAAAAAGTACATTTCTTTCCAACATAATAAGCCTTAACAAGTGGAATTTGAATTTTAAAAGATAACATTACATTAGGACCTCAAGAAATGAAAATACTTCCATCTGACAAAATATGCACCAGATCTATATGAGGGAAAAACACAAACTCTGATGGAATAAATTAAAATAAGATGTATGTGAAAGGGTACATTTTTTACATCTTCAAGAATAGAAAAACACAACATTACTAAAATATTACTTCTCAATGAAAATAATAAGGCATTGGTAAAACGTCACTGAATTGAGCTGAGTCTTTATTGAAAAAAGACAATTTCTTCTTTAAAGGTAAAAAGGTAAAGGCCCTCCCGTTGATCGTCGATTTGCTCGAGCGGGCCCAGTAACGTCTCCATTGGAGACTTTGTTGTTACTGTGTCTGGCATATCGAATACTCTCGGTAGCTTGCCGGGCTCTCCGAGAGGGGCGGAGGAATCGAATTCGGGTCGGCCATGTTGGCCGCTTGTAAGGCGAACGCCCTACCACTGTGCTATCGCTCCAGTCCTTTCTTCTTTAATAAATGGAAATATTTTCACACTTATGTATTGGAAGAATAATGCTAAAATATCTGTACTGAAAGCAACATATAGGTTCAAAGAAATTTCTATAAAAAATTCTAGTGACATTTTTTTTCCACACAGAAAGGGAACAAACTCTCCTAAAACTTGTGTGGCAACCTCAAAGACCCTGAATTACAAAAAGCAATCTTTAAAAAGAAGATGAAAGTTAAAGAAAATATTAATTTCTTATTTTAAACAAAAGTTATGGTATTGGCATAAAAACATACAGTAGACCAGGATGGAGTGCCTAGAAATAAACCCATGCAAATATGATCAATTAAGTTATGACAAACTTAATATATATGACAAAGGAGCCATGAATATACAAGGGAGGGAAAGATAGTATCCAGAACAGATGTTCTGGGGGAAAGGGAGAACCATACCTACAAGAATAAAACTGGGTGACTAGAGCAATAGTACAGCGGGTAGGGCGATTGCCTTGCATGCGGTCGACCTGGGTTCAGTTCCCAGCATCCCATATGGTATCCCAAGCACCGCCAGGAGTGATTCCTGAGTGCAAAGCCAGGAGTAACCCCTGAGCATCACCGGATGTGATCCCCCAAAAAGAATAAAACTGGGTCCCAGCCCTATAGTACACAATGTGAAAGATAAACTCAAAATAATTTGACTATAAAGACGCACCAGGGATATAGAAATCATGCTTCATATGCATGAGGTTTGACTCCCACAGACCCTCTAAGAACACATGTGATATGATCATAATACTGAAAACATGAAACTATAAAACTCCTAGAAAAAAAAATCAAAGGAGTTGGACATTGCTGTACAGAGATATTGACATTAATTTTTAAAAAATAACATGAAAAGCAAAGGAGGCACTATATCAAACCAAAATCTTCTGTATGGCAAAGGAAACAATTTAATGAAAAAGCAGTTATGGACTGGGGAAAAATATCACCAATCACCATACTAATAAAGAGGTAATAACCAAAGTATGCAAGGTATTCAATTCATGCAACTCAACGGAGGGTGGAAGTATTAACACTGGGCAGAGGATTTTTTGGAGCATTTTCAGCGGTTTAGTATTAACAAACAATACAAAATAAATTATTTTGGTTCTGCTTTGGGTCTGGGTTTGAGTTTCAGGATGGAAACATCCAAAATATGGTGGTGGGAAGGTGTGATGGTGGTGGGATTGGTGTT